AATTCAGACAATATTTATAGCAGAACAATTGGAATCAGGCTGAAAACAAGGAACAAACAAGAAATAGAAACTTTTAGAATCTACTATGCTTCTAGGCCACTATTTTCCATCAATTTTTACTTTAAGTAATGTCCAAGGCACATGACTATGTACGATTTGCACAAGGGATTTGMCATATAGAGATTTTCTTCCCTCTTGTAGAATCTGGAAAGCAAACCAAGAGGGAACAACTTGGTTTCCATTAATGTGAAGGCAAATGTGAAGGTAACGTGAAGGTAAGAAAACACATGGACTTCTAGCCAGCAAAGCTAAATGTGAGGCTAGGTGGCCATTTCTCCTAGCAAATGTGTATGTCTTCAAAACAGGCTCATTCCTGACAAGTTACTGAGGTCTATTAGTAGATTGTCTGACACCTACAAGCACATCAGCTATGTTTAGAAATGAGAATATCACACTTGAAAGCAGTGATCTAAGTTACAAACCCCTTTAAAAATAATATGTCTATAAAGAAAAATCAGTTGGTGTTCATCTTTCTATCATCACTTTAATTTTCCAGTTTGATCTTGTTTCACACAGAAAGCACTCTGTGCTTTTTGAGGAAGAAATCCTACMCCATTACAGAAAAGTGAAATGAGAATAAACCAGTTGTCATAGACTTTGCAAATAACTATGATTGCAACATAGTTTGTTTTTGTAAATATRTTTTACATTTATTTGTTTTGCACATCATACCTGAATGGCATCCATGACTTGCGTCTCCCCACACTTGAGAGCTCTGAGCATGTAGACTAGAATGTTTTGCTTCTGCAGAGAATCCTGTAAGTTTTGGCTCCAGTATCCAAGATAAGATTAAAGGCAAGGTATTGTAAACAACTCATTTGTGTTTTGGGTGGTTTTTGGTTTTTTTTTGAATTGCTGCTGACTATTCTGATAATAAGGAAATTCTGTATTCCTCATTAGCTGCTTATTAAATCATGTGATTGTGACTCATTCTGTTCATTTCCCTTCTTAAGAATTGCACTAGGTATGAAGAAAAATTGCAAATATTTTTGCCACTGATACTTGGTCAAACTTTCTYGTATCATTTAGAGATTCTTATGAACTTGAGTGTTACCATGGTTTCTGCTCTGGGTTTCTAAGATTTGAGATGCTACTTTTAAAAAATCATTTCAGTAATTATAGTTTAAAAGAACTTTCTGCTATAAATAAGGTCTTCAAAGGAGTCTTTTGTCTTTGAGGTTGGAAGAGATGAGAAAAAAACTTAAGTAGTTTCCCTGCAGGACAGATTTGGGGAAAAAGTTGAACCATGTGTTTGTTCACTGCCTTCTTTTTCCTAAAATAAAAACTTTTACTGAGGCTAGAAGTTGTTTGTTTTGGACTGTTCCAACATTCCACAGAAAGGGACATTTTTTTTTTTTTACTTCCTCTCAGCATCTTCTTGAATTCTAAAAACCTTCATGGTGTCACAAAATTATTATTGTCTGGTCATCCAGAATGACATGAGTWCTGGGAAAGGAAGGTTGGAGTAGCCATGCTGTTCTAAAAGTAACTGGCAATATTTCTGTACTCTCGAGAAGATGCCCTTCAATGTTGTTGGGTTCCCTCTCTAAGGAATGGTCATAGATATTTTAGATACCTAGATATTAGGTAGATCTATCTATTTTAGGGAGAAAATATTTGCTTCCTAGCTTCCTAGGCTTCTCCATTGACCAAGTTGATGAGATCAAGCTTACAGAGTGCAGAAGTTTGTATGTCTGTATACTAAAACACTATATTTAACTTGAAAGCACACACTTCCCATACCTTGTGGGCTTGTTTCCTGTCTCTCTACTAAATCTGAAGTCTCGGAAAAACTTAGGTTRCAATCTATCTGCATTTTCCCCGTTGTACTTGTCTATCCTGCCATCCCCTCTTTCCCCTGTTGGCACTGTATCAATTATACCAGTATTCTTGGAGAAGCTGCTTAAGCAGTCGGAGGTGAATTACCGCTAACTTCATGGTATTTCATTTGGCATTTTTTCCTTCCTTTTCCTCCTTTAGGGTTTAGTGCAGGATTAACAAGAAGTCTGCCAGTAASCTGGTATTTAAAATACTGTTGCACAATGAAGCCATCCAGCCTGAGCATAAAATACCAGTAGTTTGCATCGTCCTTGTGGCTTACAGTTTGTTTCAAAGAGTTCTCACAGTTACATTATTCAATTATTGTAATAGTGGAACTTGTTTATGGCATTACTCAAATACAGAATTTAAGTAATTCAGCTGCCTTTTTTCATTTATTGCTTATATTTGGAGGCCAATTAAATTGCAGTTATTTGTGGATTTTCCAGGTTTTATTGAATTATCCTTTTTGAGTTGCAATAGCTTTAGATTTCCACAACTTAGTTTAGGCATCTCAGTCATAGGTAGCATTGTTCCCATGTCTTCCACAATGTTAATGGTGAGGGTATTCTGTTATGTCAAAGGGTGGTGGAAAGAAATTTTCTGTCTTAGTGTGATAGTAAGCTAAGTAAGTCTTCCATAGCTCATTGTTGCATTTTAAAACTATGCTTTGTTGTTATTCCATTATTGTCCCAAAGCACTCGGAAATCTTATAGCAAGAAATGAGGAGGAGCTCTGAGTAACATGGTCTAGTGGAAGGTGTCCCTGCTCATGGCAGGAGGGGTGGAACTAGATGATCTATAAGGTCCCTTCCAAAGCAAACCATTCTATGGTTCTATGAATTATTGCAATTATCGTTAACTTTATTTGGGAATAACATCAGGATATCTTTATTATTATTATAAGTAAGACAAATTTCCATGCTTCTCTATAAATATTTAAAAGAGCAGATGCAGATTTAGAAGTGGGAAAAAAGATACAAAAAAATTAGGAGTAGTCCTTTAATATTCAAAATTGCTGCATATGCCTTTCATATTTCATCTGAAGTAAGAAAAAAGTACAAAAAARGAGAATTTTAACTTATAATCTTTTTACTGTGTATAAGAAACTGCCAGAAGTCACATTTAAATCAGTGTTAGAAGTGTTCATGTTTTAAAATACCACAAATGTTGAATCTGTCGATACAGCCAGCACTTTGTTTTTCTTTGTTCCTCATGCATGCGGTTAATACAGACACAACAGATTCTTTGAAACAAGTGGAAATGATACAKGCATTCATGGTAATATGGAGAAACTGATAAAAACTTCAGGGTTTTTCAATTGCTTGTTAAATATTATTGAATATATAATGAAGCATCATTTGAGTCTTCAAGAAAACATATGGAGAAAATATACCACTAATGTAGGATCAAACGTAATAGAGTCCATTTACAGATGACTGAGGTGATAAAGGTGAAAAAACAAAGTATCGCTCTACAGGCTACATCTTCCTTCCAGTTAGGGAAGTAGAAGCTATGTTTGGGTGGTTTTTGCACAGCAGAAGGCACAGATGGTATTGAATTTTAACAGCTATTTTCCATTAAGAGTTACTGGTAGTGAGAATGAATGTAGTTAATGCCTAGACACTGAGAAATCTTTATTTTTACCGATGTCTTTGTCCTTACTATTGCTAACAACTAAAGTACTATGGAATTATAGAAAAACTTTGATTGAACGGTGCCTCTGGGAGCCATTTAGTCAAACTCCTACTCAAGCAGGACCAGTTTACATGTGGTTGCTTAAATTCATGGGGTTTTTTTGTGTTTAAAGAGTCTCCAAGTACTGGATTACCAAGATCCAAATAACTTCAGTCAGCTCCCTTGGTACCTTTGCTCTCATCCCAGCAAGTCCCATGGGGCTGTGTGCGTCCAAACGGCTTAGGTGCTGCCCAGCTCCTTCCTCTACTGCAGATAATTCTCAAGTCCCACACACTCTGTAAATGGACTGGGAGGCCTGAGAGCCAGGTGTGCCAACAACACCCAAGACACAAAAAGACATTGAGTATCTTGGCCTTTCCCATGTTCTTTGTCTCTAAGTTGTTCCCCACCCCACTGAGCAGCAGACATGCACTTCCTGATTTGTCTCTTGCTGCCAATGTACTTATGGAAGCTTTTTTCCTTGTCCTTTACATCCTTTGATTATTTCTATTCCAGCTGAGCTTTTTCTTTTGTAGTTTCATTGCTCTGCACTTGAGCAATGTCTCTGTTCTTCCCTGCTTCCATCTTCTGGATGATTTGGCTTAATAGTGTTTTAAGATGTCACTAGCTGCACACTATTTTCCCTAGTCAAACTATTAATTTAAGTAGTCTGTGTTTAACTTTAGAATGTAGTTACACATTTTCTTGTACTTATATAGGAGCAATGAATGAATATTCCAGCAAATTCAGTTTTTCATCCCCTTTTATGCACTGGAAAGATAAAGTGCACTGGTGCACAAATGCTACTTTGTGGCTGTGAACACATTGTGTATTAGTCTTGTGAAAATCTTTTCAGTCTCTCATCGTTTTGCCAGAACGATGAAATCCTAGAAGAAGGTATTGAGAGAGSTGGTAGCATAAGAGAGAATGAAACTACCTGGAGACAGCACTTTCTGGTCTAGCAGCTCACAGATGCCTGGAAGTGGGAGTCCTTTTCCTCAGGACATCTTTTAACCATGGCAAGCTCCTTTTGGTTATTTAAAGCAAATAAATCATATAAAAGGAAAGAAAGCCTTCAGATGGATGAGTGAGTTGAGCTGAGTAATCAATACTAGGACTGGCATAAGATTGGAAGAAGTACAATGTGGCTTGAAGCAGGGGAAAGGAAGACAGAAGAAACTATCCTCAAATTCTGCTTTTGTGCTTCAGCTATCCCATTTACTTCAGCAGAATTTCTTGTATAAGTGCATTTAAGTATTTTTTTGGTTGATACCTAATAACATCAAGCACTTCTATAGATTTGCTTATCTTAATGACAAAAAACATTGTTAAAAACCACTGAAATTTCTGTTACAATACATTAAAAATAATATTTTATAAGATAAAAGTCTTCCTACTACCCTTGTCTAATATGCTGTTCATTTTTATTCATACCACTATGTGTTTCCTAGGGTACCTACACCTTACAAGGTACCTGCTCCAAATGAGAAGTGGAAATTTCCTATTTGGCCAGAATGGAATGATGCAGATATCAATGCAGAAAAATGGGATCTTGGAAAAGCTGCAAAAGAAAAAGCTGTAAAAGGTCAAATTTTAGTAAGTTGTGTGACATGTATTATTTCTACTTCATTTTTGTACTTGTATTTAATAAAGTATTTGTCACCACTTCAAAATAATATGTTGCTGATAAATATATTAATTTTCAATCATGCATTTTCAATATAAGTACTTCCCTACTAAGCTATAGTAAGAAACCAGAAGTATTGTGCATTGTTTATTTGCTGCTTTTAAAATGAACTGTTAACATATCTGTGTGCATTAATGGGTGTACATTAATGGTTTTAAAAAAATGCAACCCCRGAATCTTTTTCTTAACAAAACTAAAACTGGGGATGTAAGAAGAGCTGAACTGTTATATGTCAGAGCTTGCTCTTCTCAAGGCACTGCAGTTTCTGTGGACTCAAAAGGTTTAATGCATCCCTCTTTATTATGGCAAAAACGGATATTGAAGTATTTTTTTKGGTACACTTCAGTTTCTGGACTTGTGAAACAGTGTCAGCAGCTTTAGTACATAGAAAATGATTTGAGGGAATATCATCATAGCACCTGTCATGCTATGTTTTCTGTTTTCAACAGGAAAACAGAAAAATTCCTGTTTTCCAAATTTGGAATGATGTAAAAGTGTCATGGATTTTTTACTCCTTCAAAATGGTTATCATTGCAGAATGTGTGTGTCTTTTATGTAGAGTAATAAATTTATTTATTGAAGAGTTTCTTAAACTCAGCATTTTAAATTGAAATTTAAAATGCATTTAATACCACACTTTTGCATCTATTTTATATGCAAATTCCGCATTGCTTCTATGTTTCTTCTGAATGTGTCCTTTTGTAAAATGTTTATGCTTCATGTATTTTTCTAGATTTTTTTTTCGTATCCCGAAGTTAACTATATTATACTCCTATGAGKCCGAAGTACTGTTTTGAGAGAAGGTATACATTCAGCCCTGAATACTGCCATTAACTTGTCAAGTAAATAATTTTCCTTTGTGTTCTTCTRTTTTATTACCATATTTGGTGTATTTGGGCTGTACTTAACATTTTTCTAGCACTAATTTATTAGGTCTACCAGACCTAATACGTAGGTCTTTATTTTGAAGTTTATGATACATAAACTTCAAAATAATTATGTCTGAAAACCTTTCTTCTGTTTTAGTACAAGAGGCAGTCTGCGTCATTTACTGGACTCTTCAGTCCTTCAGCTATAAGCTGTATGAAACATTGCTTGTTTTATGTATTTAAAGAAATTGTATGGCAGTCACAACAGATGAATGTACAGATCTAAAGACTTTTGTAACGTGGCCTCTTGATTCAAGCAGGTAGCCAGAATTCAACATTGTATAGGCTATTTCAGTCAGAAAYAAAATTAGCAATGGCATCCAGGACCTCCGACTACACTTAGAACGTGAATATAAACAGTCCTATTTTCTTGTGTGGGAAAAGGAATCAGAAATGATCTCTTTCCTTGTAAYACTGAAGGTCTTTTATCAAGCACCCCTACACAATGACCTCTCTTAGATCTGTGCACTGTGTTGCTGAGATCATGCATTTGATCTTGTCTTTGTCTCTTGTGCCCATTTCTTCCATGTCCTTCCTGTAGAACTTGTGGTTGAGTCACAGCATAAACTCCTGAGACKTAGCACTTGTCTCTTACAGCCACCTTAAATGAAAGATAAGTTAAACTTGATTTTTTCAGCCAAGTTTAGCTAAACCTACAATATTCTTCTTCTAAGTATTCTTTGCACAAGTAAGCTAAAGAGAGGTATGTCTTTCCAGGTTTGGGTTTTTTTAGTGTTTCTTTACGTAGTGTTGTGTCATTCCATCTGCCTTGTTTCTTTGATTTATCTAGTATTTAAGAGCTAAACTTTCCTGTTATGCCATGAAGTCAGGGTTGGATGTCTCTGAAAATAGGATATAAACTCTGTTAATACAGTTTTTTATGGTCCAGGCTCTAAAGCTTTCTTTGAGCTTTCAGAAAAAAAAGAAAAAGTAATCCTAAAATATTCCTTCCCTCCCCTCCCTCCCAATTTCTCTTTTTTTCCTTCAAGTACTGACAGTTTGTTGCAGTTCAGTATGTTGAAGGAACTTACACAATGAAACAAATAAATAAATAAATAATGTGGGGAAGAGATTATTTGTCAGTCTTTGGTTTATGTATAGCTTTTATGCTTTTGTGATGTACTTTGTTTTGCCTACTTTTAATCATTAAGTACTCAAAGTATAACATATTTTTATTCTGAGCAACTCTTACTCTTCTGTGGTCTGTAGAAGATAGAGTGCATCATAGACTGTGAAATAGACCCGAGTAAAACATGCCCAAAAGCTGTTTAAAATGCAGGCACAACTAAAAGGCATTAACCATGTAATTGGTTTCTCAGTCAGCACAACCTGGATCAGAGGCATGTCCTCATCCTACCTTATTCTAGTAAATAGACAAATATCATTTATCCTGACACCTTCTATACATATGGAGGACAAGTATCACTTCAGAAACGCAAGCTGGAAAACTGAATGGGATTCTCTCTTTAATGGGCTAATTCATGCTGTATAATTATAGTTCTCTGTTTTCTATAGCAGTGTTAAATGCATAGAACATGGGGTGTTTTGTGTGTCTAAATATCACTTTAGATATTTACTTTCAGTCTTCAAAAGCTATAGAAATAAGTGAATTGGAAAAAAGTACATAAAAACAGCTTGGCAGAAGAGTACCTAACTTAAAAGCTTAAGCATTTATTTTTGAGATATTTCTGAAATGGGGAAAAGAAAAAAAATAATTTCATATAGACCTATTAGAAAGTGCAGACTGCATTAACTTGTCAGGACAATGTAAATGGCTTTTCCACTCAATCTTCATTTGGGGCTTTGGGCTCTTTTAGTTCAGTTGTAGATATTATTAGTTCTTTTTTAGACTGTTTTGCTCCTTAAGTGAATTATTCTGTGAACAATATATCATTTTGAATCTCATGGAAGATAAAATACTGTAATTAGTAAAAAGTCATCCATTTTTGTTCATACATATTTTATATAGCCTGGATTTGACGATCCTGAAGGGAAAATAAAGTTGCCACCATCCTTCAAAGTGCATTCATGGAAACGTCCACAAGAGTTTTTAGGAAAAGAGGTAAGAAACAAKCAAGGTCATGATGAAAAAATGCTGCTTGCCTAGCTTGTGGAAGGTAGAGTGAAAYTAACAGAGGAAATTAGTTCAACAGGTAAAAGCCACTTGACAGCACACAATTATCCTGTCCTGGAAACTGGTGTACACGATAGGTCAAAGGCCCATGTGACAGCTGTCCTGTGCTGCACACAAGGCTGGGCCCTGGGGCTGGAAACCCTGGGCACTGGGTTAGCTCACATAGCTGATGGTAACAGGGGAGCCTCAAGCATCTCCTGCTTCTTACTGGCAATTAGATCACCTACGTCTCCTGGCCTTTATGTAACCACAGCAGCAACTTCTTATGCCAACTTCCTTTAATTTTAAAGCAGAAATGATGAGTAGAGTTGTCTTCTTGTGAGAATATCCTGTCATAGCTCAAATCTTATCATAGCTCAGTAATACCTAAATGGCTAATACCAAAATGGRTGGGATCTGCACAGAATGCTGCATAGATGAATCAGAGGCCTGCTTGATGCCACACACTGGGTTTCCAGTGTCCAAAAGGACATAAGGTTACCTGTACTAACGCACTTCTTTACAGTTAGCTGTGATAACAGCATTCTCAATGATACTATTCAGAATCTGAGAGCCTTTATTACTGGGATATGATCACCATGGACCTTTGCACTTTCTGGTGCAAAGTATCATGGCATTGTATGCTCCCACATCTACTACACTTTTGGATTCCTGTGTTTGTTTGGAAGACAACTGGACAGAGAGATGCCTTTATATTTTTGTGGGGTTTTTTTTCTCATTACTGTCTGAAAAATTTCTGTATGTTCCAGCTGAGACTTCCCTTGAATAGGTGTCTGAAGTAAATATTTATCATGAAACCATAACTAACTTTACCAGAACTACAGTACTTTTTTTTCACTTCAACTATCATATTTCTCTGGGCTACACAGAGTATACATCAATGTCTTTGACAGTCCTTGTCTGTAAGGTAACCATAGCATTTTAAAATTATGCATAGATGTTATTATTTTTTTTAATTAATTGCAAAGAAAATAAGCAGCCTCTCATTTAAAAGGTTATAGTTACAACACTGTTATTWATCTAAGTTTTAGGTGTTTTGCTTCAGATGAAATATTGACATTCTAAAGCACTTGAACTGCCCTTCTAACTTCTTCAGGCTTGTCAGTTTTCCTTCTGTCAGCTTGTCAGTTCCATTTTTTATTAACTAGACACTAAACAGCTCTAAGTTTAATTTTTAATGGAGGAAGGAGAGGGGGAGGTCAGAGGARTAATTGACAAGACCAAAAGATTGGAAAGGAAATGCTGCCAAAAAGCATAAACTGAGTGGAGGTATCTGAAAGATGAGTACATGAGAACTGGCACCTAGAAAGCCATAGAAACATGTATTCATATTAAAAATAGCATTTAAAATCTGTGTCTAGAGTACTATGGAGAAATAATTTGTTTTCTTTAGGACCTGGTTAAACTTTGATGCTTCTTTTGATCCAATATGTATTTTGAATCAGGAAGCAATGATTACCAGAAATTTTATATAGAAATTAATGGAAATGTCAAGCAATAAAAGGCTATTAAGAATGACACACATTATTACCCGGCATATTTGTAACTATAGAAGAAAGCATAAACAAGCCTGTTTGGTGTAATAAGCAAAGAATCAATCAATGGACACCAGTATGTGATGAGAGGCACAGATACATTTAGGTCAATAAACTGCAATCCCATCATATTAATACTAAACTGCTTACAAAAAAAGAAAATGGGCTGTATAAACAGTTATGAAAACCATGAAATGCTGACAAAGGTTTGACAAAGTTGCTATTGATACTGACAATACCACCATCTAACTGACCATGAGGAAATAAATCCCTGTGAACCCTGGTGGGTGACTAAGGAAATTGAAATATGAGACAGTGTTATGATCACAATTTAAATCCAGAACTACAAATATCTTAAGATATTGAGGGCACCTCARTTTATCTATGTGATTATTTAATTTGATACTCTTTAAATCTCCCAGTAAAAATAATAATTATTTTTTAAGAATCCTGAACATCTACATTTTAAGGAAGTTTTATTGAGAAATACCAAAACATCTACAAACTGAYTGCTTCTAGTTTGCAAATGTGTAATGAATGTTTGCCAGATTTCTAATATTTGCATGTTACTGCAGTTAAGCGCTAATATTAGTTTAATTTTTTCCCAGATAATTTAGCTATGCACCTAACTAATTTACTTTCTCCTAGGTTCCTGTGGTAGTTCAAAATGAAACCTCATTTGACCTTATTTCAGCGAATGAGCACATATTTTGTAATGAGGTAGGTGGAAATACATTAACGTCACTTTGAAAAAAAAAGATTATTTAATTTTTATTGTCTATCTTTAATATTTGAATTTCACTCCAAATTCCTACCATGAAGAAATAAGTTGTGACAAATGTTTTAGAGTGGAAAAGGAATGATGGTAATAAAATGGCAAGAAATTATCTAGATTTTTATAATTAGTGTTTACCTTTTTTAGAATTTGAAAAATCAGTGATGGTAAGAGATTTTCCAAACTTAAAAAAAAAAAAATAAAGTCTAGGAACTAATCTAATTACTAGTGGATAATATTGTCCAAAGAAAGGAGCAAATAAAGGCTGTATTAGAAAGGATTTCCATTTTTCATTCAACTTTCCTGAAATCCTAGTGGGCCCTCATGTGAGTGCAAATGTCTGTGACCCAGACAGTCTTTTCCATCTCTCCGGAGTTGAATGAACATTTACTAAATTTCTGCAGATCACGGGAAAATATAAACTAGGTAGAAGCAGGGCATCTGAGTGCCTTACTTAATGTAATATTAATAATTTCTATTTCATTCATTACTTCAATGGAAATCCAAAATTTAGCTCCAGAGATATATGGGAGGAAACACCAGAAACCAGGTCATGTAAGTTTGGAAGTCCACAAACCACTAATTAATTGTAGGGCCAACTTYTTGTAGTAAAAGCTTATTTTCATCCTGGTTTGTATGAATCATGATAAGAGTTTAGTAATACTTGTGAAAGTATGGCATAGATCAGAAATCTGCATGTTACAAAAACACATGCATAAAGCATGATTAGTTCAAGCTGCTATTTTAAGTCTTAAAAATTAGTAAATACTTCTAATAATTTAGGATTTTTTTTCTGAGAATAAATAATGAGTATTAAAGGCAAAAATGATTTTTAGCAGCTGTATTTTAATAAGCAATTAAACAAGTGACAGCTCATAAATCCTGAAACAGCATTTATTTAAAAATCATGTTTCCACATTTGTCTTTGTTAAATGATGACTACCTTCATTTATATTGTGCCTTCATTTATATTGACTACCTTCATTTATATTTTTTAAGATTTATTGTAGATAAATATTGTAATGATTTTAAGAGGAGTGGTAACAGTGAAATTAATTTTTCCATTTAGTCATAGCCATATTTTTATGTCACTTTTTTTTTAAATACTCTGGTTTATTCTTTGCTCATTATTATATAATTTGACTTTTTTTAAAAAGGGATTTTACTTGAAATCAATACTTTTCTATTTTTCTCTTATTCTAGCTCATGAGATGGATTGTAAGTGAAATTTATGCTGTGTGGAGGATATATAATGAAAATTCCTTAACTAATGAAGCATCCACACTTTTTTGGAAACCGTGGGAACACATTTATGCCTTGTGTAAAGCTACCAAGGAACATGTGCCACTGTACAATAAATTTGGAAAATATGTAATAAAACTTTATTGGATGGTGAGTAGTTTTCTCCAGCAGTATATAAATWTGATGCACTAGCATAACAAACTTTAATGGTGAGGGGAAATATATTTTATTACTGAAAGTACATGGATTTCTCTCAGTAGAAATACTGAGAAATTGTTAGTGCTTGTTAATTAAAATGCCTCTTGTAGTTAATATTATTTTGTACAACTTATTGCTTGATAAAAATGTTATTATTTGAAAAGGCAATTTTTTTGTAGCTTTGTAGGTTTGATGCAAATGTTTAGTAGATTCCGACATGTGATCCACACCTCTGGTGTATTAGGCTTAAGCATTTTTTTTRTTGTGTAAATAATTCAGTTGGCTGACTTTACAGAGCTGTTTGTATCTGAGTGTAGTTACAGATAGTTAGAGACTTCCAGAGTGAAACCGTTTGCTGAAGACGTCCTGGTAAAACTAAAACATCCCAAAGATTTCTAAAAATAACAGACAATAACTTCTTAACACATTTGGTGGTCAATGGGGAACACTTAATTGCACATTGAATGTCATCTAATTAAAGAAACAATAACTGATAGAAGTTGTCTTTGCTGTTGGGGTTATTTTGGTTGTATTTCTCTTTTGGAAACAGAAAAYACCACAACACGCTAAGACCTATGTCTGACCCTATTAAACTTTTGGTTGCCCAAACTTGAAAATATTTTTGATGCAGTCAGTTGGAAACAAAAGGTTCAAAGTGACTTTCCCTGTAAGGGGGCCACTTAGCAGATTTAGCCTGTGTTTTTCTGATCCCTTACTACTGCCYCCACATATGGAATAACTTGTATTCATATAGGGAATGAGTTGCATTAGTTTGAGAAGGAAAAAATTGTGTTGTTCAAGTTCCTCAGCAGATGACATTATTGTGTGAATTTAATGCTGCAGATACTATATATTCATGTGGTAAAAGACCACATTTTAAAGTGCAGACAAGAGTTACCAGGGTGTGTTTTATTTTCTTTGTCACTTTTGTGTTTTTTTGGTTTGGGCCTTTATGTTTATTCAATTTCTTTTCCTCTGGTTGTACAGCTGTATGTCACAGAAAGAAAAAAAAAATTAAAAAGAGGGTCAAATGTTGGAAGGTTAAAGAAAATGTGCAAATGAGGAAAGACAAATATCAGTAGGGACAGAGGAGAAACAGATTGCATAGGAGGAAGTTGAAAATTAGAATAAAAGTGGGAAAAAGATGGAACAATAATGAACAGGTTTCACTAATATCCTGAAGAGATTGTTGTGCATGAGATCAAACTTGTGGATAATAATTTTTCCCATAATTGGCACAATATATGAATTCTACCCCACATTCTACTTGGACTTTGCATTCCTGAAGTTTATTGAATTTGTTTCTGTAGGTTTTTATTCTCATGTTTTTCTATCCATAGACCTGTCCCATTTATTTTTTTTTTCATTTCTTTACTTTTTTTCCTTTTTTTTTACAAACTTGTGCTGTTCTCCCTACAAAACTTAAGCAATTACTAAAAGAGGAGATGAATATGTGATCATTTCAGTGGCTAGGKCCTTTTCAAAATTGGAAAACTTCACATGTTGGCTTCAGTTGTCACAAAATWGTTCTTAATCTAAAAAATATGAGCCTCTTTTATGCTTTTTGAATATTTTTACCCTCTGGCCTAAATTTTTCTTCTGAGACCTATTGAACTGATAGAGTTAATCAGCTGTCATTTCAGCTTGAATCCATAGTTTAGTTGCAAGCAGAGAACAGTAATTTTGCGCTCTCTGATAACACATGGTGAGCACTTTAGTGATTTGGTCATTCTTCATCATTTTGTGGGTGAATTAACAGAAGTACTTGCTATTAGCCCAAAATTCTTTACTATATCTTCATCCCTAGGACAGACTTTTATTTGGAGAGTGGTAGACAGGATTATTTTGTGGAATACTAGCTCAGATTACTAATGAAATATCTGGTATTGGAGATATCAGTACTTTGTCTTACCTGTTTGTTTCTTATCCTGAAATCCAGTTTTATTTATTTGTTTGTTTATTTTTACATTTGATTATTTTGTGTTGTTTTGTATAGTGGTCTATAAAATACTATCATAATGCTTTCCAAGACATCACCTGCAGTCAACATCCCCAGGTAGTTTTTGGGAAGCAAGGAGGACTGCTTATATCTCAAGTATTTTCCAGACTGAGACCTAAAGAGGCAATTATAAAGCTACTATCTTAGTTAAGCTTTTTAAAAATAATTATTATTATTTCTCAGGCTTCTGTCWTGGCAGCTAAAGAAACAGCAGTGAATGCATGTACATGATGTACTACACATATGAGATGAAATATATTTGGAAATAACTGCAATTAGATTAATCTCTCAAACAACTAAGTCAGAGGAGTAATAAARTGCTATGAATACTGTTTCTATGCTTCTCATATATTATGCAAGAACCTCTTTAAAAACCATCTGTGATGTAAATCAAATTGCAGTATAATTGGGACCTTGGGAGAGCATTAAAAGTTCTCTTACATACTCCTCACTTTCCAGCTTGCAGACTAATTTTTTCTTCTCTGCTTTCCCCCCCTTCMCCTGTCATAGGGGTGTTGGAGAAAGATCATTGTGGATGACACTCTGCCTTTCAGCGAAGAGGAGAATTTGTTATTACCAGCTACAGCCTGCCGAAATGAGCTTTGGCCAATGTTGTTGTCCAAAGCTATCATTAAGTTAGCAAATACTAGGTATGTTTTGTCATCCCATTTTCTGTTYGTTTTACGAAATCATGTGGAAATACGAAAAAATTGATTTAGTACATGTGGGAAACATGTACTAAATACAACATTTTGCTAAAAATGTTGYCTTAAGAGTTATGTACTTCCAAAAGCTGATATTGTAAACAGTAAAGCAAAATTCTCTGTAGCTACAGAAGGTGCATGGCTTCCATTTTAGATGTGTTTGTAAATTTATGCACAGAAAACTTGCAAAGGAACTGGAGTATACTCTCATTATTTGCTTTATTTGTTTGACGCTMTTCCTAAAAACTTCACATGTGGCTTTCTGCCAAACTGAAGTGTTTGTGAACTCTTAATCAACTTTTAATTGTCAGCTTTAACCAGTATTGACTCAAGCAGTATTGAAAACAGAGTTTTGTGAGCTGCTTATGATGCCTTTTCTACAGTTGTGTTGTGTCTAGTGATCTACTTCCCTGGAAATGACTGGAAGAAGTAGAAGGTGTTCTATGATGCAGTGGTTGCCAATAATAGCTAGAGGTTCCTATGAATTGAGCAATGAGCACCAAGAATTTAAATGAATAAGCTTGACAAAACGATTTAAAACACTCATTTGGGTAGTGAAGCTCCCCTGTTCTGGTTGTATCAAGTCATGTTTGTCACAAGAGACATCCAATGTAATGTCTGCATAGGCTTGGGAGTTGCCTGGAGCGGGCTGTTAGGAAAGTCTGTTTGCAGGAATGTGATTGAGATACTTCATTTCTCCAGAGCACAAGGATTAGCTATACAAGTGCTGGCATCTTTAGCCTTGGTCCTCTCAGGAAATCTCTCCAGAGAGTAGCAGAGTGTCTGTTAAAAAGGGTGAAGTATGGTAGAGTGGAAGTAGAACCAGCTTGAGCAGAGTAACCGGGGAATTAGAGAAGCAGCATAGGAAATGGAAGTTATAGAATCATAGCACCATTCTAGGCCAAGGGATTTCAAACTTGCATCTCCAATCTTGCAACTGTGTGCAAGTATRCATAGTATGCTTGCTAACAATTTGGAAAAAATTGCTGTTGTACTGGAGGAAACACTAAAATAATGGACCTAGTGCAAAGGCATTGACTTTGTAGGTGAGTAGTCAGCAGYGGTTTGGAAAACTTGTAAAACTGCAAGTAGTGACTTGTTTTTCAACAGGCTATTCTGTGTATGGTCTTATTCTTACAGAAGGCAATRCAGACTACAGAGTTTACTGTGGTTGGTTACATTACAACTGTAAAATGTCTGCTTTTGTCTTACAGTATACATGAAACTGGAAGAAGAGAGATGGAGGAATTTACAGTTCTACATACACTGACTGGATGGATACCAGAAGTTATTCCTATCCAGTAAGTTCTTTTATTAAGCAATTTACATATTMGTTGTTCAATACTTAATTCTATAAGGCATTATGAAAAATAAAGATAAGCTGTAAAAGTCTTTCACTATCAATTTTGGAAAGTGAATGGTTTGTAATTCAAGCACTTGGGAAATGTACCTTTGAGGAATGCTATTTTATTATTTTTCTTTGTAGGTAATACAATTTATTGTAAAGCTATTTTTCATATGTTGATGCCTATTCTTTATAAAATYAATTTAAATATTATTAAACAGTGTGATGAAAACAAGGTTAGAGAAATCTATGTTTCATTTATTATGCACTTAGAAAATGTTTGCCAGTGATAATAGCTTTATATCAGAATATTCCATAGAAAGTATATGACATGAAWTTGGAAGTAATCAATGTCAGCTAATATAAACTGTAACAGTTGATTGACTTTTAGTTTCAAGCAAAAGAAGTGTTCCCTACCTAGAGAACATTTTTCTTGTTTTCTATCCATTTTGTATTTTTRAAGAAAGACATTCTTATTTTTCAGCTTGACAGTCTTTTTTCTAAATATATTACCAGGATACAGACACTAAATATTTAGACTTTTTCTTTTTAATTGCACCTTTGAACCTTTTGATATATACATTCAAATGAATATATAGATAGCAAAAAGTTTTGATTTATGTATCATTTACTTAGCAATAATCATTTATTTATAACCATATTTTAGTATTAAATAATTTCATTCAAATAATATTTTATTCTTTTTTTTTGAGTAATTTTTTACGTGTCAAGCTATGCTTGCAGTTTAGGCTTTTGATATATTTGTCCTACAAGAGTGTATATGTAGTTCACTAACTTAAAAATCTGATTAACCTGAATTTTATTTCTTTACATTGTTGGTTTTACAACTGCAACTGCAAAACCAGTATTTACTTAATGTAAATATATTATATTATGGAATATGAAAATGTAAATACCACAGTGTCTTTGGAATAGTAGTATAAGATGACTTTAACTCGTATAAGATGACTTTAACTCAGTCACTTTATTTAAAAAAAAAGGTTGAATGCAGTTAGCTTGCATGAAACTTATTCATAACCCTGTTTGAGATTATTTCTGGAATCACTGAATTTCTGTGGAAAGCCGACAAGACTGCAACTGTTATGTCATATTGAAAGGCTATTGTATATGGTAGAATCAGAGGAAGAGGAATGTAACTATCTGTGTTGAACATTTAGGAAAGCCCAGATTGGAAGTACCTTTGAGAAGCTTTTTAATATACAGAACTGGAATGAAGATATTATACAGTGTAGTTGTAAAGTGGTCTGCAAGCTTCTCAACCACAAYTGTAGCTGCTAAAAAGCTTGAGAGAGGATGCTTTATTTACACGCATCTCTAATCACCATCTCTTTTTTTAATGAGCCTTTCCATCATCTGTCTCGACAAATGTTTCTGATACAGAGTTTGTTCTATCTACTAAAATAAACCAGTAGAATTTTTGTGTTGGACTGTCAGTGGTMTAGTGCTGTCTAAATGAAATTCACGTTTTCTTGTATTGGAACTACCACTACCACTGACATAWACCATGTGTGTTTTCTCTTAAGGCATGAATACCTGGACAAAGTTTGGGCCTTTCTGAAAGGGATTGTGCCAGAATTCAAGCTGCCAGAGAAAAAGACTCCAGAACTGGAGACTGCTCAATCTGTAACAAAAACGGAAGACACCAAAGACTCCGAGTTCAGAAGTGAAGTTTCATCTATGAATAAGCTGCCAGATATCACTGAGACAGCCAGTAGTGTTAGCAAAGGTCTGTAATTTYAGGTAGTGTTATCTTGTATGCCAAGCATAAATAAGATTAACATCATCTCTGGTTTTGAATTAGTATGTTTTGCATATATTGCCACATACAACTCTGTGGTTTTGTTGTTTCACTGAACTTGTTGCAAAGATATAAATTCAAAAATACTTTTGTTTTAGCTATAAATCTCATTAGAAGCAGCATTAGTCTTTAATTTTATGAAAATAGCTTTACTTTCTGGCAAAGAATTTTCAGCTCCATTCCACAACAATTCCTGTAAAGACTGGTTCCTTGCAGAGAGATAATAGAGAGGTTACATTTTCTCCAAAGGCAACACTGCTCTGACCATCAATAAATTATACATTTCATAATGGATGTTGCATAGTGTGATTACCTACAAAGTTCTGACAAATATGTTCTAATGTCTAACTGCATTTTTATTTATTGCTTCTCTTTTATGCTAATAAGTATAGGTAATAATTTTCTTCAAGAGCTGGTAATCCTATTTACATTTAAATGAAAAAACTTAGATTTAGAAATTTGTTTGTTCCAGTATATTATTCTTCATTGTTTTTGTTTGAGACTGAGTTTTCTTAGTTGCTGTTTTTAAYTTGAAGACATGGGTGCAATTTCACAACACATCTCATGACTTCAGAAGGTATAAATCGTATGGTATAATTTCTATTTCTTCTAGATTTTTGGAAAAATTTCTGACTTCCTCACTTTGGATCCCAAATACTATGTTCTAATGTCAAAAGTGTTAAGAAGGTCTTAGAAGTTACCTGTCTGAGGTCATATTCTCTCTTCTTAGGAAATGCTGCTATCATTTTGACCCACRCATCAATGTGGTAGATACTTCAGAGTTTGGAATGGACATGCCACTGGGAACAGCATTGTCATTCATCCAACAGGGTGCTGTAATTTTTTCTCAGAAAATGAAGTAATTGTAATCCTGCCTAAAATTTAAAAATTAGATTGTTCACTGAAATGGCTGAGAATCAGGGAACCATTTTGTCATGATACAGCTCTGTAATCTCCAATTCTGAGGGTAAAAGTCTTTTTCAGATGCTCTGTTGATGTTTGGGATCAGTGTTTGGATGACATGAAGCCATCCATCACACCATGAGAGATGAGAACCTGGGGGTCCTGGAGGACAAACAAGCTGTCCCTGAGCAGTGTGCCCTGTGTGCCAGGAAGGTCAAAAGAAGCCTGGGACACACAGGAAAAACATTGCCATCAGGTTGAGGGTTGAGGGAGCTGATCTTACCCCTTTAATCAGACTGCATCTGGAATGCTGCATCCAGTCCTGGGCTCTTCAGCACAATTGAGACATGGATCTCCTGAGCAGGTCYAAAAGAGGACAATGAAGATGACTGAGGAACTCGAGCATCTCTTATGAGGAAGGGCTGAGGAAGCTGGGCCTGTTCAGCTTTGAGAAGAGAACTGAGAGGGGACCTCATCCATGTGTATGAGACTCTAAAGGGTGGGTTCCAAGAAAATGCAACCAGGCTCWGMKCCATGGTGCTGAGCAGTAGCACAAGAGGCAGTGGGCAGAAACTGATACATGGGAAACTCCACTTGAACATGAACTTTACTGTTCAAGTGACTGAGCAGTGGAACAGATTGCCCAGAGAGGCTATGGCGTCTCCTTCACTGGAATGGCTTTAAACTGCGGATATTCAAGACCTGTCTGGATACAGTCCTGTGCCATGTGCTTTGTATGACAGTGTGACTCTATTGGARCAGGGAGGTTGGACCAGRTGACCCAYTGTGGTCCCTTTCAAATGGAACCATTCTGTGATTCTGTGAAGCTGTGTSGTGCAGTTGACAAAAAGGAAGGAAGGAATGCCATCAAGAGGGACTAGGAGAAACTTGAGAACTGGGCTCATGAGARCCTAATGAGGTTCAAAAAGTCCAAGTGCAAGGTGCTGCACCTGATCTGGGACAATCCAAGGCATGAGTATAGACTGGAAGAAGAAATGAGAGCAGCCCTGTGGAGAGAGACTTGGGGTATCTGGTGGATGAGAAGCAGAACAGGAGCCAGCAGAGTGCAGTTGCAGCCCAGAAAGGCAATTATATCTATCCTAGGCTGTATCCAAAGCAGCGTGGCCAGCAGGATGAGGAAGGTGAGTCTCTTCCTCTACTCTGCTCTTGTGAGACCCTCCTGGAGTGCACCATCCAACTCTGGGGTCCTCAGCACAAGAAAGACACAGACGTGTTGGAACGAGTCCAGAGGAGAGCCCCTAAGATGATTAGAGGGCTGGAGAATTTCCTATGAAAGCAGGCTGAGAGAGTTGGGATTGTTCAGCCTAGAGAAGAGCAGGCTTCGGGGACACCTTAGAGGCCTTACAGCTCCTAAAGAGAGCCTATCAGAGGACTGGAGAGGAACTTTTTACAAGGGCATGTAGTGACAGAACAAGAGTGAATGGCTTTAAACTGACAGGGTGGATTTAGATTTCATATTAGAAAGAAATTCATTACTATGAGGATAGTGAGCCCCTGGCACAGGTTTCCCAARGAAGTTCTGGTTGCCCAATTGCTGGAAACAGCCAAGGCTAGGGTGGTTCTTTGGGCAGTCCAATCTAATGGATGGTGCCCCTGCTCACAGAAGCGGGGTTGGARCTAGGTKRTCTTTAAGGTCCCTTCCAACCCAAACCATGATTATATGATTTTTCTTTTTCATTAAGAAGTATTTCCTGTAGTCTAAGTTGTAAGGCTTCAAAGAATGTTTGGACTATGGGAGATTTTCTATTTCCATGTCCATTGAGAATCTATGCATCATATATGATATTCTTTTTTTGTAATCACTGATGCATGAGAGCAAGGACATGAAGAAAATATTTGGCACAGTGACAGAAATTCAGGGATTTCTTACACTGTAATAGGGACATAAAAATTGTGCACTAACTAAAAGGTGGGAGCAAAGTGTTCCTGGCTCMTTCTCAGTAAATCTGCATTTACGTYTTAAGAACTACTTTTTATTTTTATTTCTTTTAATTAAATTATGTTGGTTGTTTATTGTCTCTCAACTCTTGACTTCAAAGAGTTTCTGATTCATTGTTTTTAAAATTTATCTAAAACCTTATTAAAACATTTGCACTGTATGAGATTTTATGATGAAAGTTTTTATCTGAAAAGGAAAAATATTTAATCTTTATTTTGCTTAATAGAAAAAGCAGAGCAGAAAAAAGTAGGAAAGAAAAAAAAAGAAGGAGCAAAAGAAAAAAGCAAGGGAGCGCAAAAGTCTGCAGGAAAGCTGGGAAAAGCCCAAGGCCTTCAGGACTTAACTGAAAGTAAGTCCTATTGTTTTGAAGCTAAAAATACAGACAGGAGTTATATGTAAAGCAAAGGGCTTTGTTTTAGTTTGGTTTTGAACTCAACTGAGGGGAGGTTATGGTTATTTTTTTTTTCTTTTAAATTGAAGTTTTTTATGCCTTTAACTTAAGTCATTCTAACCTAAKAAAATCTGTAACATAGATTAAGAATAGTGTATTGGAGTATTTTGTTTTAGTCGTAAGCTGTCTTACAGTATTTCTGTGTTTAAAAAGCAACCACCCTTCCTCTTTTGTAATTTATTTGTTCAATATCCACTTTATACAGTAAATTGCAATTGGAAAGTGTCTTTGTCAAAGGGCCRGGGAGCCAGGGGGGCAGAAATATTCACTAGAATTTACTCCATGATGTAAATATTTATTTTTATTAATCTTTGTCTAGGAAATACATACTGATGAATTTAATCCCTATATTGACATGTTCATAATAGTGTAATGTAAAACTTAAGTAAATTCTTGCTTTGTGCATTTATATAGAATGTTCTTTTTTAGAAACCTGACAAAATACATTTTAAACAAACCAAAAACCATAGTCAATGCTAATCGGACAAGTAATCATTCAATTAAGATATTTCATATTTACTAGCTTAAACCATAGAAAATCTTCACAAACGTGCAATAAGCTGATATGCTTTTGGTATTGCTTATGTTTCCATATGTGTGGCATTTCCATGTGACTATCAGCAAAAAACAGTTATTAGCTGGAATAATTTGCAAATCRGTAGGTGAGAATATGTAGAACATCTTTCTTTAGGGAAATAATTGGAGAGTGAAAATGACATTTATTACACAAATGGGATTCCTGCTTCTTGATTTGAATGCTGATTAAAATTAGTGATTTAAATAATTTTAAATTACAGCAAACCAAGATTATTGTTTTTAATCAACAAATATATTATTTAAATTCCTGCCTTACATACCACTAAATGAGTTGAACAGCAGTAAATTTTTGAATGTATTGCAGGAATGTAGTTTGCTTTAGTGGTAGTAGGCATGGAATAGGAAATGAGGTGTTTCATGTGAATATAGGTAATGTGACTAACTAGTACTCAAGCATGTCATGGGGAAAAGAAAGCAAAGGTAAAGCAAAAGGATTCAAGAGATGTATTCTAGAAACTGTGAAAGAGCATTAAAAATAAAGAGACAGTGCTTCCATGTGAAAAATGACATGATGCTTAGATCTTTTTTCTGCCATTTAGAACACATTTTATGCGTTTTTCTAAAAGACAGTTAGCATCTTGTGAAGAGGTTATATAGAAATTATTAATTCAGGACTCAAGTATGATGGTTTAGAAAACTCATTTATCCTAAGTTTGAACCAGAAAAGACTTTTGGAGAGGAGTAAGAGGTAGGTATCTCTAGARTAACAAAGCAAATTTAAGACTATTAGACTGCAAGGGAAAAAAGAAGAACTGCAGTTTGAAATAATACAGAGTTACAATGCATTTTTGTTGAGAGATTGTAGCCAAAAGAGGGAAATCTTGCAGGCTTTACAAGACACACGGTCTGCRGAGTGGCCCAGGACAGCAGAACTATTATTGTGCATAAAATAACATATGAAACTTGTCTTGATTCAAAGTCAGACTCCAGAGGCAGTAGTTGTAAAAAGTTCCTGCATTGTTCTAGGGAATTTTGTAACAGTGACTTTGCTTAATGCAGCAACCGTTTTATTTACCTTTTTTTTTTTAATGTGACTTGAAATGTATTTCATTCCCATCATGATAAAAGTGCTTATTTCCCTGCTGCAAGCTTTCACTCTACCTATTGACTACTGACTTCAAGGAAATTCTCCTTTGTTATGAATATGGACTCTTTCTAAAGAGATAGAAGAGATAGATTTTAATTACTCCAGATAGTGCTTATGTTTGAYGTTTAAAATGGCAAAACCTTCTGTATTCATTGCATTGTATATTCATGAACTTGTTTGGTTTCATACACATTGACATACCAGTTACTTCTAAATACTTAGAAACTTCTCTTACAGGGTTTTGATTTTGTGTGGGCTGTAATGTTGTGCTGAGCTGATGCTGTCTGGCAGCCAAGCCCCCACCCATCTGCTCACTCCCCACGTGGGGCAGAGAATGAGGACTGAACATCTTGCCCACCCCTGGTGTACTTCTGGGGTAGTGGAGTGAGAAACAGAAGATTTAATAGTGAGTGAGCTTTGCTCAACAGTAGCTGACATATTGGTGTGTTATCAGCAGTGYTTTGGACATAGATCTAAAGCAGCACCATACAGGCTGCTCTGATGGAAGCTCAATGCCAGCCAGATCCAATGCAAACATGCAGCTCTGAGTCACTTGCACACTCAGACCAATGCCTGCTGCACCCTGCAAATACCATGTGAGTTRCACCATCACTGAAGCATTGAACTTGTTTCCCTATTCATCCAATTGTGTGTATCCAGCTGAGTATCAAGCTCTTGACATGGTCAGTCAGAACACTTCCTGAGAGAAGCCAACTCTTTSGTCCTTTGGCTTATCAATCAGTCTCAGGAAGTTTTTGCAGACAATTCATTTGTTCCTACTGACCCATTTTAGTACATAGTCTGCACTTTTCCACTCAGCAGCTTTTTCTTCTTATAACTCACCTTYCATACTTAGGGAGTCCCTTTGTTTTATACAATGAGATATTATATGGTATGATGTGATATGATATGAGCTTAGTCCTCTTGTTCCTATAATGAATTTGCTTTGCTTTCCATTTAGGTTTCCAAATACTGAGTTTCTTAATAATTTCTGAACTGCTGGAAAGGGAATTCTATTCCATCTGAAAGGGCACTAGCTAGGAATTTGGGAGTTTGTTCCACAAACCACTCATGTATTTTGCTAATCTCATTGTGCCTTGATACCAGTTTGGTAATTAATGATAATATTTTCTATGTCATAGAAGTGTTGAGAGATCATTATTATGCTTAGAAGTTTCTGAAATCACACAAGTGGATCTGTRATGTTATCATCAATGAAATACATGTCACATAACAGTAAAGCTCTTATAATTTTTATTTTRCTTAGTCAAGAGTTTTCATTTATTTGATGGATTGAAGCCTAATATTCTTTTTTGGTTTTTCAAGTGCATATCATAATTCTGCGATATTGATGTCAATTCTGAAGAGCACACAGGTCAKTTTTCTGAAGGCTAAAAAAATTCCTTCCAATAAGCAAAGCTAATCCATGCCTAACACAACAGCAGAAGTTAACAGCTGAGTTGCACACCTGATGATCAGGATCKTGAAAGCCAGCTGATGTGTTTTCATGGAGTGGTTTGGATTGGAAGGGACCTTAAAGATCATCCAGTCCCACCCCCTCCACCATAGAAAGGCACACCTTCCACTAGACCAGATTGCTCAGAGCCCCACACAACCCGGCCTTGAACACGTCCAAGGATGGTGTATCCACAAATTCTCTGGGCAACCAATTCCAGTGCTTCAGCACCTTCACAGTAAAGCCTTTTCTTTTTACATCTAAGCCAGCCTTCTCTCAGAGGGGTCAGTTAAAACAAATTGCCCCTAGTTCTATCACTCCATGGCCYGTAGAATCTCTCTTCAGCTTTCTTGTAAGCTCCTCTTTAGATACTGGAGGGCTGCTCTAAGATCTCCTGGAGCCTTCTCTTCTCCAGGCTAAACAACACAAACTTGTCCACCCTTTCTTCACAGGAGAAGCTCTCCAGCCCTCACATCATCTTTGTGGCCCTCATCTGGCCTCATGACTCATCAAAAGGTTAAACTACACTGTCAGCTCTTGTTTGACAAATATTTAGGAGAAACATGAAGAGTGAGAAAATTCTTTGCAAGTCTTCAAAACATAAAATAAACAAYTAAAGATAATTAAGATCTATTAAAATAAATAATTTMARTTCCTGRYCTTTCTTTTTAAGTGGCTGGATATGTATTTTCCATGGATAAATTAAAATCTTACTTTCCCTTCTCCAAGGGAAAGAAGAATTTGTTCGGGTTGTTTAGTACTCACTCTCTGTAAATGAATTTGCAAAGCTGCAAGTRTGAAACCTAGGAATTTTTTAACGAAGCATTGCAGAATTCTTATATGCACATCARTGGATATAAATAATAGGCTTTGCTGAACCTGTTTTGTTGTACTGCATATTATWATGTTCTTCATCTAATAATAAAATTTTATCAAGACTATCAGTTTTAACTAGTTTCTCCAGATGCTCAATTCGCACTAATCATCATTACTCTTGGTGCCAAATAATTTGTATCCATCGTCCTCATTTTTTGTATGTTCAAAAAAGATCAAATAATATGTAATTTTAAACCTACTTGCATAATGTACAAAACCTTTCTAGTATTGTAATAGTATTATTAAAATGGATGTGATGTGYCTGGTTAATCATTTGTATGCTCTAATAATTTGTTCATTGCAGTTTATTGTCTGCCCTGCAGACATTTTATTTCACAACCCATCTGGACTGAGTATGACAGCTTTACATTCCACCTGGTATTTGATTAAATACTTTTATTTGAGAAATATTTCTCACAAGCAATGAGATCATTATGCCTTGTGGCACATACTGTTCTGTAATGCGTAGGACGTCATAGCTACTATTGCTGTATTTGTAACAGAACAGAGCAGTAGRGACTGAGATTAAAGCTAAATTACAGCCTTGCTTTTGAACAAGTTGAAACCCAAAACTAACACAAGAGCTGTGATTAACATGGGAATCACAGGCATGCAGAGAGAAATATTAAGAATCCATTGGAAAGTAACTCCTACTTACCTTTAGCTTATATTTAATTGGTTAATTGAATTCCTGGAAGGACATTTAAAATGCAAAGATATTGTACTTTTTTGAGAAGAAAGTGTTGCATGCCTTCTGAATAAATGGATTTTAGGTCTGATAAATTGTGTTTTTCAGCTACTTACCTGTTTTTCTTTTCCATTTTTTTCTTTATATGCAGATAACATTGTTTTATTTGATTTCACAGAAAATATCTTTTCTGAGAACGACTTGCAGTTGAATATTTACTAAACATAGGAAGCAATTATTCTGTGTCTGAGGTGAAGCTGAAGGGGACAATGACAGACACAGATAATTTTACTGGAGTGTTGGATGAGGMTAGAATCATAGAATAATTTAGGTTGGAAAAGATCATTAAATCTAACTGTTAACCTTTACTGCCTGGCCCAYCACTAAAGCATGTTTGTTAGTGCCACATCTACACGTCTTCTAAATACCTCCAGGGATGATGGCTCAACTACTTCGTTGGGCAGCCTGTTTTAATGATTAACAACTCTTTCTGTAAATAAATTTTTCCTAAAATACATTCTGATGAAAAATAGGTGTACAGCCTATGTACTGAAATTCTGCCTCCATATGTTCCCCAAGACAACTAAGAAAAAGTAGAGAGAAATAGATATCTTTCTTTTTGAGCTTTTCAGTTAAACCAGAGACCTATATTTCAAGTATTATGGTTCAGACTCTTCATTTCCCTTTAGAATGAATGGACTCTCAGACATCCTTGGCTTCTCTTCAACATTTAGGAATTAGCAATGGCTTCTGGATTAAGAGCAGGAGACAATCATATGGTTGCCTAGTGCAACAGGTTTCTGGGGTTAACAAAGTGAATGTGACCCTGCTTTTATGCTTTGCCTATAGAAGAATTACAGGAAAGCAAACTTCTGTAAGATATGTGGGCTAAGAGCTAAGCCCCCTTATGCTTTTGAGGAAGCCATCATTACCTCCATTGTTTCATCTCACTGACAGAAGTGAGAGCAAAAATCCTGGTTTACAGGCACTGTGTTTCTCAAATTACTTATCTCAGTCTTTATATCCCTTGGCAGTAGTGGCCAGAGGTCTGGCTTTGGATGCTTTGTTGGTAAGATCAAATTTTACCTTTACTGATGAGAAGCATTTAGCTAGTACTGACCAATCAGGATTTTTTACTTCATCTACACAARTTATGTATATTGTTTTCTTTATAGTACATACTGTTTTTAAAATTTAAAGAAAAACAAAAGAACAATGTTGAAAGATACCTCTGACCTGTCATATTTTTAAGTTTTATTCATTTATGTAAAATAAGTGAAATATGCAAAGGCTGATTTAAATGTGGGKTTTTTTTTTCCATCCATGGCTTGTTTTTCAAGCACATTGCAATGAGCTCTTCTTTTGAATAAAATAACAGTCAGACAAAGAAAAGAGTAATAAAAATAAGGCATAGAGAAAGCAGAATAATTTAGTGTGAAGTACAACTACTTTTATTTACTGTTCACCTTATTCTAAAAATTTTAATGTTTCCTGTGCAGAACCTCTCATACCAACTGAGCCAGAAATGGTCGTGTATGCTGGCTGTATACCGCTGCATTTGGCTGAAGAGGATATTTTTTCATTAACACAAATGGTAAGATTCTGTGCTCTCAGGACAGGAAACCATTACTTATTTTATTATCAGTGTGTTTAATTTTGTTTCAACTATGTTGTAACAAAAGGAATCAAATTAGCGCARTGAAACAGCCACTAGGTGATGACTATCAGTTAGATTTATATTTTGGTACTTYGGTATTCTGAACATGCATTTTCCTGCCAAAGACTGCTGATTTTATTCAGTTTTCCTCCACTTTCCTCTGGATTTCAGAAGCTGAAGTCTCCTGGGAGARAGTAGATGTGGACTAGAAAATGTATCATGATGAGATTCTTCTGAATGGAAAGTCTGAAAACTTGAATTTTAATTATTTTAAGACTACAGTTTAGRCTCATTTGATATACATTTTCCAATAGGTTGTTTGTTGTTGTATAATAAATTGCATGTTTATATTKATTTCTATCATTAGTGTWGTAACTGGTGAAAGCAGCTTAAGAAAGTGTAGCACTTCATGCGGCTGGGGTAAAAACACTTAAATTTCCACTTAGTCACTCATACTCCTCAGAAAGCTGTTTATAATGCCAGAGCAGGCTTTCTGGAGTTGATTATTAATTAGGTTTCCTTTTTTTGTACATTTAAATGGTATCTATCATARTCAAATCATTAAAATTTAAGATGACTACTCAGGAAACTTGTAGGCTTCATAGAATAAAGAAATTTCCAGAAGTGGTTTGCACGTGTTATGTTTTAGTGCCCTTAATCTTACGCTATTTTCTTTTTTAAAATTGTGCTATTTTGTGCTATTCTGAAGATTAAATTKTTATTTCTGATTTTATTTTAATTTAAATTCTCAATCAATACTATCTCTGCTAATAATAAGTAATACTAGTCATCAAAAAGCAAAGTGGAAGTTGGGACATAGGGTTATATCTTTCCTGCCCCCTAACACCCTGTGTCTCTAACTTGGCTATAGTCTGTTGGGATATGGAGATTACTGAAAAAGAGGTATGGCACACCAARTAGGATGAGACACATGAATCTATATGTCTAAACCAGTCTTTTAGTAAAGAATGAAATATGGAAGTTGGCAGAAGCTAAATATAGAAGTGTAGTGGATTTCTTATCCCCTACTGCTGCATTTTCAAACTTTATTCAAGGGAGGAGACCTACTATACCAATTGAAATAAAGTTTTCATGGATCCAAAATGGATCCACTGGGATAAGAGTTGCTCCCTAAATTTGGAGAAAATTTTGTCATTGACTGCAGCTGTGCCAGAATTTTCCTCCAGAATTTTTGCAGTATCCCCTGTAGCTTTGCTTCCTAGGATGGATGTCCTTGGTTTGCTGTGGCTTGAATTTTTCTTCTTTGGCTCAAATAAAAAAAAAAAAAAAAAAAAAGTAACTGAGTCATACAAGTGTGTGGTGTACTCAACAGCTAACAAGTTCTTTATGGCACCTAATTGGTTTTCTTCAAAATCTTTTCTAACTGGCATTTTTATTTCTATTCATTCCCCAGTCTTCAAATAACTGACAACCACAACAACATTCTTCTCTGCTGAGTTCATAAATATGGAACCTCAGGAACATTTTAAAATTAATAGAAGCAGTCAGAGACTTGCTGATGAGCATGTTAAAGAAATAAGTTATTGGTGATTTATTTAGCATGTAAAAGAAAGTGTGCTTTTAAAAAGAAAAGGATGTACAAATCTTGTAACAGAACTTTCAGTAGTGATGTTAAGTACTTGGCCATTATTATTTTAATGGGAAGAGCACCACTCAATGTCCACATATAAAATTGCTCTTAAGTCTGTTCCTAAGTGCTTTGATATACAGGTCAACTGAAGTGTCTTTAATGTGTTTTATAAATGAGCCATCAAATAAAAATCATAGCTTTAATGATGTGTTGGTTCAAAGTAATACTACATTATAGAGATTTTTCAAGTTATCTAAACAACCGATTGATTTTAGAATTCTGCCAGTTTATAAATTCAACATTAAGTAAGGACTTCTTCCCTCAGAGATAATATTTTTAGATAAGATTATTTAAAAGAAAATGTTCCTATTGCATTCCTACATATTCATTCTCTTCACTGGTGTGTTATGGTTATATAAATAAGTTYAAAGAAATTATGAATCTATTAGGAAAAGTAAAATATATGTAAACACATCYAAGTATACTTTTTCTGCTGAATATCAAATTCTAATTAGAATGTTTTTAGATAGCCTTGTCAGGTGAACTATATTAATTTCATTTGTTTTACAAGCTGTTAGATGCTTTTGTRTGCATACTGTTCTTTTCTGTTAGACAGATATGATCAGAAAGATGTGACTCAGTCAGATTATCCTTCCATGTTTCATAGGCTGATTCATCAGAGAAGATGAGGCAATTTGGGCTTTCCCATATACACAGCCATCCTGTCCTGATCACTAGAACTAGGTCCTGTCCTCTGGTAGCACCACCAGAACCACCACCACTTCCTTCTTGGAAGCTTTTCCGTCAGAAAAAGAAGATTGTTGTGACATCTGAACCCCAAGGTTTGTCTACTGAACACTCCAAAATAAATTTGTAATTGCATTTTACTTATTTTAAACATTTTTTGACCATACTTATCATCTGTTAGCTTAATTTCAATTGAAACCAATTTTGCATTACTTCCTCTTAGCAGCATTTCTTACATGCTTTGAGAAGTGTCTTAATTTATGTAAAAAAAAAAAGCACTCTAGTGGAGCAAATGAAGAGGAAATGTTATCAAAGTAACACAGAAGCTCTCTGATGAAGAGCCATGAAAACTGAACACCTTTTAAAAACTTAAAGTTTATGACTAGTCCTACTGCATCAACTCATGGTTTTAGTGGAATTTTTTTTTTCCAGGATTTGTCTGTAATGCATAATGTAGTTAAATGCCTGATATGGGATAGCTTGAATATGAAAATGTTACAGGCAGGCTAGCAAACTATACTGGGCTAAGTGATAGAGGATATTGGCAAAGGCAAAAGGCAAATAGTTATTTTGAGCTACCCTGGCTAACCTAATATATAGGTTAGGCACACTTGTTAATACTTTTCAGGCTGAGAATTAGCGTGTAAATCATTTCTTTTTTCATAATATGTCAACTATAATGTCCCCTGGTTTTTCTGTTCCATTCAAGTTCATGTGGTGTAACTTGAAGAATTATTCAGTCGTAATGAATCCAGACTGTGAATTGTTTCTCAAAATTAATAGTATTACATATTTTCATGAATTTATATATTTAACAAGTTGGGGTTTCTTTTTTCCCAGAGCCTGTGGTAGAGGAACCTGAAGAATACATTGAAATTGCTAGCCTGTTTTTCAATTATAAATTGAAWGTTATCAGAATACCAACAGACACGTAAGTATATAATGTTTCAACATTAACACTGTGAAGGTGCAATGGCTTATCTTTACTTGTGTCACAGGAAGAACCGCTCAGAWCGTGTCTGAAGCACATCAGGACAAAGCACTCTGTTGATGTATTGATGTCATGTAATTAATCAGTGATCAGTGTACATTTAGGATCMATATTGGCAGTACAACAGCTAAATTACTATACCAGATGCTTACAAAATGTTAATAAACACCTACAAACTTCTGAACACCTATCTGTAGCTAATCAGGYATTGAGGCATACATATGCAATTCTGCCCACCCTTCTGTCATTGGGGCTTACAAACACCTCCTGTTTTGGGAGTGCAGCACATACCTCCTGTTCTCCCTACAATCTGCTGATGTCGGTGCTACTGAGGAAGCTTGCCGGAGTGGACATGCACACATGGGTCCCATTTGTCACACCCTATATGGACAGTTCCCTAGGTAGATGCACACTTCTCAGGGCTTCTGACATTGGAGGGCAGGGAGCACTGTCAGGCACTTTGCCTGGTTCTCTACCCAGTGGACCCAAAGAGGTAGAATATTAAATAGATCACTTCTGCCAGAAATATAAATATTCTTTGATGTATTTCAAATTTTTCCTCAAACTGCTGGTCTGTTTTAATTCCTACATATAACCAGGAAATAATTGACTGTCCAGTCAGTATTTTACTGGGCATGACATATTTGTCATGGAACACTTAATGTTTATGAATRAAAGAAGCTGTTCTCTGTTCATGATAGTTGTTGCAACAAGCCTAAGAGTGCGGGTTAAGAAGCTCATGGTCAAAACACAGCTTTGTATAARTGCCTGGTGTTAAAGACAGGAAGTCCCACAAACCGTTGAAAACCAGTCTTTATACAGGGTGTCTTAGAAAAGTTARAGAAATTTGTCTATATATAATTGCTAGTCAATATTCTGTGCTCATCATACTTGCTCCCTGACAAGACAAGTAAAGAAAGATTACCATAAAGTGTATCAGAGCCGTGGTTTTTCTCCTATGACCCACTGCATAATGCATTTCTGTCAGGCTTCATCTTACAATGTGAACATTGAGTAGACAAGTTCCAGAATTATTCATCCTGTCTCTTCTGACTGAGCTTCTGTCACAAAGCATTGAATGTATCATATACCCATGTATACCAAAAGGYTGGTATCATGGAGGATATGTCTTTTCTTGGGACTGAGTCCAACAGCAGGTTGGAAATTGTTGGAGATTGGTGTATTTTCTTAGAGTGTGTACACTTCTTGTTAAGTGCATCTCTAAGTAAACTGACTAATTTACACACATGGCAGTCTCTGTATTTTGATCATTATAATTGAATGGAATAGTAATAAACCAGTTAGATATTTTTAATTTTTTTTCTAACAGCAGCATTTGTCCATGGAAGCAGTGACCTCAGAATATTCTGGGAATGTAATTGTTTTGCTGATACAATTGCATTTTATTTGTTAGAAGTACTTAAATTACTGTTTATTTTCAAACTGTAGGAGTAGAAGTATATTATCATGCCCTAAGCAAYTAATATTCTCTCAAAAGAATGAGACATTAGTAATGAAGATGTTGAAGTATTTGTACATTAGCAGATTTTATACTGTTATTTCATATTTGATAGATAGCTTCCTGGTCAACTTAGCCCATTTTGTGAAGGATAGTTTATTTAATGTGCTGTTTCCATGACAAYCAGCTCATTTAATCTTTGTGATTTAATTAACAGGTAGCAGCCAAAAATTTATTGCCGGTATTAACATTTTATTAAAGTAATATAGCTGTGTAAATAAGATAAAGGTCTTAGATACACAGCTGTGACTGAAAGTTTTTAATCTCTTGCTTTTATTCTAATAAAATATTTTGAAACACTCAAAGGCAAGATAATTGTGACTATTACAGCAAAAGATCTTGATATTTCATTATCTCAGTCCTTCAGAAGGGGACTAGATAACACATGCTTAGATTTTAATTCGTTCTTTATTGCTGTAATAACACAATTACAGATTTAAGTCTAATTGGCATGTATGGAAAATTGTTACGGTTTTGCACATCTTAACAAGCAAAGAGTTACTTATATTTCCATCAGTTTTTACTTCTGCCTCCATGGAAGTCAGCAACAGAGCACTCTTTTACCAGGRCCAGAATAGGCCTGCACAGGTTTCCTTGGTTATCCTGTGTTTTATCTCTCTGGTAGCTATGGAGATCCATTTTGAGGGAAAAGACAAAAAGTATTCTGACACAAAAAATTCATTTTCTTTCTCTACCTCCATTCAAGTACTAGTTTTTTCTTGTCCAAGGGCCATAGCCATTTATTCACTTTTATCATTATCATCTAGTTTTCAGCTGGCTTGTGTTTTGCTTTTTTTGAGGGTTATTTAAGAGGTCTTTCTAGCATAGGTTTGTGTGTAGTGCCAAGCCAGTAATGACAAGGAATATATGAAGATGTAGAATCTCTGCTGCCCTAGGAATCTCTCAAAATAATGGAGACATAAACTGTTTTGATGAAATTCTGTTCAGAATAGTTATGAAGACTAGTTTGAAAAAAATGTATGGTTAAAGTGTTTGAATTCTATTTTATTATTTAGCCACTTTCCACAGTCTACCCTCAAAAAAGGATTTCATTCTCTACCCCGTCTCATTTCTATTACTGAAATTGATGAAAATGAGAGTGACAATCATATGGATATGAATCAAAATGGGAGACACTCAAATGCAGAAGATTATTCTCAGGTAATAATATTTCTTTTTTTTTTTTTTTAACTTGACCCAGTTTTATATTACAAAGGATAGTGAAAGACAAAATAGAAAATATTTAATACTGAACAGGTATAACAGGTTTTCAAAGACATTTTTTAAAGCTTTTCTCCCTTGTTATTTAAGTAACTTCCCTATCCTTTCTACTTCATTTTTATATTGCGGTATATTGGGTAGGAAACCTTAATACCTTTTCCTTTAGCTTTCTATTTTATTTTTTTTTCTCTGATTCTAAAAGTGTTATTGCTAACACTATCTTGGTTTTGCTCTTTAAAATCCTTCTGATGGGAGTATCTTAAGATGATAGTCTGCAGTCTTTTAAATAAATTTTAGTTCATATTATGATTAGTTTACTTTGGCTACAGTGGAAGATGTACCTAGGCATGTGACTAGAAAGATGTAAACTTTATTAACACATGCCTTAAAATGGCATCCTCATTTAGGATTGAATGGAAAGACTTCTGGCTAGATCTAGAAAAAGAGTTAAGATTTCATTGCACAGTTGTTCTGCTCTTAATTTTCAGCAGCTCTGCTTTCTAAAGAAATCCTCAGCCATGATTTAGACCCTCGCATTTCCTGTGCAACTCAGTGAGGGAACGACATTACTCCAAACAGGTTCACCAGATGAAGCACTGACCACAAGTTGTCTCAAACTATCTAAGCAAATGCTAGTTACTAGGTAGAAGTCTCCACTGTAATTTTCCAACACAGATATTGTTTAATAAAACATTACTAGGATGACTTTGGGAAGTGGTGATTACTGGTTTTTGTAATTAATGATTTTTTTTTCTTGTTTCTGTTTTTGAATTGGAATGTGTATATGCTACCAAAGTTTTTTTAGATAAATTTTTAACAAAATGCTCCTTCTAATCTTTAAATCTCACATGCTTAACAGAGAGAAAATGATACTTCAAAGAGTATAGTTTCATGAAAAAATACAACATACAACATTTCATGAAAATAATTTTGTATAGGAAAATAATAGGCCACATAGAGAAGTAGAGATTTAAATATTCACTTAAAAACAAACAGAGCTCCACTGATGTTATTTCATTTGTTMAAGGTATACAAAAAATCACAATATGGCAAAGCCAGCATCTCTTCAATTTTATGCTTCATACTGCAGCAAACAGTGCTCGGAAGATCTTCAATAACATTTATCTTGTGACTTTAGGAAAATTGAGGGGAAAAGGACTCTMGGCAACATGCAAGTACTTTCAATGATGTTAGAATCTGGATCTGATTAATAATCCGATTTTTTTTTGGGGGGGGGGGCAAGTGATGCTTCAATTTGTAAATGTTTGCTACAGTTCTTCCCAMAATATTTATTTTCTCTCATAAGTACAGAGTCAGTGAGTACTTCTTCCATATATGTTAAATTCAATGTCATTATGATGTAGAAAAAAAATTATCAAAAATATTCATCCACAGTGCTGTGTAAAGGAAAAACAGCAACCAAGTCCTGATCCAATCAATCCAGCAGTAAAGATGAYCTAATTGTTTTGAAATTTCTACTGTCACATTCAGGGACAAACTGATGAATATACTTGGGGGATAACATTTATGGCATTTGGTTGAATAGTGATTTTCTGTAGGGTTAAAAATGTGTTTGAAGACAAAAGACATGCTACCATGTATAGTTCATGACCTTAACAAACAAAGAAAACAAAATTTATTTTAGTAAATTTTGAAATGAATGGGAAGTAATTTTCTGTGTAATTTTGGAGTGCCTATTTATGTCTACTCTGCAGAGTACACTCATACCTTTTTTATATTTCAGATCTACATCCATACTGTGAGTTTAGAAAATGTAATATGCAGATATCGTTAGTAGATTTAATGATTTTAAAATAAGGCAATTCTGTAGTGAAGAGGAATACTTTACAACAGAATATATGTGTGACCTGTGATTCTGTGATATATTTAGCTACTCAGTATTTTGTGTAGATTTTATAAACAATAGCCTAATTAATACTTCAATAGTATTTTACCTTTAAAAGTCTTTTTAATAGTGGCATCATAGAAAAATCATTACRAAAGCAGGAGGGAAGAAAGGAGCTGTATTTAGCATCTTATAGTATGTAATAATTATTGCTTTCATTACTTCAGTCTCTAGCTATACAAATATAGATTTGGTTAGTTGAAAATTAATAGATGTTTATGTGCTGGAAACATCAAAGCAGAGTGAAACATCCCTAAGATATTCTCCCCTAGTCCAAGAGTGATTTAGGAGGCTGATCTATCACAGCAGGATATGCAGTCAAGGAGAGACAAGGGTGAGCATGAAAATACATGRAAGAGAGACACTGATAAAACTGGAATGGTTGAAAGCAGACATGAATGTGACATAGGCTGAGGGCAATCTGATTCAGACATGAAATGTAAGAAGTTATGAGCASCTAATTGACTTGTACATGAACTTTACTTTTGCCTCAGTGTAAACCTCAGCTGAAAAACGYTCTGCCTATTAATAGCCAAAGTATGCAAGTAGAACTTCTTTTTTACAGATTGAAAAAAAAAAAATTATTTTTAACTTGGAGAAAAATCTTCCTTTTTTACATATTAAATCTTTTCATGAACAAAATTATGTGGATACCTATGGCAAATTCATAATGAAAGAGCTTGCTTTCTGTAGTTTTAAAACTTGCAGTAACAATATACACTTTAAAAAAAACAAATCAATTAGGGATTAAAAAAGCAAACACTGAAAGAGAAGTTTTGATCCCAAATTCATTATATTATTGCTAATTTTTAGAATTTTGTATTGTAATATACTGAATGTGAATAACTTTGTCTCCATTTTAAACTRTGTGATTCCTAGTCAGGAGACATCTGCCTTAAAACCTTTGATACAGATTTGGTAAATCTTTGGGATACAGCAGTTTTATGCTTTAAGCTGTCTGAARTTCAGTCAGCTGCTGTGCCAGATGCTCAGCAAGTTTAAATTGGCATATTTCAACTCRCTCCAATGGAAACTGCATGAAGTAACATTACTGAATATCTGATTCACTGTTCCTAAGGTCTGTTGTCACAGAAACAGAGACTAGTAATACATGAAAGATAAAATTTTAGAAGCTGCATGTACCTTCTTTAAAAAATATAAAGTTGAAAGACATGCTGYTATCCCTCATGCTTCCAAAATACTCATGCCAAAAAATAGAAATTATTATTGAATTTTTCAAATTTTTTGTTTTGCCCTGAATTTCCCATTCACTGATTTTACAGTCCTGAAAGCTTTTTTGATTTGCATTAGGAAATAATATTTTTTAAATATCTATTTTTGATAGTTGAATTTATCTTYAATAAGTGTTATTAAGAAAATGCATTTTGTTAATTTTTCGTTTAAAAACTCAAAAAAAATAGGGCCAGATTCTTTAAGAGAGAGGCTTTCTTTTATTCTTGTTCAGCTAWGTAATTGGAAGCTATGTAATTTATAATTGTAGGACACACTGAAATACATGTGAAAGTATTTTGTGGCCAGGAAAAAAACAAAACAGTCATCATATATAAATTGCACAGTCTTGCAGTTTTATGCAACAGCAATTTTGTCAAACACTTCTGAGAAAATTATTATCTTGGAGTACTGTTTCCTTGTAGATCTGCCATTCAAAAGCCTACTTGAATATTCTTCATCGTGATGAATTTTTTGATGTAAGTTATCTCCAATTCCRTTGAGAGAATAAATCTCTATGTGTTCTGTTTGAGGAAATGCAAAGCCAAAAATTCTAATCCAAATATGTTTACCATTACTATGTGCAATGGCTACTAGATATTTTAATATACTGACTTGATTGCTATATTAAAAYGTCTTAAGCAGAACACTCCTATTTCTCTTTGTGGCCTCTTCAGTGTCAAGCTCTCTGGCAATGCTAATTTCTAGAGCAAAAGTGTTAAAGTCTCAACTCTCTTCTAGTGATGTAAACACAATAAACTGGTTCTTAAATGTACATATTTCCTTCATTTTTCTTACCGCAATCCCTCCATATTTGTATTCAAACTCAGTCTTACCTTCTGGTGTACAGCTGATACCAGTTTATTTAATTTGCATGATCTGTTGTGTGTTCTTTTTTTATTCCACATAAAGATTACAGACTGTTGTGTCRCAAWAAGCTTTTTCTTCTTCTCATTCTAGTCCTTCGTGTGATACATTTCTTAAGTGCAGTGATTTGGTATTGAGTTAGCAGGAGAGCTAGATAGAAAACAAAAAAAAAMMCCTATTTTCTTTACAGATTTTATAATTTTGAAAATTACTTCAACCTTCATAAAATGAAAATTCCTTGCTTTTTAGGGAAAAKAATTATACCTGACATATGAGGCACATGAATTAGAAGAGGGACTTGARAAGAGGCATTCAGACATTTGTGGTGTAGAGAGACTTTTTGATGGGCTCACAATTACCAACTTGCATGTACATATTGGGCAGCTTTAAGATTACAGACTGAATAAAAGAGAAGCCAAGTTGGTAATCTGGTATTCTTAAGCTATTTCTATACCTCAGTTTGTGCACAACTTTGCAGATGTTTTTTCTTTTGTACCATTGCCTTTTTAAAAAATCCACCTCTTTTCCTTCTCCTCACGTATCAGCTCAAATGAGAGAACTGATATTCCATTTAGTGAGCACAGTGACTGAGAAATAAAAAAAAAAGACTGTGCCCAAGTGTCTATAGAAGGAAAACCCTTTGATGATATAACTTTCAGGTCAACATCAAACCTAGAAATTTAATACAGGGTTAGATATTAAGAAATACTTTGATCGACTTTGTAATTTTGAAGGWTTTCAAATGGACTTTTAATCTTAAAAGCTGAGTACTTGAAGCTTTATTCCTTCATCTGCAGTCATATCTAGAGAGCTTGTTCTTTTTGTGTTTTTCACAGAACAACTGRTGTGTAAGGTTTTGCTATGTACCATTTCTACATAGAAAAGGCCACTGTTTTTGTAAGAATATCAGAAAAATATTAAAACATATTATTTGGTGAAGTTGAATAAAATAGAAATATAGTTAATGTTAGGAGGCTGAAAAATAATAAAGAATCCTTGAAAGTAACAGGATAGCTATAAATTTATGAATTACCATTCTTTTTATAAATATGCAYTAATGATTACCATACATAATAGATGATAAATTAGATTATTAGGTTAACTATGGAATTTTCCTCACAATTTTCAATCAGGTTTGCCATTCATTGAAGAAAGAACAATAAGTAATTCTCCCAGAATTTYAACTGTGTGCATCCTTCCATGTTTCACAACTGGATCTAAATATTTTCTTATTTATTTCTTTATTGGATCCTGTGGCAGCAGAGCTGACCTTTCAAGCAATGTGTGTTCATTAAGGAGGAAAAATGACTTTATTTTGTCTTTCTGTTCCAATGTCTTGGGTAGTATGAAAGAATGAGAACTTTCTTGACAATCCAGTTGTCTTCATATCARTGAGGATTAGGTAGACAAGCAAATCCTGTGCCATTAGAAATGCACRCAGCTTTTGGCTGTGTTATGTTTGTGCTCCAAAAACTGGGAGTCTCTGCACAGCTGTGGTTAGACTGGTTTCCAGCTCAGACTGGATGAAGTTACTAAGCATCCAGATTTTCCGGGGCACATTCTCCTCCTTTCCTGGAAACTCTATGGATACAGTTTTTGAGGATTATCTGTATCTCTCCAGGCTGTCCTGCTGCCRGCTGTCAGTACCAACAAAGTAGCTCTATATTAAGCTACCACATGTGCATGCTAGAAGCATGGATAATGTGCACTGTCCCTGAACAGTATATTGGGCARAAAGTGTTACACTTCTTGTACAGACGTTGCAGTCTCCAAGGCTTATACAGTAGTTTTGTATAAGCCTAGGATTTGCCTAGCCTTTGTACATGCCTAGGATTTCTGAGAAGAAACTTGATTGTACAGCTGGCGTGTATCTTTGGTAAATCCTGTGACTCCTACAAGGAATTTGGCAGTACTGGAATCTTGCAAGTTGTGGACTCATGCAGAAATATGACAGCTCTGTGCATGCGTACTTCTGAAGTAACTGTTTAAAGGGGAGAGTTCCATGTGATTTCTCAGGCCCCTACATTGAGACATGACTGTTGATGTGACATGACAAGTGATCACAGCTTGACTTGTGAACAGTTGTGCATACAGAATTCTGGAAACAGGAGCTGAAGTACATGGGTATTTGCAAGATCCTACAGTGTCCTTTTCAGCACMTTTGCTTTAGAAAAGCAAGAAATTAATCTAAAAAAGAAGTGTAAAATGCAATATATTTCAACTACTGAATTCTTAATCCAGCTGTTAACAATTTCAGAAATGTTCTCATTTTTCTTTTAATTGCTCTTAATATTAGACCTATCATGAGCTTTGACTCCTGAATGTTTTTTTAAAAACCTGCAAAAATCAGATTAGGCATAGAATTTCAGATTTGTGGTGTGCCAAAATGGAACTTCTTGATTCCCTCAATAAACAATATTGAAGTTAAATTATATGTATTAAATTATTTGGTACTTCCTRTTTTGAGATAGAGACTGTAAATTCCATAGATTATTTGCTCAACTCTTTCCTTTAGTTAATTCAGAGAATATCAAAAAACTAAAATTTTGCCAGAGGCGAGATTCCTGCGCCTGTTCCCATGTCCTGAGCTCATGGAGATTCTGTAAAATACTGCAGGAAGACTTTTACTGCAGCTAGAAATTAAAGTAGAAAGCCATAAATTTTCCTCTAAGGAAGCATTCACTGGCCCCTTCATATAATGGGTGCTCTGTAATAGGAAGGTTGAGACAGACCTGGATTTCCAGCACAGCGACCTTGTGCAAGGTACTGTTATGACCTGCCATCCAGTCTGACTTAGACTCTAAATTATGTCAGTCTGACCCTCAAAATATATTTCTAGATTGTACTGAGAAAGCATAAAAGCAGCTCCAATTCAGCATAGCTCCCACATCTACTCTTTGCAATGCAGAACAGAAAATCTCTGTGTCTGTCCTGCTGCTGGCCATGTCCATGCTACCAGTTTGAGCATCAACACCTTTGCTACATGGGAAGATATGTAATGGTATGTGAGGAGTTTGGTGGGGAGAAGAGTGACAAATCTAGGTAAAGGGAGACCTGGGATGAAAAGAAGCTTGAAAATTTGCTTGTAATAGCCTTTTTAGACTTTAATATTGCAAAGACAAAGCTAGTCCAGCTAAGCCTCTAATAGTATCACATTCAAATAGGAGAAAGAGATTGTACATTATCCAGTTTTTCTCCTACTGTACCTCATTAAAGAAAAAAAAAAGAGGTGGATGTGCCTCTTTTTCAGTGTATGTATGTCATATTGCAGGGAAGAGGACAGTCAGAAGGAAGGATGACTCGGCACACATTTTTGAATCAGAGATTTTAATGTTTCAAAGAAAAGGTCCCTGTGTTTGCAAATTTATTAAGTGGACTTTCTGAAAGGCTGGCTAACTTCATTTCAACTTCAAGAGCAAGCAGCTGTGTTGCATTCATATTAGTTCAGAAGCTCTAGCTTGGAGCTTTAGTTGACCAGGATAAAGCTGATTGCCAAAAACATGTTTAAAAGTCTKTTTTTTATTTATGCAGTGATAGAAAACAAAAGATGCTATTGTAATCAATAATGCTGTTGCTAATGTCACTTGTGTAATGTCACTTTCACATCTTTCCCACAAGATATGCTTGTGGGAAAAGGAGCCCTCCATATATTTTTTAAGGATGGAAACCTGGAAAAAATAGAATTGGTTGTAGAATAAGAGTATTAGTTCATAGAATAAAACTTCCTGTATTGTCAAAAACCAGTAATATAAAAGAACATTATGTTAATAGTGAAGTGGTAGGTATGTGAAASAGCTTTTATCTCAGACTCCAGATCACATATATTTCTCCAGAAAAACATAATTCTTTCTGTCAGTAATATGTATGTGGGTATTATGGTAACATTTACTACTTTTATTTTTCATTTAAAAACCCGGCCCAAACCCATGGTGATAACTTACCAGCTTGTTCCTCTCTCTCTGTAAGAACTGCCCCAAAATCAGGTATTTTCTCCAAGAAAATAATGCAAGATTATAATCACCATCTTTACTTTTTGTTGTTTTGTTTTTTCACCATATAGGAGACCATTTCCTTGTGCCAACAAAATTCAGAGCAATACAGTAGAGGTAAGTGTGTGTGAAGTGAGACTTTTGCCATTCCTTTGTTGTTTGGCCTCAGTGTTAATCCTCATGTACATATATCAGCAGTGTGTCTTATGTATGGGTGTTGGTTTTACAGGAAAAGATTTCAAAGAGCCAGTGGTAGCTAGCATGTATAATAACATAGAGTAGAATCTTCAGTTTGGTATTAAAAAAAATCCAAACCCTTCTCATAAGTTACTTCCAGGAAAATACAGTGTATTTGTACATAGAGCTTTTTTAAATCCTGTGAATTTTGCTCTTCTCTTTTTTTTTCCCCATGAAAAATGACAAAAAATAATTGGAAAACAGTTTTCGAATTAATGAATGTTCTTTTGAAATGTGTTTTGCATCACTCTTCAGAGTATTCAATTTTTTTTTCAAAATGAATACCTCATTTTGAGGTAAATGACTAAAGGATGTGGTCAGAAAAATAAGAGGGTCTTAAAAAATATGAGCCCTCTTTTAAAAATAAGTTTATTTGCTGGGTGCACAAATCCTTTGGGTCCTAAAACTGACTGCTAGGAAATATCTTTCCTTTTACCAGGGTTCTGAAAGTGAATCTCACAGCAGAAGATTTGAAATGTGTGAATAGTATTCATGCATCATTTACACCATGATTCACACTTGACACTCATGTTAGTCTTGTTTTTCAGCTGTTCAGTTCACACAGCAGTCTGTGAAGTGCACCTTTGCTTTTTAAGTATTTAGGAAGATTTATTCTCATGGTCAGTAAAGGCTTAGAATGCCATTTTTTTAATTTTTATTTTGTTCTCTGTGAAATTTTTATGAACTTCTCTTCCGATAATTGACAAATACAATAAATATCCTTTCAATAAAACCGTGTGAATAACTTCATAGTTGATACAGTAATTAAACCCAGTAATTTCATCCAATAAGGTTAGATATTTTCACAGATTTTAATATTATCTTCATTGTGGAAAAATATTCAACCAGCAACAGTCTCTGGTAATCCCCATACACAAGATAAGGTTATACTGGGAGGAAGGAACAACCAAAAACCTGGATCAGACTRAAAATACACTGAAGAGTGAGAGTTTATTTATGATACTTTTATGTGTTGAAGTAAATGTAAGTCGTTCTCCTTCCAACCCTATACTAATAAATTGGCTTTGTATTTTTGAGGACTGAACAACTTCAGGTTATTTTGTCACAGCTCAATGCCAAAAATGTAGTAGAAGTACAGTAGATTGCAATAGATGACTCTACCCCTGCAATAAATACGTTGGGAACTTGGGGTATTTTTGTGGTTGTCTCTATTAATTGACCTCCAAGTTATTGTATCTAAATAACCAGATGGCCTCTTTTCTGCWCACTCTAAATTACGCTCAAAAGATGCCCATTGGAACAAAGCTTCCATGACACAACCAAGGAAAAGGATTATGTGGACATATTTCCATCCTCTGGCCTAGAATACTAATTGCTCACATTACTACTATGCTGAAATCTTTTGTACTCAGGTTCTTTTCAYAGATTTTTCCTCAGGCCTATCTCAATCCATGTGTTGTCATTTCTCTATGTGAAATACATTTATTCCAATTTCACTGACGTTATGAGGGTTACTTWATATTACTGTTGGTTCAAAACTGTTCATTATGAGCCTTTAAAGTCCACAGAATGTCTGATAGCCTGAATCATTAGGCAAAACAGAGAGAAAAAGATAAATATTTTTTTAAATGTGTTTTTATGAGGTCTTTAATATGCTTTTTAGCATGTCTAAAAATTGCTCCAATTTTGCAAAGTGTGTGAAGAGAATTCAGTCATTTCATCTCATCAGAATTTGTTAAGGGTCATTAGACAGTAAAATATATGAATGATCTTCTGTCAGAAGAGTTTTTTTTGATTCACTTGAAGCAGATTCAAAACACATTCCTGTTTAAAACCGATATTTTACAAGTAAACTCACACATATAAACAAAACCTTCCCTGGATAAGTGGTTGCTTTTCAATATGTCAACCCTTTGTTTGGGGATTCTCTAYCTTTGTATGTTCTTTAAAAGAAAAAATACTTTCACTAATCTAAATAGGCTGAAGTCCATTGAGACTTATGGCATTGGGGTTTATTCCTTTTTTTTTTTTTCCATGGCACTACTTGCATAAATGGTAAGCAATAGTTAGCAATTTGATTTACATTCTTCTTATAGTTGTTTCAGGAAGCTCTGAACAGTACAGCCTTTGGAGTGCATGGATGAAAATATTTTGTTGACAGTGGTTTTGCTTTCCTTTAGCTGCAGCAGAAGAGAACTCTTCCCTCCAGCCTGCACACAAAATCAGAAAGGTTTATCTGTTAACTTTAGATGGGGTGCAGTGTGTGTTCTCTTTGAAGTGTGCAGAGTTCTACTGACTGGCTGATGCAGAAGAATGTCTGTTGATACTACTCTTGTACTCATGGTCAGAGTGGAAGAAGAGAAGTGACACTGAGCCACAAGACGATGGCACTGGGCATTGTTCTGTTCTAGTGACCCACTTACCATCCCCTTTGTCCACTTGCATTTGTAAGCCAGGCACAGTGGTTCATATACTGAAAGCCTAACACCCATGTTAACTTAAACTGAGAAAAAGTCTAGATTTTTCAGCTTTCAGGTCGTTCTTCTTCAGATGAAGGAAAGGAGGAAAGACTTTGGTGCCTTTCCTTATATGTAATTTCTTTAATTTCTTGAAAAATATTAGAAAACTGATTTAGAGCCATATATTASCCACACATTATCTCTGTATGTCTTGGTGATAATGAAATATTACAAAGCACATTTAAATATAAATGATACATATTTCTAATAGCTTTTCAATTTGTTATGTCTTATGTTGGAATATTACCTCATCTTTTTCCTCAGCAAGCATTCTGAATTAATAGCTGTTCAGTTCTTATATTCTCGATTGCTGAGCTACTCTCAGAATTTCTTTTTGGGCCAAGTCAAATATTTTCAGTAACTATTTGTATGAATCTCACAGAAAAAATGCAGAGAAAGTGACTTTACAACACAAAAAGTTATGGAGTGATTGCAAAATCTGTCTTGCATATGTCTGTATTTATACGTTGGTATGAATTCTGATTTTCCTACAAGAAAAGTCATGTTATCTGTTCAAATCTGATTGTGTTTAGAAGTAGTTAGACTGATTTGTTTGATAGCATCATCGGGGGTGCTAGTACCAGAGGGAAGTCTCGGTCTTTGTGTCCTCCACATTACTTTACATTTTTTTCTGTGGGTTGTATAATACTACCTCATTAATCTTTCACTGAACAGGAGCTTTGGACAAGGGGATGTATTTCTCTTTATATCGATGACTTTAGGTTTGCAGAATGTGTGTGTACCTAACAAGCTGATCTTGAAGATTCTAACACTCAGTTCAATATGTGGCAGTGTGTTGAGGCAGACTACTTAAACAGTTGCAGATGCAAACACTAAATTTCCATATAGAGTTGTTTCAATCACCGCTGGAGCTTTATARGTTAAACTATATGAATAGTAACTAATGTATGAACAATTACCTTGTAACTTTAGAAAAATTTTTAAGACTGATACTACTTTAATGTGCATATTGTCAATATATTGGCTCTTTGTGTTTTTGTCTTTGCAGATGAATTACATGAGAATATTACTTTAGATGGAAAACAAATGGCAGAAACAGCTGATACTGATGTGAAGAGCCAGACAGGGGCTAAATCAAAGGAAGAAACAGAGTCAGAAAAGACTTCAGTTTCCAGGGAAACCTGGATTAGCTTTGAAGACTTCTGTGTTTGTTTCCAGTAAGAAATAGAGGGTTTGGGTTTTATTCCATAAAATATACTGTATAACAATGGTAAAATTCAAAACATGACTGTATAAAAAGCATATCTTCCTAACAGAACTTCTTTGTGTAACTACCCTGCCTTTCAGGGTGGCTACTCTTCTGACCAGACTTACTGTCCCTGTTGACAGTGAGTCTGTAACTAAAGGCCTATTCTGTGCTTTGGGTATGTCCTCCAGAATACAGTGGATTACAAAGCCACCAGCTCCATAAAGCAGCTGTCAGATGGCAGGTGGGGTGGAAGATTGTAGATCATGGAATGTTCTGGCCATTGGGTCCTTTTACAACCCATGAGGCTCTGGGCAGACACAGTCTTTATCAGAACACAATTCTAAAAAAAAAATAAAGTTGAAATCTGTTGCTGTCAGCATAGCTTCATTTGATCAACCAGGTGTTCTCTCTCACTCCCTTTTCAGTATAATTGCAAGGCATTCATACAAATGAAAGCATAAAAATATAGCTAGTGTACTTGTAGCATAATATCTTTAACTTCTGTCTTTCAAATTTGAGAAGCCTGGTACAAAATATATTCTTTAGAGAATCTAAGATTGCTGAGGGAAGAAATTTTATCAGAGAAAATTTTTCTGTTTGAATATGTAATTGAGATTTCTTTGTGAAGCTTTTATTTTCTGAGTGTTTTCTTGAGCAGGTATTAAACTGTACTCACTCTACAGAGGAGAATGCACAACTTTTATATGAGCCAGCAGTAAGGAATAAAAAGTATAGAGTATTTTATGCCTTGTTAAAGTTTGCCTGCTACTTTTAGGTAGTCCCAGGTCCAGGAAGATAGGATATTCAGAAAACAAAAAAAATCACAAGCAATGTAATTTCCTTTAAAATCTTGCTCATGGTGGCATATAGAGAGAATGGGAAATATGAACATATTAACTTGTTAGCCAAATTGACCTTTTGTAGACCAATATTAATATTAATTAAGGTATAAAACATTTGTCAGTTTTATCTCTAAATAAGTGAGAGTTTATTTTCATGGTGACCTGATAAAGTAAGTGTTAACAGAGCATCTCGATGGACCTTTGAAGAATTTATCCCTCAGAAGATATTAGGCACCTAAGATTTTTATTTTACCAGTCAGTTCAGTTGAAAGCTTTTCMTTCTTTGACATGCCTACATCTCAGATACAGTGAAAATAAAATTAATGTTCATAGTTCTTATCAACTTTGAGAAGTGAGGATGATTTCAGTCATTGCAAGAAATTGATATGTCAACAGTAGATCAGGATCCCTGTGGAGTTTCTGAGTAATCAAAACATTGGTTCACATCTGATTCCATCCTCAATTAAAGATGAAGCCATTTATGTTTCCCTTGGTGAAATCAAGGTCAGAAAAAATGGTTGTCAAACATTTTGCAGTTTTTTGAAGGTCTACAAACATCACAGAGCTGAAAAAAGACATTAATAACCTATATAAAACAGTTCTTCCTTAGAGTTATGCTATACATAGAACTTTATTACAGTAATTTTCAGAGGAGCATGGAAGTTTTAGAGCAATATTAGTGCGTTACCATTTATAGATTTAAAAGAAACAAATTAGTGGCCTGACCTCCAATGGAAAATTGTAGAAATGCAGCAAATACACAAATTAATGTCAGCTGCTTTGTCTGGAAATTAATTTTATTTACATTTTTTTAATAATTGAAAATGTTGAATCATTTTTGAGAAATAGCTGGGAATCTGATTTATGAAACTAAAATTAATATCTTGTGCTATGAAATAGACACTTAGCTAAACTATATAATTTATACTGCTTATTTACTTACAGCCCTAAATAATATTTCAATTTTGTATTCTTCTTAGGAAGCTGTATGTTTTTCACAAGCCACATACATATGCTTATAATTATCAGAAGACTTACTTTACGGTAAATGACTTTATTGTGCCTTTTTTTTTGTCAAAGTCTTACATAATTATATAATACATATATCCTAAAGAATATTGGTAGATCATATAGAACTGCTATTACTGAAAAATAGTGCATTAAGATTAGTCAATACAAACCTATGTTTGCAAGCAAATATTCAGTATTAAACATATGTATGTTTAAGACAAGGAAAAATGCTACTGGAATGCTACTGCACAATAGCAAAAAAATGGCTTATGTAAATAATGAAAATTGATAGTGAATTAGATCTCCATCCACTCTTTATGTTGAACTACGTTTTAACAGTTTGCTATCTAAATTAAATTTAATGATCACTCAGCTGCAGAATCTGCCCTTCAATTCTCCTTCATCTTCCCCTGTTACCTAAGACCCAAATCCCGAGTCTGTTTAGCATAGGCCTCTGTTTTCTCTTTAAGTGCTAAGTCTTTTTGCTATTTACAGCATTTTGTTGCATAGGTATAGAAATACTCTTTAGTTACATTGAAATTACAGAATTTCTCTAAACCTACTATTAGTTCATATTATCAGAAGGCTTTTTAAAATGCTTGAATATCCTATTCCAGCTCCTATTTTATAGGGTATCTAAAGTGTAATTGTAGACTACTGAAATGTAAACTCCAGGCATGAATTTTATGTAAAATCCTGTACCAGGAAGGTTAACTATATCCATTATGCTTCATAATTGTAGTATTCCTGCAATTTCACATCTCTCTGTAATCACATCTCAAGAAATTTTCCTAATGACAGCATGATATACTTTCATAAGCTATAATCAGCATTTAGGAGATGTAAGCCTATATGGTCTTGTTAGGGGCCAAAACCCTAACCCTTTGCTGTAGAAAATTCTAATTTCTTACATTGAAAGAGATGAGATGTTTGGAGTATTAAGTAAATTCTGTATCATGCTTATAAAATAACATTTTCATATTATGATAAGAAGATAAAAATACCAAAAAAAAAAAAAATCAGATGACTCTGGAATATCCAGGAAGACATGTATTGTGTTTAGTTCTGAGGAAAGAAGCTCATTCATCATTAGATTTTGAAGAGTTTCTAGGAGCAGGAGAATCATTCTACAGTTTCTAATATTGGCATTGGAATTGTGTATCAAAGTTGAGAGTAAAAGATGTTACCCCCTTAGAGTTTTGTAGGAAAGAAAACCCTTTATGAGGGAGGATCTCTCGTAGCTACAAATTAAAAGAGTACTTATTTATTTCAAGCTTTCTGTAATTAATTTAGATTATAAAGTTTCAATACAAAGCAAAATTTTTGGTCTTCTGCTGATTGTTGGGCAGACACAACTACTAGTACACAACTACTAGTACACAACTACTACATTGAGGTGCACATGATGAATATGTGTAGAAATATATATATTCTCATGCAACTGTTTTGTTTCCTTTTATCTCTTAACTGAAAATTATTATACATGCAGCACGAGGCTCTGGGCTTAATTTCCATGTTTGAAATTTGGAAGAAGTAGTGACAATTAATTGCTTACTTCCCATACCATGGTTAAGGACACCATATCTGAAATCTTAGTTCTAATTTGTATAAGGTCAGTGGGACAGCATTCAATGAAAGATGAACAAATGTCCATTTTTTTCTATACAGTCTACTGATGATGAAGTCTTCTATTATTTACTTGTGGACAGTCTGAAGCCCATTGAAATCCTGGTTAGCTTTTCTACAATAGTKCACTGGGACGTTATTGAAGGTAAGGCCAGCACAGAAAAGTACGTGTTAGTTGTTGTGTTTTCCCAGTCTTGAATATGTTGGTGGTGTTGTGTTTGTCTGTTGTGTACTTGGGCCCAGTTTGAGAGTTTAGCAGCAGTTTAAAGCATCAAATTGATTTTAAGATCTGTGCTAATATTCAAGCAATGCTTCATTATTATTTCATACTGATGAACGTTTTCATGAAAGGATCCCTCCCGTTATTGTTTACTATGATTTGCTGCAACCTTTTCATCTTTTGCTGCAATCTTTTCATCTGTATATTTCTGGAACGGATTTCCTTGTGTTTCTTTGGGTTTCTTTTCCACAGATTCCGTTTTTGCAACCTACTTTACACTTTAGCCAATCATAATCCAGTAAAAACAGCAATATAACCAAAGTATATTTCTGAAATTATTTTTAAACTGGTACACAATGAGCTGCCGTAGCCCTCGCTATCTTACAGCTGTGTGTGGGGGCTGGGCTCGGACACAGCCTGGGCTCAGAGGGTCAAAACAGCGCAGACTCGAGCTGGGCTGACATATCAGCCATGGAGATGAATGGGATTGGATAGATGAAAGTATTCTACCAATAAAAGACAAAAACATGCTAGATTGAGATTGGAGAGTGCCCAGCTGTGTCATCTGGCTGGGACCTGTTTGATTGGTGTGATTCTATGTGCGGGAAGATAAGAAAAGTGTATATAAAGCATGCTAGTTGCTGGAGTTAGAGGCAGAGCTGAAATCCGAAGATTAATAAAGAAGAACCTGTCTGCRCSTCTCGTGTCRTCTTTYCCGCGGGGTGCGGCGGGACCGGGGCTTCGGGCAGTTACAAATGAGCTGTCAAGTACATTTAAAGTTGGCTTTTTCAAGGTCCAACAACTTGAATTATTTAAATAGAAATCCCTTGTATTTAATGAAAAACATAGAATGGAATTCAGAAAACATAAGGCATTTTATGGTAGTTGGCTTAGGTTAATCAGATATTCAAACATTGGATATGGATATAATCTTAGTGCATCTAGAGTGGAGTAGAGAGAACCAAAAGAAAGCTTAAAAAAATGCAAACTGACCATTCTGCTAAAATAATTAAGCTGTAAGCTATAAATATAAATAAATACAAGTTTTTTTGGCTGTTTGCTTCCTTTGCAAGTGGACAGAAAGGATTTCTATGGAGTTTTACAGCAGCCTTAAGTGACTTGGAAAATGTCTGATGTATACAACTTAGTAACACATTATTTTAAACATKATTTTCTAGCAAACAGTACAAATAAGCCGTATTTCGTACAACCAATGTATTTTAAATGACTTTTTCTCTGAGCAGCAAAGCCTAAATGAAGACCAATGACTATAAAGTAGCTACAAATTCTGCATAGGTGTGCTTTAATTTTAGTGTTAATCACCCWCCCCATATTGTGTGAGTTGTATTGTGTTTGTCTTCTTTTCTTAATCTAGGTACTAAGCAAGAATATACAGAGGGTGTTCTGAGGATTGAATATTTCTCTTGGAAATCTGTGATTCCTGGACAGCTTGTGTTAAAGATGCAGACGTCTGCAACCAAAGCTACTGTGTTAAATCTTCCTGTTGGGTATGTATGAGGCTTCATTTCTGTACTGACACTTTAGTTAAAGCTTGAAATGATTGTTTGCATTACACAGTAACACAGTAAGAGTTTATTAACTACAATATCAATTTTTGGAGTATCAAATSGGTTGATAGCTAGGATTTGGTAAAAATGCTGAATTGCTATGCGTTTACCAAATCTTTTATAAAGATTTTGAGTTCTTTACTCTTACTTAAGAGCATTTAACAAGAAAAAACACACTGACTTGCTAAAAAATAGGTTTAAATTCATACAAATTCCTACTTAAAAGTGTTTCTAACTAGAATGCTTTGAAGTGTTCCCTGGTGTAGCAAGAAAAATGTAAGAATTAGCACTTTTAGTGGAACTGTAAATGCATGATGATACTGTAGGAGGTTTCAATGCTTTTYTTGAAACAGGATTTATGAAACATGACAGAAGAAATTCTAACATTAYCTGTGAAGTCTTGCACATCTTATTTCCCATTCACGTACTGCTGTATATGATTTATTACTCTTTGCATGTAACTCTAAATATTCAGCATGGGTCATTGGCTAATTGTTTAAATAAAGAAATAGATAAAGAACAAAAGTCCTTCATACGTTATTTTCTTAAACTCTTCCAGGGAAACCAGGAAAATTACATCTTCATGTCTTGTCATAAACATAACATTCCTGTCTAATTCACTCAGGCGTTCTACTTTTCCAAAACAAGAGAATCTCCAGTTTAATCTCAAAGTGATGAAACAAAATGTATTTTGAAAAAATTAAGTAAGATGTCAAAAAAACAGGCATAGAAAGAAAATACCACAACACTTGCACAATGAAATTAAATCAAAGATCTTTAAGAGTGTTCTTTATTTGTTTTATTTCAGACTAAACCAGGAAGAGTTGCTATTTAGTGTATAGACTGCATTCACATCTGGTTCTGCATTCACATGTATTTTCTTTGTGTAGTTTCCAAAGGTTGTATCCCTCTGTCCTGTAGGGAGGCCTAAAATGTGAATCTTTTTGCACCTGTAAATKTCAAAGGTAACAGAGACACCATCAGCTCAAATATATAAGCTCCCAACTTTGATTCTCTCAATTCCAGTCAGAGACAGGAGCCCTTCAATCAGATTCAATTTCCAAAAGGTGTGAGAGACAAATAGGGGTATTGACCACTTCCCCATTTCATTCCAAAAGAGAAGTCACTTGCTAAGCATGAAAGGAATTCTCTTCCCACTGGCTGTTAGTGACTAGGGAACATTTAAATTTCAGTCAAAAGAAGATGTAATTAAAAATATGTCTGTGTGGGGGTGGGGTATTAACTCTCCTTTCTTACTCTTCTGCTGGCTCTCGGGTTAAAACTTTGAAGCTGTCATGGATGGGCTGCTGCACCTAAATGCAATTCTGACAAAGATATTACCACATGCATGGAAAGAAAAGCTCAAGAATTGCTGCAATTGGAAAAAAAAAAAAAAAAGGTTTTGTTTTTTCCTTGCATACAGGCGCCATATACTGCTCTTCACAGTAAGTTGTCCCATAGGGCACAGCATTCATCTGTGTTCCATGGTGGAATGTGTCTTTGGAGAAGAGGATGAAGTGATACCAGCTCTTCAGCAGGTGTGCATAATGACTAATCAAACTTTGTTATAATAGCTTTTCTGACTATTAATTAGCAGTGGAGCAATATTGGATTTCCATTTAGAGTTATTATATTAAATGGTATAGTAGTGATTCTAATATGAAATTGATAAGGACATTAAAGATATGTGTTTTACAGTACAACAGGTTCTGAGTTGCATACTGCAAAAATTACCTTACATAAATATGTAAGTCAGCATTGGGTAGTACTTTGGTTAACATAGAAGAGGACCATAAAACATTTCAAATAGTCTCCCTGAAATACATATGTCAGGAGTAACATATAACTCACTTTTTGAGGTATGTCATAATATAGATATTGTTATTAAAATATACCTGTCCATTTAAATAAACTTTCACATCAGTGAAGCATGTTTTGTCCTGTGAAATCACATATTACTCACTGAGTCCCAGAGCAGCTTTTATATCTAAAATGAGCAATTAGATCAAACAACTTTTCATTGCTGAGAAGAGAGGCCCAGGGGAGAAATTACTACTGCTTTTGTTCTTCATTATCTACAATCCAGACAGATATCACTATAACACATATTTTCAAGTTTTTTTTACAAGCTGTAGGCCCAAATATTTGTTTAGGGCCCTGAGGGTAGGGAAGATAGTTTCTAGAGAATGTTTGTGCAAAAATGTTTTCAAAGGTGAGTGTCACAGCAAATTTGCATAGCACTGTAAATTCCAGATCCTCATAATAGGGCAGTTAAACTCTTGTGAAAATTTATCATATTTATTGTAATAAAGAAGAGTAAATATAAGAATTTGGGGCATTAAAAATACCTTGTGGCTATACTATCCCCTTGCCTTCAATTTTTGGATGAAAAGCTATTTGTCATCAAGAAAATAAAGCAGAATTTTATCCTTGGGTCTCCTCTGCACTTCTTTTTGAAGACAGCAATTTCTCTGCCAGTCCTGCAGACTGCCATTTGCAGTGAAGTGTCTACATTCTTGGACAGAAATCCTGATGAAGATTAATGATGCTTTAGGCAGCATGTATTTGATCATTGTTTTCAGCAGGATACAAATACTAATTTGTCCTTTTATAACAGAAAATGCTGAGCACTGCAGCTGACAGCYTTATTGTCACTGCAGTAGAAAGTCTCTATATGGATGTTATTTTTGTTTAAATTTCCTAGGACTAATAATATAGGCAAAATAAATTAATAGATATATCTTATGGTGACAGCTATAGTCTTGTATTGTTTTCATTTCACTAACTAAAATCAGTGAGAATTTTATATGCTTTGGAATATCAGGGACCTAACTGATTTTACAGTTTATACTATTAATGACAATTGCATGCATTCAGAAAAGTTTTGTACTTCACAGAAAAAAAGCTCGTATTCTGTCACAGCCTAGAAAAAAACCAAAAGAAAATCTTAAAGCCATCTTTCTAATATTTGGTTTAATCTCTCTCCCCAGGAGAGCTGTCGATTTAGAGAACAGGCTACAGTTATCCTGAAAGCTGTTGGAAATGTGATAAATAATTATAGCAGTAAGGATGAGCTATCTAAAGCCTTGAAGGAGTTGGAAGAATCTCATTGTCCTCCTGGCATTCAGGGTACTAAAATGGCTGAAGAAAACTTAAAGGTGAACAATTTTAATGAATGCATATCTAAAAGCTACAAACACTGGATAACTGCTTAACATTCTCATTTTCCGCTTCAAAACAATGTCTCTGCATTTAATAAAGACCACCTGCATGCTCTGAATGTGTCATTCATTATAAAGTGGAAGCCCAAATGACATAATTTACATTGGTACAATTATCTTCTTTTAATAAGAAAAATTTCAATGTGCATAGAGTAGTACATTCTAAATTGAGTCTTTTTTTGTCAATATAGTTTAGTATACTTTGGGGCAGAAAGAATGAGCTGTTTATATATTACCACTTCATTTTGAGTTTGAAAAATACTACCTGAAATGCAGAAAATTCTCATTGTACTTTTCTATGCCTAATGTTAATGGAGCAGGAAAACATTATTACAGCTTCTATTACTGAAGGCAGTAATGAGTTCTTTCATTCACAGTACTTTTAGTTGGTTTTCCTTGATTCTTGAAACTGCAGCATTCTTGTTTAATATTTCTGCTCTGTATAATAAATTAAAGCTACATGATGAAAACATTATACTTTACTGTAGATGTCTATGCTATAGCTTTTCAATATTATAAAAAGATGGCAACAAAAAAATTTACAGAAGAGACACTAATTTTTATGTGTACGCAAATGTTGATAATAGTGTTATAACTTGATTTTACTAGTCACTACTTCATATATTCCAGGTTAATTTACTTTCATCCAAGTAATATAAAGCTTACACAGTTTAGATTGTGTATTTTAGAAGATTGCATAGAAGAAAGGGTTTAAAACTTTTCTAACCACTGATATTAAAAATTAGGACACCTAAGCTAGTGCTTTTATACRTGGGCTTGACACCAGGCTCAGATTCAGCAAAACAACGGATTAATAAAGACTGATTACAGGTGCAGCACTCATGAAAGAGGTAATTTTCATTACAAGTCCACCAGGGAAATATAAAAAGGTTTGGACTCAGGAAGGTAATTCACAGATTTTAAATGTACATACTCATACGAAATATGTGCAAAACTTAGAGACCTTAAGAAAAATTCAGTAGTCACAAACACACATATCTCTTCATCCCTCCCTCTCTGAGAAGACCAGTGTATAGCTGAAAAAGAATAAAAGGCCAGAAATTTGATAAATGAGAGGCACTGAGCTGAGAGTGATTCAACAATGAAAATGTGGAAATTATCTATCTTTAATACAAACAATGAAAAATTATTCAGAATGCAAGAAAAAAAATCTGCTGCATTATTTCTTCACTAGTCTTCAAAATTTAAAAATAAAGGATGTGTTTATTAGTATTAAAAGAAATGTTTCCAGAAAGCAGAAAAATCTGAAACTRAGGATGATGAAAGAGAAAAATCATATCTTTTCTACTAAGTTGTTACTATGTTCTTCAACTCAGATTGTGAAACAAGTTCTGAAAAACACTCTAAAATTCCCATCWACAGTGGTGGGGGGGGAGGAGGAAGGACTGGATTTCTGCTCTTTAAGTAGCATTCATTTGTTAAAGAATAAAAATAGAGCTAAATCTTCCCATGTAGTTCCACCTCCTAATCTAGAAAGCATTCCCTTTCAGTCATCGGTCTCTGTTCTGAAACCTCGAGTTTAGAATGCCCATTGTCATGATAGCAATGTCTTCTGGTATGAGGCCATCAATCCCCAACATGTAAACTACTAAAATGTTTTGGGGTGATAAACGCACTGTAGAATAAATCCTATTTTCTTATTTTTATAAGCCAGGAATAAAGCAGTTTTTCTCTTGATGTCTCAAAGCATTGTAGTCCTATAGCCAGGATTAATTTTCAGATACACTATTTGTTAGACGAAGTTAAAGACTTCATTTTTACATGGTAAAAAGAAGAGGGAAACAAGTTTTGAAACAATAATGAGAAACAGTATAAATCAGTCTTTTAAAATGAATGATTCTTTGAATGCTTTTCCTCTTTCTGATTTTAGGTTTTCAAAAATGCATTTTGGTATTTGATCAGGTGTGCATTAGACAATAAGGATCTTGACAGATACAGATTTGCCTTCAGGTCCTTCAATTTGGATTTTAAGGACACTGATATTTCTGGGGATGACGCTGTGTTTTCAGGTAATGTATTGATATTGTTAATCACTTCAAATACATCTGCCCATTCTTATTTTCAGGGAAGCCAAAGCTGTCCGGTTCTGGTGGTTTGTTTTTTTTTTTTTTTGTTTGTTTTTTTTTTTTTTTTTTTCTTCTTTTTTTTTTTACTTAAGTAGGCACAGTTAATTTTTAGGCCTAAGACTTTTTCTATTGACAGCACATCTAGGCTCATCTCTAAATAGGAATGATTGTTTCCTTTGTTCCAGAACGTCTGTTTACCCTTCGTTAATTTATAAAACTGCCCTTTGTCTTCCTTGTGTTGCATTTGTCAGTATTGACAAACATGAACAAACATCTACATATTTTATCTGATGTAATGCAGCTCATCACTTTTGTTCAAACCACCAGTTGAAAAGACCTTAAATGCGTTAATTGTTCACAAAATGAGAGTGAAGAAACACTCAAGTTAGTACCTTCATTGAAAGTTCAACTATTTCTTAGTGATGGGTTGAGAGGCTTTTGTTTATTTTTGAGGGGGGGGATGGWTTTCAATTTTTCCTGGCTTGCTTGTTTGCTTGCTTGWTTTTTATGCTTGTTATTCTGGAAATTATTATGTTGGCTGGCTAATTTGCTGGCTAGTCAWACCCATGTAGTGTAGAACTGGCTACACCACCATCTGCCTCTTCTCCAGCCTGTGKTTAGGGTGTGCTGTGTACCTGAACATTCTCTGAGAGAAACCATTGGAAGGCCACGATATTTATTACGAGCAGGGATAATTCTCCTCCCACTGTTTCTTTGCTTCATTTTTTATGCAGTTTGGAGGCATGTGCACTTACTATTAAGTTTGCTTGGCAACAAAATTTTTCTTTTTAGGACTTATTTTTCAGTCTTTGCAACTTTAAAATCTATTAATATTAGCATTTAATTCATTAATAGAAGCCTTATGTCACATCACAACAGAAAAAAATATTTATCTGGTTGGTGGGAAGATACATGAACACCATTTGAAGCCGTTTCTTTGGGACTTAGCTTTTCCTTCATCTGTTGTGAGCTTACAGAATAAAGTGTTTCTACTTGATCAAACAAAATTATACTAATTTGGTTTTGATTAGTCCATTTATTCTGGAAAAATAGTATAAAAACTAAATTAAAATTTACACAAATATCTTTACTGACAAAATGATGTAATAATCTTCTTTTAAGAAAATATTTATAACCACGTATACTTTTGTCTTTTTACTGGGAACTTTCCTTTGAATCTCCCCTCTTCTGAAGTTTATTCTTCTGTGAGACATCAGGTATTTTTCAGAGAAATGCATCCCATGACAAGGGTCAACATATTGGCATTTGTCACACTAGTTGAAGTAAACAACACCTGTCATATATTTTCAATATGACTGTGCTACTGATTTCTGTATTCCAAAAAAACCCTTAAACACTTGTCAGCAATAGAAGACATTTTTTAAATAGATTTGAATAATTAGCACAGTTGACAGGTTGTAGCAAAGATCTCATATAAATTACTAAAATATGAGATCCACTGTGACAGAATATTTTTTAGGAGTTGGGCAAGGAATCAAAAAAGTAGAAATATGCATGGAGAAAACAAGTTCTGATTCAGTTTTGTTTCCTCCAGTGTCCAACATACCCTTTTAAATTATTTGCTTTTGTAAAATTAAATTACAAAAGATCCCTACTGGACTGGAAAGTTAATTGTTTCCCTTTGGTTTTAGTGACATTGGACATTTTTTGACCTTTATTGATGTTTTTCCCTGCTTGATAAAGGTTTCTTTGGAGTAAATGCATGCTCTTCAGGTTCCATCCAGAAGCCTAAAGAAATAAAGCATAAACCAAGTGAAATGTCACAGAAAAACAGGTAGATAGCAGGAAAAACCAGTTCAAAACTGCACTGTAGAAAGCCTAGAAGGATTGGCATCACCTCATTTCTCTGGCTCACATTAGTACTGCTGCRTTGTTAGGTTAGTTGCTCAGAACTTGTCAAGACTTGAGGTTGTAATCCTTTGGAACCTAACAGGCATCAGCGTAAACTACCATAACAGATGAATGAAATATTTTTGTCATCTGTGTCTGAGAGTGTATAAGGTCAAATCTGAGCTTTCTTTGAAATGCCACCTCCGTTTTATATTAGCATGTTCATTTTGCACTGTGTGCTGAATTAATCTCAAGATTTACCAAGGGCAAGGATATTGTGATGTACTGCAGTTAGTGGTCATGCCTGGTAAGGTTTCTGAGGAGCCAAAGTGACCTAATGATATTTTGTTTTGCTCTACCAAGTTATGATCCATCCTGCTGGAGCAATTAGCACAAGAGCCACAAGAAACAAGTGGAAGACCATGCCAYATGAACAAAGAAAAAAAAGATGGAAGTATCTGAAGCTGAGTGCTCCACCATGGCATGGGTCTTCTGTACCCATATTCACTCTTCTGGAAAGAGAGTGAATAAAGAGACCCTGCAGAACTTTGGGCAGTGATGAGGTGCTGAATTTRCAGAGGCACATGATGCTTCCTGGGAAAGGAAGCCTATCCGGATGATATTACACAAGAAAAGGTGTTGGCAGCTCAATACTGCCTGCCTCCTGTGTTTTGCACATGTTCTTTGTCTACCTTGTCCTGGTTTCCTTGGGCCCAAGTGAGCAAGTTCACTGGAAGTCTGTGGCAATGATTTTAAAGAGTGTCAGACACTTGACGGTCATTTAGGCAGATTTCAAGGGCTACATGTCTTTCTTGTGGATAAATTCCAATTTTCAAGTGGAAGTGGAGTGCCTTTTATGTACAGATCTCCTAAAACCTTCTGATCTGAGATTTTATCTAGAAGCCAGGCTGTTCTCTGTAAGCTTATCTTAACTGTGTAAACTGTATTTGAGAAGTCCTGTTCCTGCTCAGTTCTTTTCCAAAACAAGCTTCTCCAGAAATATCAGTTGAATGATTATATGGTTGTGTTGTGTGATTGAAAAGAGAATTCTGAACAYTTGTTTCTTCTTGCACTTGGGATTTGATCTTGAGTTCCAGTAAAGGGTGAGGGAAAGCTTGATGTTATTTGTTGAATATGTGAAGTGCCTCTTGAGTACATGCAAAATACTCTTTTTTCAAAAAAATAATTGTTACATTGCCTGCAAGAAAATTGCAGTGATTTTATAGTGAACAAAGTCTTGCTAGGTTGCTTTGAAAGTTTCAGTTTTATTATTAGCAGTGTGTCTTCTGATTAGCAGCTAAGGCATGTCAGAGATTTTTGACAAATCTGTTTTCAATCATAATGTCAAATTTGAAACATCCACTAGTTCAATATTGATTGATTTTAAAGCATTCACTAGTTTAATAATGATTTATTTAAATCATTTCACAGTATACATTTCTCTGATTATAAGAAAAAATACTAAGAAATATTAAGTAAGAAAAAAAGCCTTTAAAGATCACAATATTTAATTTAGACCTCATTATTTTGACTTAAATGTTGCAAAAAAAAATTTTTGTTCTTTTGACATTGGATAAAATAAAATTAGAACAAAAAAGAAACTCCTTAGGAATATATACTTTAGGAATATATACTCATAATTTTGGGGATTTGGTCTGATCTGTGGTAAATTTTGACAGTTTCTAGAAATAGAATTGATTTCTGTGTGACAGTCCACCCAAATTTTTTATATTTGTGTTTTCAGAAACAGTTTAACATTTAACTAACTGACTGTATATCCAGGTGTTTATTCTCACAAATGAAATGTTTTATTTCTAGAGACATAGATATTTATTTCTAGATACGGATTCCACTTGACATCTTCAATAGGTGAAATTTTCAGCTGGTTCATAGGTCAATACCAGACCAAGACTTTTTCTGTGTACTTTTATATATTRTTGATTCCTGTTCCATGTTAGGATATGCTTACTTATTAGGTCAGTCTGTGCATATGTGTGTTCATAAATATACAACTTTTACTTTATAATATATGATTTTGCTTTATATGGAGAATGTAGACTCTGCAGCAGAACTCATTCTTCTGAGCTAAATCACATGCTGAAAATTGAAGTCTATTTCCCTTCTGTGAAAACAATGATTGGTGGGKTCAAAAGTCATATTGCCACTGAGTTATTTAATTGTAAAATAGACAAACTTGTAGATTGAACAAATTAATTTTGAAATGTGTTACATTGATGAATGAATGGGAGAGCCAAAACTTTCCAGGGGTGCACAGACAGGACACATTTTAGAATACGTTAAATTTCAGTTGGATATTAGGGAAACATTTTTCACCATGAAGCTAGTCAAAAATTAGAAAAGAATACCCACTTAAATTATGGAGTCCCCATGGTTATGAAAGTATTAAAAAAATGGCCATGGCATTTAGTCAAGAACATGAGCAGCCTACTGTAAATTGATCCTGCACTGGATGTAGGATTGGACCAGATGATCTTCAGTGGCCCACTCTAGCCTGTATTATTCTGTGATTATATGCTTCTGTTTTATAAAAGTGGTTGTGCCATTCATGTTGTTGGGTTCTAATCTGTTTTCTATTGAAGTGGGCTTGTGTAATCTTTCAGTCCCCAAGTATTAAAGAGGCTTTCTAAGATTTGGAAATGCAGCACTGATGAGCAATGAAGGCTTGAGAACACAGCCTGATTTAGCAATATTTGGTAAAAGAGATTAGATTGAAATGTGTGATCTGGCTGATGTAAACACTATCTTTTCTTAAGATTGTCTGCCTGCAATGTTGTCTACATTTTTCAAGCAGATTCCTCTTCTCCTTTTAGCTTGTTGGAACTTCCTTTTGCAGCACTGTTTCCTACCCACCGTGCAGTCTTGTCCCCTTTGTTCCATGTGTGTAGTTCCAAATTACCCCCCAGGCACTCRCCCCGTGGAGTATTGCTCCCCACACCCTTCGCTAAGGCCTGTGCTAGATTTATCTAGATTAATCTGCTAGAGTGCTGATGGCTAACTCTAGGCAAGAATGTCTTCAAAGAACTCACTGCTAACCTGTCAAAACCTACTAATTTCTGTTCCACTTCAAAACTTCTTGATAACAGAAAACCAGACGAACTCTCCCTTTATCATGGACCTTACCCTTATTCCATGACTTCTTTGCAAAGGAATATAAACAAAATATTTTGAGCAACATTGATGTTTAAACTATTATTTAATGAAATGCTCAGATTGAGAGACAGAAGTACTTAAAATCTTATGAAGCTGTGTTTAGAGTCATGATTTTGTGTATCAAGTCCTCTTGGTTCATGTTTGGAAGAATATTTTGAAATTACAGTAGGAGATATGATTTTAAAAAATGTCCTGCAGTGGTTGTCCATGAAGAGAAAAATTAAATTATTTTGGTGTTTGGAATTAGCAAAGTAGTTGACATTTTGACTTTGTGTAATTATACAGTATATTTTCTCTGATTTTATCATGATAAAAACAAAATTTCAAGAGTGATGTTTTTGTCATTAAAGTTTTATGATTGAAATCGCTTGCTATTTTGTGGTTTGTTTTTTTTTTGTTTTTGTTTTTTTTCTTTTTAAATTCATTACAGGCAGCTACAGCTTTATTGACATTGCTCATTCTTCCAATCCTTCAGAGAGCAGTGAGGGGAAATCCCTTCGTAGTTGGGAGAACCRAACTCCCACAGCTGAAGAAGAAGCAGCAGCTCTCAAAATTCAAGCCTTCTGGAGAGGGACCTATGTTAGGAAAATACTGAAGAGCAGAGAACCAGGTGTGTCATTTAAAATTGCCTTTCAAAAATGTTTCATACTTCATCYTCTTCAAATCTTTAATGTAACAAGTTTTTTACTAATTAATATCGAGATAAAATTGACTGAAACTAATGAAATAGAACTTATGGTTCTATTAAGTATACTTAACCASTCAGTTAGCATGTATGGTACTAAAAAACAAAGGAAAGATACACCTCTCCACCAGATTTGCATAAATACTAAGCCAGAATTTACATTAATGTAGATTTAAGTGAGAGCTGGGCTACATGTTAGGGTTTTTTTTTTTTTTTGTGGAAATGTAAAGGAAATCATCCAAGAACCTAAGCATCATAATGAGAAATCAGTGGAACACACACACACACACACACACACACACACACACACACAGAGTATCAGAGTATGATGCTGTGCTCCAGAGATGCTGTACTGGTTCTTATGTATATAGATAGAGGAATCTTACATAGCAAGACATACAGCATGTTTCCTATTCAGCACTTCTATTATCTCAGCAGTAATACTGTGTCCAAGTGTCCAGGAAGAGAGAAGGAAAACAACTCTGGGTAGAGTTTTAAGGATCAGGACTAAATAGAGGCCTTGTACTTACAGGTGATAGTTTCTAGTTTCAGAAAGACCAGATAAAAAAAAAGAGTATGCTATAATCTGTAAGTACCCAYATGAGAAAAGGAATTTGGTAGCAACAGGATCTTTAGGCTGAGATCCAAATGGTTAATGAGAAGATCTTTAGGCTGAGATTCAAAGATTKTGACTTGAATCCAAACATTCAAGTTAGAACCAGTGGCATCTATTTTTAAAAGGATATCTTTGAAATAAACCAGGATCTGTTTTGTGCTACTGAAAACTTTTAAAATCAAACAGTCTASTCTTCATCTGTATTCCATGCATAGGAGAAGACACCTTGAGATGCCAACACATCCTGTTACATGAGAATTATCCACCATGGGTGGGATGATTTACCCACTGGAGCTACCCAATTCTTTTCCTTCTAGCTAGACAGATAGTTTAGGTACATCCCAACCCCTTCCTGGTATCTGCAAATGAAAGCTGTTGGGAGTTAAATAGCCTATTCTCTGAGGACAGAGATTGCCAGATATCACTCCAATATGTTACAGTGAAAAAAACTGCAAATTAGAGAAAATATTGATCACATAATTTCTGCAGCTGTAGGAGTGCTGAAAAGTACAAAGGTGATGATGAGTGGAATATATTCCGTCAAAGGARAAAACAGTTTTCAGCTCAGTGAGAATTCTGTAAAACTCCAAATAAACCAATTCACTTGTGCAAATGGCATTTTTCAAAAGTATTTGGCAGGTGTAAATTTAGAACAACAAAGCTGGGTGTTTATATTTTCTAACCTATTTTTTTATTTCTAGRTACTAAAGAAAACACTGATGTCACAGAAACCTTGAAAGAATTGTGGACTGTGATTGAGTTAAATTTTGAACAGTGTGCTCTAATATTGTTAAGGTAATCATGTAATAAACTATTTTATTGCAGGCAATTATATACAATTGTCATAATTGGTATTTCACAAAATAAACATGGTAAGGTCATTATTAGTGTCAAAATTGCAAAACGCTGATGGAAAGGATATATGACTGAATATATGCTATGCTTTATTCTGTGTACCCTACATGAGCGAAATCTAATTTTTAGATATGTTACAGATTTTTTCCTACAGCTTGAACTAGAATATTACCTTTTTCCTGTATTTAATTTTTTTGATACTTTGTARGCTGTTCTGTATTATAGATCTGATACTGATTCCTTAGTTAAGCATTTACCCAGTTGATTTAAAGAAACTTTTTGATTTTTGCTATCTCTTAAGAAATTATGGTTGACAGCAGAAAGGAGATATCTATACTATTTAATAGTACCCAGTTTATTATCTCATCAGGGGAATTTTTTGCTGCATTTTCTTGAAGGAAAGTAAATGTATTTCTGGGTATGTGCTTTCCCTGATAATTTATTGCAGCTTTTGGAAAAATAGCTGTTCTAATTTAAACAGTGTGCATTAAGTCATTTGCAAGCATAACACTTTTTGGAGATCACATATTTCCATTAAATTCTTCAAAAATCTCTCTGCAAGTGTTCACACAACTGATCTAGCAGTAAATCAGTTGTTCCAGGGGTGACRAGTGCAAACTGGCAATAATTACTTCCTGTGGATATAAATCCTCACTCTTTATAACGAGCAATTTGAGCAACACYCTCACTAGGTATAATTTTATTTTACTTTTTCATGTTTCTAATCCTGTAAAACCTGTGTACATTGGTGGGATTGGGACTTTGCAACCACAGGCTTGTTCCAAACATTAGCCATCCATTTTAGATTTGCATCATCTCTATATCAGCAAAGATGAGATGCAGTTTTTAGTCTGTCTTCAGACTTTTAAAACTTATGGGGTTCACAGACGTTGACTTGGGGATAAATCTGACCATTAAAATCATGCTAATGTGCTTGTTCTTAATTTAACAGCTGACAGATTTCCATTTAATGTAACAAGTGAATGTAACCTTGATCAATAAGTTTTGCTTTTATTCCGTTGTTGTTCCAAAATGTTTTAAAATTAAAGGGATTTTGATCACCTAATGCTAACACAGCTTTAAGATGACAATTTAATATAAAGTAAACATGTGCTAATCAATATTTATTTATTTAAAAAGAAAATGAAAAGGAGGTAAAGTTTTGTAGACACCCTAACATTTTGGAATGTTAGAAACAGTTGCAGTCATGGATAGACTGATGGATAGAAATGTGTATATGTATTTGCCATAAGGTCCAAAAGAGCTGATCCCTCTGTTAATTTTTTTTTTTTTTTGAGAGTGAATAGCTACTAGAGAAACATTAGTAACATATTTTATAGGTTTTTTTAATGTTCATGTACAAAGTAGTGTTCTTCATGATCAGCATAAGTAAAAGCCATTATATATATGTACCCTTCTGATTTGATTTAAGTATTTATCTTGTTTTCTGCTTTCCAGAGAAATGTTTAGAAGAAACCCTAAGTCAGTACAAAAGTTTCCTTGTTATGAAGATGAGTGGTGTAAGATGTTTTTCAGTGACTATGCAGTAACATATGGTGATCAACCACCCAATGCATGGTTTCTGATTTTCAGGTGAGTTCCACAGAGCCCTGTATAACTCTTATGGGGATGTAGTATTGATACACTGTGGGTTTTCACTAACCTGCTGAAAAATTGACTTGTTGTCTGTCTCCTTTCCTTAAATTCTGATGTATATTTGTTCTGGCTTTGGCTGAAACAGAATTTTCTTCTTTATTTCCTCTTCATTTTCTTCCTAGTAGCAGGTACAGTGCTGTGTGTTTGGATTCAGTATGAAAATAATGTTGATAACTAACTGATGTTTAGGTTTTTGAGTGCTTACACCAAGTAAAGGACTTTTCAGTCTCACACTCTGCCAGTAAGGAGGTGCACAAAAAACTGGGAGGAAGCACAACCAGGACAGCTGTCCTGAAATGGCTAGAGGGATGTCCCATACCACAGAACATCATGCTTAGTATGTAAATTGTGGGAGAATTATCCAGAAGGTTATGCTGCTCAGGAACGGGCTGGGCATCAGTCAGTGGGTGGTAACAAATTATACTGTGCATAACTTGTTGCTCTTTGGTTCTGTTCCTCTCTCTCCCTCTCCTGATCATTAAAAATATTACTAAAATATTTATTAGTATATTTTGTTTTAATTAATAAATTGTTCTTAACATAGGAGATTTAGACTTTCTTTATTTCTCCTCCACAGGTGGGTTGTGTGCAGAGAGTGAGTGAGCAGCTGTGTGGTACTTAATTGTTCACTGGGGTTAAAACATGGCAATATTTTTGCTCTGTGTTCCTAAATCCTTTTATTTGTGAACATAATTGTGATATAATTCAATTTTTTTTTAGAGAAATATTTATTGTCCCAGAAGATATGCTTATATTGACAAAGGTGTATACCACTATCCCTTCCTGTAGACTTCATGTTCTTGATAATGACACACTGGAGAAAATGCCACATGCCTTTTTCAAAGTGGCACCTCATGTTTATTCCAAAAATCAGGTAAATGCAAGAAGTTGTCGTGAAAAGCATAAATTTATAAATAATAACAGRTTCCCAAGTTCTGCTGAGATTTTTAGCTATGTCATAGTGTTCTACTTCAAAGTACACCCTTATTTATTAGCAGGTTTGAACAGAGACTATCACTGATCTGCTTCTATGCTAAATCTCTATAAGTGAGATTCAGATTACTCTCTCTTCTAAAATCTTTCCAGCTGCTGTTGGTTTGGGGTTTTTTTCTTGTTTTTCATGCATAACACTGAGAAGAGTAAACTTTGTCCCAATGTTTAACATGTGGCCATAAAAATTTGAGTAAGGAATGATAAGTGTGTCTTTGGGCTTTATTTCTGTTTATATATCCAATTGGGATGCCCTATTTTGCATTGCTATTGCTGCTTCATGTAATTCTGTAATCCTAGGTGCTTTCCTGAAAAACTGAACCCTCTAGCTTTTTATTCTTGAGTAAACATAGTGTATTTCACTGCTGATTGTAATGCTATTATTTCAGTCCATTTCTGTAGTTTAGCATTTTCTTTGATTCTTATTTTCTCTTCCTTTAAAGCTACCTTATTTCCTAGTTTGTGGTATCAGGCATCAGGCATGTGTATATTTTCCATTCCACCATGTACAGTACTATTAAAAATATTGAATGGAATCACGTTCAGGTCAGATCTTTGAAATCTCACTGACTGCATCCTAATCTTCAATAAGCCATGARTATGTGCTTTCTGGATGGGGTTGTTCAACAGCCACCCTGGTTTCTTCATTATCACAGTATTTCCTTAGGCTAGAAGAATGTTCAAAGAGTGTAAGGCATCTCCTTCTTTCCCACAGTAAGCTGTTCTGAAGAAGGAAGGATCTTTATTGGTTTGATGGGACCAATTCTTTACAGTCTTTTTTCTATGTTGAGGGGGCTGCAAAGAAGTAAATTTTGTTCATTTTTTCATAATGCTYTCAGCCATTGAACTTACCTAAATGATAATTTTCTGGGCAGCTATGTCCATCTGAAACAAAAAAGACAACATGGTAGTTTTATAATACCGTAGTATCTTCCATCAATTATCAAACATAACTTAAAAGTTTTTGATTGTTTTAGTTTGTAGTTTAATTATGATTCAGACAGCTCAGAAGTTCATCAGACCTAATTAATCCAAACTCTTCATWTATCTGCATTATCATTAATTACTTAATTTCTTTTCTCCCTTGCCTCGTCTCTTTAATATTACTCCAGTATTAAYTATTCTAGTCTCATGTTCACAGTTGACCTTTTAGCAAAGACACGTTCTGTTCACATTTTAGTCTTCTCTATCTCATCTGTCAATAACAAGACATTGATGTCAGTTACAGACTAACACTGTCGGAGCAGTCATCGTGTCTTTTTTTTGTAGCTTCCAATTTCATAAGACTTTTTTTTTCTCCTCTGGAATCAACTTAGTGTTTATCTAGTGTTTATAGTCAATATTTGCTGAATGTGACAAATAAGCACTGCTGCTGCTAGAGGACCATGCTTTAAAAATAAGGGTTGCAGACAAGTTTTTCAAGCTCTCAAATCTAACTGGGTTCCTCAGAAATTGGGTATGGATTCCAACAGACAGGAGAATGCAGGTTGGAATCTGACAGTGGCAAGTAGCAGGATGCAAAGAGAAATCTCAGTGGTAAACACTGCTTACTGCTTTTCAGGAAAGAGACAAGTTGTGGAAAGAACAACCACAACTGCAGATGTATTTCAGGTCCTGTGTAGCAAGACACARCTGTCTAGTTCTGCTCTGTAAGGCAATTTTTCCATTTTTCTGATTTCACTAATCCTTTCTCWGACTTTCTCCTATTTAATCTGTTTTCTTGTAGAAAGGTGTCCAAAATTGTAAACAATATGCCAGATAATATCTTACTAATCTTTTCCGCAGTACTGTAGTTTCCACATTAGATATGTTTGGGGTTTTATGCACTACCCAACTTGGTACATTCTGTAATAGTTTTTTTTTTCCCATGGGTATAGCACAATAACCTCAGTGATTCTGTTAATAAATAATGATAGTGGCCCTTTTTATTTGATTCCTGGCCTTCCCTATTGAAGAAATCCCCTCTTAAAGCAMCATTTCTATTATTATTTGCTTAACTAATGGCTTGTATTTTATAATATTAAATGTGGTTAATAGCAGTAAACAATGATTTTTAGGGTATTGAAACAGAATTGTGCAGGCATACTTTATTTTGCTACTTGTTCTTATTGCATTTCTCAATCTCTGCTCCTGAGTTCCTCAGTAACAAGATAACCTTATACTCTACAATTTAGCTTGTTTTCTTCCTATTTCTAAATAGTTCATTATTGTTTGAGTGGACCTGCACAATCTTTTGAAAAATATTGTTACTTTGACAAGATATTTTTCAATTAGTAAACACAGAATACATCTGYATTTTAATCTGATTTACATTTTTTTAATAACAGTATATTGTAAAAATGGTCAATAATGTAATATGTCAAGAAAGAAATTATACAATATGCCTTGATTCCTAAATGTCAGTATTATTACATAAAAAGTTATTAAAAATAAAATGCACCTACTAGTTCTGCTTCCAAACTATGACTCAGCAATTTATAACAGAGCTAAAAAGGAATCCTGTCAACAGATACTGTTATTCTGCTGCAGAGACACTCCTGGAACTATGTAAAGTTCATTTCAGAATGATTGACAATAAAGATAAAATCTGCACACTAGCAATAAAGTCTGTCTTCTTCTTGCAGACATTACAGTCTAGATAGAAACTGGCTACTTGCTTAGCATTATTTGTATTTTTTAGGGCATTGCATTATATTTTCTTATTTTGTGGTGGTTTTTTTCTACTGCTGGATACAGTTGATTTGGTTTAGTTTTTGGTTTTTTTTTCTTTTAATTCTGTTCTCTTTATTATTCACAATTCTTTTGAACAGATTTTAGAAAAGGATAGAGATAAGCATTCAAGCTTGAGCTGACCTACATAGATAAGAGTTTAAGAAATCATCACTACCACCATATTTAGTCTAGCAAATAGAAGTCTGTTTGAGCAAGGAGACTGCTCAGTTACATGCCTTGACTAGTCATAGAAGAACATAAAATAATCATCTTACTTTGCCATAAAGTTAGTTTGGGTGGTGTATTAAGAACCAATCCTTTCTGATTCTAGAGACAGTGAATTGTAACAATCTAAGTAAGTAATGCAACATCTCGAAGTTTTTTTTTTAAGACAGAGACATAAATCTAATKGGGTTGTTAAGTCTGTTTCCTTATTTCTGAGTAGTGATGGATGATTATTTGATATTCCTCAATGCAAAATTTAGTCATTGTGCTTTCTAATTTCTCATAGTATTCAGAAAGTGCTCACTCAAACAGTCTTTTGGTCCTAAGTCTAAATTTTCTGCATATTTATAGTGAAAGTTAGATTGTGTAACATTATCTTTATAAATAGGTATACAAGAGAAAGTGTTCTTCTCGTGCACCCCATGCTGTCAGAAAGCAGCTGAATACATGACTAAATCCTTCTGTTTCCAAGTGTGCTTGATAAGAACAGGGGGGCTGTGACCATATGCTTAACTACATATTTAAATGAGTTCTCCTGAATGGTAACTTGGAGTGGTTGCTATTACCTTGTGGTGATTAAAGGTTGTAAAGTGCCTTGCAATTACAATTGCACAAATTGGAATAATGAATAATTTATTTTACTTTCATTCTGAAGATTCAGTATTCCTGGGGTCACAGCCCTGCATTTTTGGACAGTCCTGAAATAACAACCCTGTTTATTATAAGTATTTTTCAACAGAGGTGTTTTTGCTGGTAAATCCTGATTTCTTTAAACAGAAAGCGATTACACCTTCCAAAGAATTTTCTGCTGGACTATTTCTTGGGTGGAACATGAAATTTTAATGTTGGAAATAGTGAGTTARTAAGGCTATCTTGGATTATATGAAAAGGGACTTGATTCTGAGTTCCCCTGTAACATTACAACTGGCYGTTGCACTCCTTATATCCTATTTTCCTGCAACTGCCTTTCAGATAATCRCATTCATATTGCCTTCATTTTTACAAATACAAATTAATCACATTTTGAAACTTTTAAGTTCATTCTGCTCCTCATATTCCTGTTCTCAGGATTCGTAAAGACAACATAGATCTGCATCAGCCTTATTAGTCGTGTGTTGTGTTTTTTATTAATTTTTACTTGAATTTTTTAAGACTACAAATATTTTTTCTTAAATCAACATTCTTCATAAATCATTATTAAATTAGGATGTTTGTGTAGCCTCAGATTTGAAGACTGAAGTAATTTCATCTCTAAATTTCCATGCAAGAAACTCATCCACCCCTACTTTTACACTGCTAAAGCATGAAGGAGCATTTTAAATCATCAAATAATTTTGTTAGGAAGTGACTTCAAGACTTTGGTTGTATCTGTCCCTAAAAACACCTCCCAGCTTTGAAGTTAGATGAAATTGGATTGGACTTGCTATGTAGCTCTTGTTAAATTTCTATAATAAGAGATCCTTCATAATTTAGAATAGGCTAGAATAATAAGATTCTTGATGAAGGATGTCTTATTATATTAACAAGTGTAACATGGACAAAGTGTTTTGCATGTAGTCCTAGAGTGCATTTTGAGCAGTGTTATTGCCACGTGAAAGTTACTTGTTTTCCCCTTCCAGAAAGGATACACATTTGTGGCTGAAGCACACGCTGGTGACCAACATGTGGCAGCTGGAAAATGGAAACTCCGTTTCATCAGTTCCCGTAGTCCACTTCCATTTCTCTCTCGTGGTGCTGTGAATAGTGCCTATTCTACTAAAGTATTTAAGGAGAATTACATACCAAATGATGAGTTTTTACTGTTTAGGTAAATATTGAGAAAAGAATGAATAATGGCTGGTTTTTGTATGGGTCCTCCTTACCAGAAAAGCGTGTTCTACCCTCTTCCTAAAAGGGGAGATTATTGATGAAAATATCTGAATTTTTTTGACTATCAAATTTAACATTTGTTTAGGTAAAGTGTTATCTTGTGAAATATTGCCATTAGGTGTGAAGTGCTATAACTATAACTATATAACAGACTATAACTTTAAAATCATCACAATATTTTGTATGTCTATAAGCTCAATCATCCATATGCCAATTACGGACATTCCATAGTACTTTGCGGGATTAAATATATATTAAAATTGAGATTTTGCAGGTGGAAAGGAGACAAAGTTTTAATATTTTCAGCTATAGTGATAAAGATATAATTAATACAGGAATAAAACACTTTTTTTCCTGAAATATCAGACTAAKTTTCATCTTGCAGTGTTGGTAGAAAATTTTATATACATTTTATTTTAGTATGCTTTTTCTTTTAGAAGAATGTATTTAATAAAAATGTATTTTAATAAAAAATCAAATTTTTTACTGATACTTTTTAAATTGATTAAAAATCATTAAAATCCCTTCCGAGTTCAGAAGTGACTATTACTAAATTGCTATRTTGAAGTTTTTACACAAAGAACTACATATTGCACTACAACAGACCCTGTGGTTAGGGCTGATTAAATGTGTATATTTTGAAGGTTAATTCTAAAACATTTTATCATGATTCTTGAAAGTTTTTTTCAATATTTGAAACCAATGAATTATTCTTGGGATAGAGGTCTCTTTAACAGAAGGAATCAATTTCAATATAAATGAAGAAAGCATGTAATAGAAATATAACAATTGCACTAAAAAGTTGTAAACTCTCCTTGATGATTTTCATTATTTTCTCCCTTATGATGTTAGCAATCTTTAAAAAAAAATATTTTAAGATAGTTATGTATTTTTAACTTCAAATGTACCGAAGTCAGGATGATGGATTTTTTGTGTGTTGTGGTTTCTTTACTTGTTTGATGAGATTAGTCATAACAACTTGAATTTATGGGGAAAAAAAGCATATAATACATGAAGCAGTGGGTCCCAACATAACAGACTGTCCTCAGACTGTAATTGTACAGGTTTTTAATGCCTTGTCAGTCTTTTAAGCTGACCAAAGTAGCAGCTGCTATCAAAGGAGATATCCCTGCCCTTTTGAAAACAATCTTTTTTCCCCTCAGGTACTTTTTTAATGACACAGTTCCCTAATCTGGCTAATKTTATTCAACAAATACAAGTACAGTAGGAGGTTAAATGCCTATTTGGACATATGATAAGGTAGAGAAAAGAAAGAAATAGCTAGACAATCCTTTTTTCAGCAGCAGCAGCACTTGCTTTGTTTGTTGATTCACTGCACTAAAACTCCCTACAGGAAGCTTAGCCCATCACATTCCAGGAATAYAGTTGATTCATAACTCAATTGTAAGTTTTTGCTTCCAGTTCAGCACAACGTTTAGGTACTTCCCTAAAAAAGAATGATCAAGTATAGGTGGTTATATTGCTGTAATTTTTTTTTTCCTCTTTAGGTATTTTGTAAAAGCCACAGCACCACATACTGCTACACTGCAGGTACAAGCTTCTAATTCAGATGTGTTCATTAAACTACAAGTCATGGATAATGAGAAAGAAGTTGCTAGTGTCATTGGAAAGGGCTATGCATTCATCCCAGTTTTTAATTTCTTGAGCAATGCATCACTTCTGAACTCCCACTGTAAGTATTGAATGCTGTATTTGATAATTTTATTCAAAATTTGATCATTTTCTAATTTTTTAAGATGATATATATATACATTTATATATAAATATATAAATGACATATATATATTTTACATTCTTACAGCAACTTTAGATAATCACAGAAAATACTATTTTTCCTACTCTTTTCAATCTCTGATTGCTTTGAGATTGAGTGAAATCAGCTACATTTTTAAGCAATGAACAGAAATCYTTGGCTCTCAACAGTGAGGAAAGTTACAGAAGGGATTGATGGAAACAAGGTGTCCAGTCCCACTTTTTTCCTCTGCCTCTTGTGTTTGTATTATAACTGAGTAAAGAATCTTGTGAATAGTGAAGTAGCTCTTCAGTTCTGAAAATTTGCATGCATCTGCTTGCCTTGTCCTTGAGAATTGAGATATATTTTACTTTCAATATCTTTCTACTGTTTGTTTCCTCTGACAGTCCAAAGTTTTTGGCTGTTAGGAAACAGATGCTCAGACCATGAGACATGGTAGATAATTCACAGATTGCAGTGGGCCTTGTGGTCTCAATGTACCATCCTGAGCATCAGTCTTTTTAGAAGAATTACACATTTTACTGGTTTCTCATCCATCATATGAGCCCCAGAGTACAAGGTAAAAGACTCTTTAATAAATGATATAATACTTATCMGTGAGAAAAACTCTAAATTTTTAACTCAGCCTCTGTGACAGCTTCAAATGATACTCATAGAARTAGGAGACACTGAAGCAGGAGCCACTTGCCCCAGACTTGCAAAGTTGCAACAGAAGAATACATGTCCATTATACCATGGTCAGTTCTTTATCACAGCAATGTAAATTCTGAGAAAAAGTTATAACTTGTGGAAACAATTGAATTTAAACAAAATTTCATTTGTAACAAATGTTTTGAAAACATCAGCAAACACTTTACCTATTTTGGCTGAACAGTTGAGTATGAGAAGTCTATTTGCTCAAAGTAAGGCTATTTTATTTTATTTTATTTTATTTTATTTATCTATTTTGCTTTATTTTATTGCCATTCATTACACTGCAGTCTTGTCAGCTCAGTTCTTCATAGTGGTGAGAACCAGTGGTGTTCAAAGGTCCCCTTTCAAAAGTATGCTAATATCCATGTACTTTCTCTAAGTACTTTGAAACTAGKGATGGTACCTAACAAAAATCCAGCTGGCATCTGTTAAAAGTGACTTTCTGTAGTTGAGCAAGCTCACATTCTAARTCTCCTGCAAGTCCAAGTCAGGCAGCATATAAATAGTGGGAGAAGAGACAAGAAAGTAAAGAAAATGAAGTCAAACTCTTTTCAGTGGTGCCCAGTGACAAGAMMATAGGCAATGGGCAGAAACTGAAATACAGGAAATAAAATTTAAGTATTAGAAAAGGTGATTTGTAGTGGGTGATTGTTCAGTTTAAAGGGTTTTTTCCCTCCTTTTATTTTCTTTTTGTTTGTCTTTTTTGTTTGTTTGGTTTTGTAGTNGGGGTTGTTGGTTTTTTAATTGTTTCATTTTCACTCCCAGTGAGTCAATCACTGCCCAGAGAGTGTTTTTGGAGTCTTCATCCTTGGAGATAATTAAAACCTAACTGGATATGGCTGTGAGCACCCTGCCCTAACTGACCCTGCTTTTAGCCATTGCATTGAACTAAATGATTGAACTAAATGATTGAACTAAATGATCAGAGGTGTCTTCCAGCTTCTGCCAGGACCACTCAGTCTCCAGTGATCCTGTGATATCAGTTAGTACTAGAGGCTTATGTTTTGCAGGTTTTTTTCCTTAATGATATAAAAATAGTCCAGTTTCCTTGGATGTGCTGTCTCACTAACAAACTAATGATTAATAAGTGGTCTTAAAAGAAAGAGCYTTCAGCTTGAGATTTTAGCAGTACTCTGCCATCATCTCCCTCTGATGCAGTGATAAGACTTCAGGCACGCTCCAGAGGGCAGAGTTGGGTTATCCAGACATCCTCTTTCATGCTTCATTTCCAGACTTTTGGAACCTAGAGCTCTGCCAGACCCAGTACTCAAAGAGCTACCATCAGACACTATTAGCCATTTGCTACTGACATTTTTATTGTTTGATGAAATTGCAGATGGGCTGCTAAAAATCTTAAGACAAAATTGGAATGAAAGTTTTGTCATCTGAATGYACTCTTGGACAGTTGATTGATATTTGATTTTGAAGTCTGTTTAATTTTACTTAACATACAAGCGCAGTTGAATGAGGTACATAATTCTTAGAGATATTTTCAACAATTGTCCCTGTAGTGCTCAGGTAATTTTAAACAAAAATTTAGTGCCAGCTGCCTGCCTTCATTACAGTTCTTGTATGTAATGGATTTTAGAGGCTATTGTCATGCCATCTTCATTGATAATCTTCAGTTTTCCTGTTTTCTATACACCTCGCTTCTTAATCAAATTATTTCAATTTTATTTCTGTACTATTTTGAATTATTCATTATGTATATGTGTTTCAATTTTAAAATTATTTCTTAAAAAAATTTACAAGGTTGCTTAAATAAAACTGAAGTTTATAAGCAAACAAGTTTGCTACTGTACTCTCTGTGGACACTACTATACATAAAATATGTAAGGTATTAAAGTCTTCAGTTCTTTTATGAAGACTCCTTAACARTAAATCTTTTGTAAATCTGAGTTTTCCAGTTTGAGCATATTGAGAACCTGAGGCAAAAACAAATTGCTCAAATACTGGATTATTRCTCTGCTAAAGCCCAAAATAGCATTATATTTAATCTGCTCACCTGCACTATTTTGAACTGTGTGGTTTTCAAACATGATCCTTTAGAATAATGTATAATATGATTTTCCAATGCTGTATGGGRAAAAAATAATAAATTTAATCATATTTATGAAACACCCTGATTTCTGTCTCAACTGCACCTTGTTACTACGAGAAATGTAAWATTAAATCCTATGGAAACCATGCTCTTAAAATGTAATTCATCAGATGAAAACATTGTTGTTTTAAAGGATGTCATTGAGAAACTGTCAGGATTATCTATGGGTTACCAAGATAATCAGTAGCTATTTGTGGTTACTGGTTTAGGACTGTGGAAGTGGACTAGTAAACTTAATAGTAAACTGGTGGAAATGGAAACAGGAAAAGTATAAAATAGCTCAGCTTATAAGCAGCATCACAATAGTGGCAATAAATTGCCAAGTTACCCTCAGTAAAGTGAAGGAGAATCTTTCAGGAAGTTATCTTGTTGTAAAGATGATAGTCTGAAGACTGAAATAAGTTAAAAGGCTCAATCAAATGACAGAGAAGAAATGGTTTCCAACAGATGCTGAAAGGGGCAGAATAACTAGAAGGGGCATTTTGCGTGTGCCAATCTACTAGGAGGCATATATGAGAACTTTGCAAAATACRCTCAGTAATCAGACACACATTCTAGCTCTAATGTGCTGTGATACAAATAATTTCTGCCAATGTAAAGTTATTTTAATCCATTGTGAATTATTCAGTGAGATATCTGTTACACTAGCCTGGTTGAAAATAGGAAGGGGCCTATTCAGCAGTAGTTGCCATAAAATAATGTTAGGGTTTCAGACTGTATTTGAAGTTGAAATGAATATTTGGATGCTCTTTAAGTTTGTGTTAGTATATAGAGCTGCTGTTCGGAATGAATGACTGTCACTGTTTGTTGTTTTTTTGCTATTGCTCACATTTTTAYAATACTAGATCAAGTGGCCTTAACACTGATAAGCATTAAAGAACTGAAGTTATTTTCCTATTAATATACATCTTGTATATCACAAAGAAGTTAYTTTGTGTAGAATCTTTCATAGAATCCAAACTAAATGAAAATATTGTGAAATGTACTCAGGTTAACCAATATGACAGTATTGTATTATCCAACCTATTGAGTGCCTCTAGGTTGAGTAGTGGTTCAATTCATGGCTTTGTAAAAGCATGTGTCTGCTATTGTCAGAAGTGTTATTATGGTCTGTACAATAACAATACAGAAACACTCAGAAATACTGATGCTAACCTAAGTTCAGATGAAGTTTTGTACATTTGACAATACAGCAAGATTCCTTCTGTCAGTATTTCTTTGTTCTCTAAAAAGTATGTTTTCTCAGAAAAGGGGTAATAGGAAAACACTGCTATACCAAATGGCACCAAACCTGTTAGCTAAGCCAGGTACAATCACTAAATTTGAGACTTATTCAATACCATACATGCTCTGCCTCTTATAGAATCACTGTGTTGCCAGAAGTTCTCTTAAGTGACATTATCATGCAAGGATCACCAATAAAACATCATCTCCCTTGCCTTCCCATAGCCTGTTAATTCATCTCCAGTAGCAGCAGTTCTATAAATGTCATGTACAGCTAAAAAACTACATTCAACCATTTTATTTTAGAATATATTTACCTCTTCTGAGATGTAGCAGATGACTTGGACCTTGAACGTGTGCTTGACAATGAAGGAGTCACATATTGACACACACATTGCAAGCACAATTCGTTTTGTTGATGCAAGCACAGCAGTTGTATAAGCACAGATGGGCAACTGAATGCTCACACTCCTTTTATTTTCCACTGTAAGTCTGATACAATCCTGTCACAGAGTATCAAAATATCTTTCAGATATTTGTTTTAATCTGGAAACAATGTAGGTTGGAGTTCCTCCTAGTTAGAATGTAGGAAAACCAAGACTGAGTATTTTTTGATGTATCAAGAAAGATAATTTGGTGTTACAGCATCACCTGGTGACCATTGCGAGAACTACTTGATATGTTTGTATTTTGGGGAGCTTTTCCAAGTCACCTTTCCTGCAGGGGAAGTAGAATGAGTCTTATGGGGGATTCCACCATTCTGAGCTGAGTTGTCTTCGTGGTAGGACCATCCTCTCGGCAAGCCGTTATAGAATCAATACTCAAGCTCTTCAGATTTAGGAGATGGGGGAAAAGGAGGATAGCGAGGCATTTGTGAAAGCCAGTGTAGCCTAAGGAGTACAACCTCCCTTGAACTCCACCTACCTTGATAGGAAGAGGGAAGCTCCTTCAGAGGGCAGTGCACAKCTAAAGCCCTGACACAGCACCTCCCAGAGTGGAGCTCGCCTGTCTGTTAACTATGAGGGTGTACATCTAGTTGGGCTCGCTGCTTTGAAGCTGCCTTTTTGTAAATTGCTCACATTGACCCTTGCCAACAGAGCTCAGAGAGGTAGTGAAGATCATTCCTGACCAGAAACTTTCACACAAATATTGCACATGGTAACCTAAAGGCAATTTACCCAATTAGAAAATGTCTTTATGCAGTTATTTTTCCATCTGGAATACAAATTGTTTCTTTATAGCAGGTTTTCTTGCACATGTAGAAGAATATTCAATATTCTGGTCTTTGGATATTTTTTCTTATTCACCCAAATGCACCTCTATTTAGTAAAAGCCTCATTTTGTTTCTTATGATGAAAGACATAATATTCCTTCCACTGTGAATTACATCTACTCTCACCTTCACAGCTTGGAAAGTTCACTAACACCTGGAAAATTCAGCAGCATCTGAGTGAGAAGCTATTTCATAGTTACGGGCTTGCTTGGGCATACTTTTTACAAAATAACAGCCCTGGAGTTGCAGCACTCTAAAATCTGGTTTAGAAGAAACCAAGTATTGTGTTCCCTTATGTTTCTCTCACAGACCTCCTTGCCTGGGGGACAGCAAAAAGGATAGCTCAGGTGTGAAGGATTCTGAATGTAATGCAGAAGAGAAACTCATCACTTGTGATTAGGAGTTTGAGACCTCTTGAAGAAAGCATCTCAGGAAGGTCTCATTTTGTTTTCCTGATTTCAATTGAATTTCTTAGGAACAAGGAAGCACTGGCTTATGAGAGGAAAGATGCAATAGGAAGTAAACCATAACATTTGACTTTCTAAGAAAAATATTTCCTGACTCCATTTGAGTTTCTAGAGGCACACTTAACTTCTCATTGGGCATCTATGCTTTGACACACCACCAGTAAGTTTTGCTGAATCTGGTCTAATGGTGCTGCCAACTCCTGTGAATTTCCCTGGATGTTTCATTAACACACAGCAAAGTGTTGAAATGATGCAGTATCGTCCTTTGTACAATAAAGCCTGGGAAGAGTAAAGTCTCTTGTCTTAAGTGAAGTCAAAATGATATCTCTTTCCCAGCTGATGGTCCAGCTGTTGTTATTGTAACACAGATGAAGCTGCTTCCCCAGGGGTTATTCTTTATCCTTGTTCAATTTTCTATGAGATGTTCCTTTCAGTATTCTCTTTGCTTTCTCTGTAGACATGCAGACAAAAGAATATCATGAATTCCAGTGGCATTATAAATTAAAACAAATGTATGTTTTCTGATTTAATATTTCTGTTACAGCCTTTCTTTAGAACAGTCATGTTTTCATAGTTTTTCCACATTAACATCTTCCTTAGGTGACAACTATATACATTGATAAATGATTGATAGATCACAAATAGTTTTATAAGTCCTTTCAAGACTGGTCTTTTTTTTTTTTTTAAATTCAAGTTAGCCATGATCTTTGTGTCAGGTTGACACAAAGACACTTGATAGGAGACTTCTGTAAGGGTAGGAATTGTCAGAACTGTGGCCAAGGCACCTCTTCCCTTCATCCAGTTTTAYACAATTTATTAAATTGGGTTAGCCTCACAGGGACTACATGATAGGGAGCACAAGGCTGGCTGTGGTCTGCAATGTATTGCATGGTGCTTTGGTTAGTGCATTAAAAAACATGGGCTTTGAGGGGAAAAAAATTATATGCTTTATAAACAGTAGCAAGTCATATATACACAGTCGTTCAAATTTATCATTATTTCTTTGAAGATATTTGTGATTTGCATGCTTATTCRGAATAAGCACAATTTTAATTGGAACCTTGTGAGTTTAATACAGCATGAGAAAATGGACTATGTTAACTCTTTCTAATACTGTCTGAAGGCATCTGTTTACCTCTTAGCAATAATTCACAGAATTTCTGGGCCTCTTTTGTCATCTTGCAGCAAAATCCCCACAGATTATTCATAGTACAAAGAAGAAAGCAAAAAAGGGAAATCATAATTCACCAAAAGACAACAAAACTTCTTCCAAGTCAGAACTTGTACAGGAACCTCCAGCAATATTAATAGATGAATCTTGCCTCTCAGAAAACTTGCAAAATAATGTTGGAAGTCCACAACAAGTAAGAGATGGCTAATCACTGGGATTTTTTTTGGGGGGGGGAGGGGGGGAAGCAACCAAACAGCAAAAAAATGGTGAAGGGATGTTGCTAATTCTTTTGGTTCATGTGAAGATCTTACATCCTGAGGCAAGAACAAGGAATCCAAAACTATTACTGTTGGTAGCTTTTGAATGAGGTGATGAAAAAAGGATAATGTACATGTATGAATGACTAAATAAGTAGGGAGTTTCATATCAAGGTGATTTACTCTACCTTTAAATGGTCTTCATTTGGCAAATCCAATTCAAGTATAGCATAACTTTCACATAAAGATCAAAAACTGCCAGAAATAAAATTAAAGTTCTGATGCTTCATTATGAGCTTTCTTTGAAATGTGATGTTATAGAAGGCCATCTATAATAGTTAGTTTGCATAAAGAAACACCTATTTCCAGTCAGCTACAAGCTTTAGTAACAGACACATAATACCTGCCGCTCGAGTCAAGTTTGTCAGAGAGTAATATCAAACCATGGGGTTTGCTTCATGTCACTTAGTAATATTTGWCTACTTTAGAAAAATGAAGTATACTTTCTAAAACAGTTCTTGTTTTTCCATCTCAACGTGCTTTTCTGCTGTGATTTTTTGTTGATAGTTGCATTCAATTGCAACAAAATATCTTAAGTAAACACAAATTATTGAGAAATAAACTCCAGAGTTGCTCCTTTGACTCAGAACTGGCATTAGAATTTGGAAAACAGTTTTTAAATATAGTCATTTCCAATTCAGTTTAGACAGTGCTTAGAACAGCCCATGGACCCTGTCACCTCTGCCTCAAATTAAGGCATTATTGAGTGCTAGTACTACAGCTCAAAGCCCTGTAGTAGGTTTTAAAATCAAAGACAAAAGTCTTTGTTTTGGTACATGGCATACAGAGGAAAGTTACATGGAAATCTTACAGGAATGTAGCTCCTTATTTTATAGCCCAGTTTAGTTTTACTTGGTAAACACATGAGTAATTGTTTAATTTCACAGGAATTAAAGTAAGATCTGTGGAATTAACATTAATTTTTTAAGCTTCTTGTAACGCTGTTATGTGCAAGCTTGTAAATTAATTATGTGTTTTATATTTTCTGAATTCAATAGCTGGCAGTTTACTAACCTAGTAGGACTTGAATGCTTGCTGTAATTGTTATGTCTTCAGCATGTTGTATTTTCTTTCACAGTCTCACCAGTACATGATACAGGCATTGGTGTTGCATGATAGTTGGCCTCTTACTGAGAGTGAGTCTGTGTTTGTTCAGGAACTGAGAGAATTGAAGAAAGATGAAATCAGAGGTAGGTTGATCTAAGTACATATTTAGTTAAATCTACCATGTTACTGATGTAAGTATATATATATATATTTCTTCAAGCATCATTTTTTCTTTTGTTCACTGAGTCAAATAACTAGACAACAAATCTTTTTGTTCTCTAGCTCTTAGAAATGAAGCTTGATTATATGGATCTACAACTTCAGTTCACAAAATATAAGGAAATGAGAAAATACACTGCAAAACTCACCTTCTTAGGGCTCAGCTTTAGGTAGAGATCTGGAACAGAAACATGCCTGCTGATAATTTAAGAGCATGCACTGAACAAGACAGGGGAAAAATGCCTGGTTTGGGGGATRTATTTCTTCTGTATTGCTGGGAGAAGAATTTAACAAGAGGAGGGATGAGGAAAGCTCYGAAGTAGAGTCTGTATGTCTAAATCAGGAAGGGGACAGAGAAATTAAAGAAGGTTTTGATTTTGATTTTTTTAAAGATTATTGTAGCATTTCTTCTTAAGGGACAGAAAAAAACAAGTACAAGACATAGTAAAAGTACTTATAATGCTAGTCAGTATTCTGTAAATTAGATAAATGCCTCAYATTTTCTTCTTTTAACAGTAGGGTTGACACAAAATAATTTAGATTTTAATTATGTTAAAGTTTATCATGCTGAAAYCAACAGCCTGAGAGAGGMAAGGCTGCTGCCATTGCATATTCCCAGGTCCAACCACATTCCCAGGTCAATTAGTGAGGCTGAAGTTGTAAGCCCACCAAKCACATGCACATTGGCACACACACACACTATGTGTGTATATATACACATTGCCAGCTACACGGGTCACAGCAGACACTCAGAGCATGCACACAAGCACAGGCAGCACCAGCTGCCTCATCCTACTTTTCCCTCTTTGGCTGGGAAGAATGGAAGTTCCCTAGAGAGACTGTGTTTCTGTGAAGGTGGATCCTTCCACCAGCGGCACTTAGACACCTGATGTGTCCAATAGCTGYCCCTGCATCCCCTACGATCTTGGAGCCTGCAGCCCTACTCCAGATGCAGGTGCAGAACATCATGTAAATGCAGAGCTTATTCTCCTGTGTTCTCACCCCTAAGTTCCTGCAGAACCTAAAATATTACTTTCCACGATTCATTAAATTACTTGTATCGTTAATATTAAAGTTCTATCACTCAATTTTAAAATAAACAAAATCATAAACTATTTGCATTGTCCTTCYTCATACACATACACTTGCTAATACCCTAAAATTTTTTTAGGATGATTTGATTTTTGTTACAGTGGTATGTCTTCTTATCCTATTTGTATGTTTCTTTTAAAATGTCTGCTAAATGTCARTTCTTTGGGTTTTTAAAATTTCTAATACCCTAGAAGGAAGTTAGATTCTGCAGCAGCAACTGCTGACAGATATTATTTCTTGGGTTTGAAATGTATGCAATATTTGAGATCTTCTCAGTTTTACTTTATTTATCCTTACACAACTTTAGGAAGATGTACCTTGATTTACTATAGTCTCTAGTCAGTTTTAATAGCATTTGGGGAGCTGTGTCATGTAGGCTTACAGGCTTGTACAGAGCTCTTCTACTGATTTTAGCCACTTGTAGTTTGCTGTGTTCTTCACAATATCWTAGTTTCTTCCTAGATTATTCCATTTATTCTCTTAATTTTCCCTGTTAGACTGCTTCTTACAATAGACATCCTACTTCATGCTCTTATCTTTCTGAGTCAGCTACATAGTGACAGCTTGCTCTTATCACATCAGTCATGCTACTGGTGTGTATCATTTTACAGTTTCACCATGGTCTGTAAAACTGCAGGTGAGAGGAGGTCACTTAATCTTTTAAGTTTCTTTGCTAGTTCTCAGCTCATATCACTGAACCTTGCCAATGTCATGAGTATTCTCCTGTTCAATTCAAGGTAGCAATATTCCAGTTCCTAGGTTCCCTTTTCCATGTTAACTGATGCTCATTTGCAGTCAAACATCCTTAAGCAACAGTCGATGATAACAAGCACTACTTGTCTTGGGATTGTTTTAAAATGGTGTMATTTTTGTGCCCTCTCATAATTTCTGCCTTTCACAGTAACCCAAATCCATTTCACAGTTTTTATTAGCTGAGTGTTTCTATTTATACAGGAACACCAACAGATTGCCTAGGCCACCACCAGAGTTTAAAAACAATTTACATCAAAAAGTTTGAACACCAATACTCATATGTTAATTACCTTGTATTTATTTTATTTACTCCCATTATCAGCAATATTTAGTATTTTCCCCCAAAACACTAAACTATAAAATTTGGTGTTTTGTGGGAAAACCCAAACATTTAAATTTTTTTCTGATTGTGAACTCAAATCAATTTGAAAACTGACCTATGCCATTTAGGATTGCCAGCATCAGCTGTCAAACACAAATTCATGTAGTAATAATGTTGGTGTGTAAACAAAAAGGTATTGCCTCACCACATGATCTTTAAGAATGCTGCAGGAACCCAGGTGAAAAGTTTCTGCAACAAATTTTCCCTGTTTCAAGCATCCCTTTTTCATGTAAGCCAACAGTGCCATCTGGAGTTAATTTTGTATTAAGGCTAATTGTATTAAAAGCCTTTGTATTAAGATCTGCTGAAACCTTTTAAACTAGTCTCCCTTTCAATAAAAACCCATGCTATTATACTTTGATATTCACGGGTATTACAAATATTTATTTAGAACATTTTTGGAGAAAGWAATTTCTCTGGTATACAGATGCTATGATCATTTTGTATTTGCTGATGTTTGTACTTGTGAAAAGAACTGTGTTAACAAAAGTTAATTTGTGAATACTTAGTCCTATTTATTATATATGAAWCCTGCTTAAAGAGCCTATTGCACAAACAAAACATTAAAAAGGCATTGGGGAGGAAAACCTAAGTAAACAGAAATTAGAAAGTGCAGCCTAGCTTATTTATWTAGGCTTTACKCTTCTCTCTCTTTTTTCTCTTTTTTTCTTTTCCYACTGGTGAGAACTGTTACAGAGCAATTCTTCAATGGAAAAATATTTTTAAAAMTTWAAGGTCAAKATTATAATTCTTGTGTAAAAGGGAAAATTAGCAGGCAATCTTGCAACTGCTAGTACCAYTTTCAGTTGCTTGACTGTGTGAACAAAATCATTTCCAGGTTCATTTTGTATACAGAATTTTCAGCTATTATCTTTTACTTTGGTTTTATTTTTCTTGTAGTGAGATCATAAGCTTTATTATGCAACTGTCACAACCCTGAGCTGGATCATCACTGTGTGCTGAATACTGACTGCAATGTATTTTACATATTGCCTGAAATTAACTGAAGRGTATAAACTGTTGATGAGAGAAGTCTGTCTATCCAGCTGGGAAAGCAGGGGGAGATAGAGTGCCCAGTCCACATAGTAGAAGTAGGCTTGAAAAAGCAGGACAGRCAATATGCATTGGAATATTCCTTTTTATGCTCCAGATCTGTAAAAGTTTTTCCCAGGTTTTCTTTTCCCACAGGAGAAGTTGCTAGCTCGTGCCAAGGAGAGGATTCCACAAAATGTTTTAGAGGGTGTTCAGTTCTCTCTCTCTCTCTCTTTATCTATTTCCCAGTCTGCCTGTCAGTAGTGATTAATCATTTGCCTGGTRTTCAGTGAACAATAGTTCACAGAGGGTATGTGATGGTGCTGGAGATCTCTAAGCTGCACTCTAACCCCATGCTACTACTGCAACCTTGTTGTCAGTTTGCTTCTATCCTGGTGTACTTGTTCTGTAATTTTAGTGTCTGGGTGAGCTCAACTTTGGAAATATTTTTGATAATGACATCTGTTGAGAATCCTTCTGAGGGCTCAGTCAAAGACAGGAAAAGCAACATCTGAACTTCTTTATCTTTCCTTACCAAATCTGAAAATCCTTCTGGGGCAACTAACAGTCATTACTACCAATTACTGGGTAATCCCACTAAATGCTCAGAGCCTATTTCAGATAGCAGGAGCATGATGTCTTCTCAAAACTTYAAAAGACTCCTCTGTGTTTTACCTATGATAAGATAGATTCTCTGTACTTTATATTTCATAAGTTAGGAGTAGATAATTGCCTAAAAAAGATATTTGATGTATCTCAATCTGAAGCTGAGTTTCAGCTAGGAATCATTTGGTGTAACTCTTTAGCTTGTCACAGACAGGACATCAGACTGGATGATCAYTATGGTCCCATTTGGCATTAGACTAAATGAATTTCTGAATAAATAATTGAAGAGCAGTAGGTAAGCTAATTTTAAAGCTGCTGTCAGCTGTGCCATCACTGTCAGCCTGTGTGATGCTCAAGCTTTTCTTGATGCCATACAGATATAAAAACTTCCACAGAGAGTTTGTGATGACTGATGCTGTGAGCTGGAATGGCCTTTTACATTCTGTATCATGTGCCTGCCTTTCTTCTTACTGCATCCCACAAAAAGCTTTGCCCTTGGAAAAGCCTCGAGTGGTAACTCACATCTTCCTTTGAATCAGAGTGGGCTGCATGCCAAAATGAAGTCATTGCCCCCTCCAGGCATGTCTGGAGGATGATCCCAAAACTGGGGATACTGCTTGCTCTGCTGAGGGAATGGGAATGGCTGGGGGAACCTGGACAGTGCAGTGGATGGGAGAGCTTGGAGATCTCAGCTTAATCTTGCCCTAAGCCTTTATATMTGGAGTTAAAGTAGGTTACCACATTCTAGCCCTGTCATTTCTTATGCTTGCTTATTCTCTACTAACTTATCAGTTCAGAGCATCAAAATTTTAAAATTCAGAGTTGAAAAATAATTATAGAAACCAGACAAAGCTTGTCGTATCCCATGACATAGGAAGTTTTTGTCTGGTATCATTTAGCTAACTACGCAGAATGTACTTTGAATATTTTTATAAAAAGTAAATAATTTATCCCTAAAACTTAATAATTCCTTGACTAATGCACATACACTAGCCTGATTTATAATAAGTTATGCTAATAAGTTATGATAATATGAAATTAAAGGGAAAGCCATATATATAACTTTGAATTGTGTTATCACTATTTGTTTTATATTTGCATTCCTCTGGAATTGTTTTAGTATATTCAGTATTTGTGGAGACCGCTTTAATTTTTGCTTTCATTCTTTACTATATGCCTTGCTAGTACTGAATCAATTCAAGCTTTACACTTTGGTGTCATTGGACATTTTTKAAGTAGCATGAGGGGAAAAGAATARTAYCATTTCTAGATAAACACATATATGATGCAATACAGTTATACACCATCTAATATATATTTGTATATGGAGCTATATTTGCATTATAAATACGTTTCTATATATTTAATATTTAAAATTTTATATATCCACATAACCTCAGCCATGACATTACAGATCTCATCCAAAACTCATTAATCATGCAGTACAATGATTTGTCCTCAGTGAAAAGAAACTGGAAAAGCACTAAATGAAAGATATCTTAGAAGCATTAAGTGAAAGATGTCTTATTATTATCATCAGACAGTCACTTGTGTCCACTTTTTTTCTGAGAGAAGTCCCCTGTTTTACTGTATTAGCTAAAGCTAGGTTTCTAGTGCTTGTCTTAATGCTTCAGGCAGTAGGAAGGTGGAAGGAAATTGAATTCAGACTCAGATTTTTAATCATTCTCATAGTGTTTTGGATTCATCCCTTCTTGTTTCAATTGACACATTCCTTATAATATTAGAGTTATATGCTGTTACAGGCTTTATTTATTAATTAATTTTAACAAGAATGTGATATGCAAGAAGTCTTGTTTACAGTTCTCATCAGTTAAGATGTTGCAGAATAAGTATAAAATTCACAGGTGTCAATTCTTGGTATCATTAATTCAAACATATAATATACATATGTATTGATAATATCATTAATTTAAAATATTCTCAGATAGTTCTGAAAATTGCAATTTTGCGTTTCCTAAATATGCATCGTCTCAAATATGTTTCTTGGCCTTAACTTTCTTGCATTTTTGGTGGGCTGTATCTATATTCTCTGTTCAAAACAGTCTTRTTAGGATTTGAGACAATGAGAACATTGACTGTACCTTTACCATTTATTTCTTACCTTTCTGGTGCATAACAAACACCAGAGATTGTATGAGACTATTGAAGGGAGGTAAGAGTCAGGTTCTGTACATTACAGTATTTATACTGTCCCATGCACAAGGCAGCAATGCAGTGATGGATGGCAGCACCATGGCAAACTCTCAGTTAAGCACTGGGTAAGGCGCTATTAGGACAGATAAGGCTGTCACAATATGTCCACCGTGTAAGTATGTTTTTAGAAGCTGGTTTGTMCCCACATTCTTTCTTAGTAGTACTTTAAAGTGTCACCTAATTAACTGATTTTCCWTTGTCTCTCTGTATTTGTGCTGTTATTCCACCCTGAGTTTTATAGGGGGAACTCTGTTTATGGATAAMAGTGATATTCTCTAATTCATCATGCATTAGATTTATGAGTAATACACCAGGGAAGGGGTGAGGAGCACAGATTTCCCCTAACTSTCACTTCTTTTTAAGTAAAAAAGATTACACAAAATCCTAAACCAAACAGAAGATCAAAAGAGAAATTATTGGAGAAGACAGAAAAAGATCGTTTCCACAAAGGAGGATCAYATGAATCTCAGGTGAGAACAAAGCTAAAGCCTCAATTTGTTGAATGTGCCATCCTTGTACTGAATACAGAGATATTCTCAGGTCTGCAGATCAGTACTGCTAAGACTTCTAATGTCTCTTGCACTTCTCTATATGGCTGGTGGCTTTGCCACCTTTTTAGCTTTATACCTGAGAATTTAAGAGGTTGAATGTAAAATATGTGCATCCTAGATTTGGAGACACAACTTCCTCATTTCTTTGTTTATGTATAAACCAAATACTGGTTGTTGCTTTTGTTGGTGTAGTTTCTGTCTCTGCTAAAGGCTTATTAAATTTCATGAATTCACCATATTTGTGTCCCATTAGTCCCTCATTGTAGTGGCTTTCATGGATTCCTAGGGAGATGAAATAGGTCTTTCCATTGTAGTCAGTTCYGGGCTCATATATCACAACTTCATTAGCCTGCAGACATACAGTGGCAGAAAAATTTTTATGTACTTGCTTACTTGGAAGTTCTTCTCCCTCTGGGGTGGAATCATCTGAATGTCCTGTGGCTATTGCCAGCCTTAATTCCTTAAAAGGAATAATTGACATTATTGGTTGCAAATGGATTAATGGAAAGCAATGAAGAAACTGACAGCTCCTTGTTTAATGGTATTGCTTTTGCTGGGAATTTTGTTGCCTCATGGCGTGTAGTTCAAGGAGAGAACAATAGTTTTTCATTAAGAAAACTCTACTGATCTTTTTTGTTGACTAAACTTGCTGCACAGCAGAGTTCCCTGTGATTCRTTTCCACACCTAATTATACAGAGTTCAGGAATAGTGCTTCACACTGCGGGTGCTGGGATGATGGTTCTTGGGAATCCAGCACTAAAGCAGATACAAGTTTTGAGATGGAGCCCTTGCAGATAAAGAAATTGTCCACCTTTAGTCTCAAATAAGAACTGAATTCCTAACCTGAGTTCTATGTCTTGGGCTTAAAACCTCTTCAGATGATGCAGTTTCCAGAAATAACTGCAGCACAGTATCTCATTTGCTGGTCAGTTGRCGGAATAGTCTCCTAGACTTCAGGCCCTACTTAGCCTGTGATTCTGGAGAAGCCATTTGTTAAGATGTTTTAGAGACTGTGGGAAGTGATTGGAATAGAACCTTCTAAGACAGAGCAAGGTTTATTTCTGTGTAAAAATCCCACTTGAATACAATAAGGCTTCTAGTAAAGAWGCTTGTGGAAGGAAGGAAAGGAAAGGGCAGAAAAGGAAAAAAGCTTGGCGGGGAGATAAAACAACTGCATGAAAAATCACTACAAAATGCTCTCGTTCAGACAAACTGTTCAGAACTGGGAGTGTGGAGCATGCTGTATGGGGGTGGAGGAAAACATGTAAACAAAATACCTCTAAGAGCTTCCAGGCATTGCAAAGTAATCTTTCTCTCCTTGGGCAGCCTCTATTTGTGTCATAATGTATATCAAAGTCTGTGAATGTGCAATGTATATCAGTCAGAAAAATTACCAGTATACAAAAACATAACTTCATCCTAAAGAGTGGTGATAGACGTGTACCAGTGACTACATTACATTTATGATACTTTCAGCCAGCATTTCCAAACACRCCCTACTGGATTTTACACATAGTTAGTGAACAGCACGAGGCAGATGTTCTGGAGGTGAAGAAAGACACCCGGCGAGCAGATGAGATCATAGCCATGAAACAAGCATGGGAGTCTACAGAGCCAGGGAGAGCTGTCAAGGTAATATCAAAGTGCTCTTTGCACGGATGTTTCTTTACAAGTTCCAGGCATTGTTGTGATGGTGGAGCRGTTGCCACACCAGAAACCTGACTTCATAGGGCTGTCCTCTTCAACACTCTGTGGAAGACAGGAAATTTTACAATTTAAAGAATCAAAAGTGATTATGTGCCTGAATTCTGGGCAGGAATCCAGATCGTCTGCTTCAGGCTACTGGAGATCGCTGAGACTTTAGATTCTACTTTATAAAACACAGAAAACTTTCTCCTTAGAAAACCCACTACCTCTGCACATTTGCAAAGCTTCAACTTGTGACAAGTTTAATGGTTGGCATGAACAGATTCTATTGAGAAATACACTGCTATAAACAAGCCAAAAATGGTTTCTCCTTAAGAAATGGCATCTGGTCATACCAGTACTCAAATTGTCCCTTGAAGCCAGGATTCCAAATTCATTCTGCATTGCAGGTTACCCGTGAGCCTGTACACGCTCTGTATGAATTCTGTTTTGGAGAAGTAATACCGATTTAGTTGCCAGCTGCATCTGGGTGCTTTTGACATGACATATGCTTAAGATGGAAAAATAATATGTGTTCTTTTTAACAAAGCAAAAAGTTGCAGTGCTGATTCAGAACTGGAAGTATTATTACCAAAGAAAAACAAAAKAACAAAATGCAGTTTTCAGACTCATCTGACAGTCATTCCCTATCACCACCAATACCATTGCCCACTGAGAGATTCTCAACCAGAATTCCCAGYTTAGAAGCAGCTTGTATTTTTTATATTACCTTTCAGAAATCAATCTCAGACATGGGTCTTCCCAGTTACACTCTCAGATTTTCTCAATTYTTTTTAGTGTGTTCAAAGCTCAAAACTTTTCATGACAATATTAAATTCTGAACTAAGGAGACATGCAACTCTGCAGTTTTGATTGATTGTGCTGGGACTGAAAATGCAAGTACAACCTCCTAAAGATTAGCTGGAAATGAATCCCCTTTGATGTGTAAAGATCTGGTTCTATCAAAATCTGGTTCTATCACCATTGCCTTATTTGATCAGAAAATCAACTGAATTGCAACTACCGAGTTCAATTTTGATCTCTAGGCTTTTCAGGAACGTGTGCGTTTTATTAACAAATRTACTAGGAGAGATTCAGAGGAGCCCATAGCTGGGGCTGAGACTGCTGACTCAACACATGGTTCAGAAGAAATGGGTAAGTGTATGACTTTATATGTCTTCAGTTCAGCATGTTTTACTCATTAGGAAAGCCTGCATTTAATATCGGTAGTAGATAGATAGATCAGCCCCATAAAGGTGTCCAGATTTGCAATGGCATRCTTGCTCTCTATCCCCTGTTTCAATTGTTTTACTGCTTTATTTCCAGACACAGATAGAGCCTCACAGCTCTTGGAGGCTGCCAAATTATCCTTAAGCAAACTTCAGGTCATCCTTCTATAACAGAATTTTAATCTGAAATGAATATGAAATGTTTGGAAGTTCAGTGGAAAATACCTTCTCCCTCAATTCCAAGTACCAGAGTTCATTAGTGTAGAAACGGTAAAAAAGTGTATAGCAGCTGAAATAGCATGTCAGTAATAGACTAACACACCTAATATTCATTCTGTTTGTGTTCATGGAAACTGCTCATGGAGRGTAGTCTGGAAGTGAGGTGTCAAAATGTGCATACTGAGTAGCATCAGCTTCCTGGCAGTTTCCATATGTGCTGTCTAATTTTGTTTAGTGCTTACAACATCTATGGATTCTTCCTATGTATTCCCTGCTAATTTCTAGATTCAGATGGAAAGTTGAACTGGGTACAAGACTTCAAGCTGTTTGGGGTTTTTTCCTTCCATGAATATGCTGAGATCAGGCCACCACAAAAATGAAAGAGTAAGACCCAGTCTGATCATGACAATATCTGGTCATGGCTCATGTGCATGGATCTAGAACCTGTGACCAGTACATAACTACAGATTAGTATTTTTCCATTCCAGTAAGTAATCCTCACATGAAAGGTTCAGAACTTAAAGTAGAATTAATCCTCACCTAATACCTTGAAGACAAAATTGGTTACATGAAACAATATTTCCTCTAAGAACTTCAAAATCAATGACTGTCCAGGTAGAGSTTTGTTCTAAACTAAGCACTTGGAGTCATATATAAAGTATTATGATGTACAGTGATATCCCAATTGACTTTAAGTTGTTGTGGTTCAATTCCACAGAGTGCAGCAACAGGCAATAATGGGATTGAACATTTCTGTAATATTCAGTATCTTAATGAGGATTTTTGTATTCTGGAGAATACTGTTCTGGTGGGCAATGTMTAAGGCCCTTCCAAAGATCCAAATCACCCTTTGAGACCAGCAGAGAAGGCTGGTGTATTTGCCTATGTATAGGCAATAAATATTTTTTTAATGCTCAGAAACGTCTTCCTATTTTTCATGAGAAAATTCCAGTAATATTTTTTAAATATTTCAATTGATTACTGCTATAGATAGGGTAATAGGRGTTTTTATAAAACAAAATTACTGCACTCATCATTAAATCTCATCACATTTCACAAGTATTTTCAGCACATTGAGATAAACTGAAAGAAGGAAGCATTGAAATAATGACAAAGCAGCTCAGCCCAGTGCCACGCTTAATATCATAKATGTCATTGTTTTGCAAGAATGTTACAATAAAACACAGCACACTTACTATTAATGACAAAAAAAAAAAAACCTTAAGATTTCAGAATACCAGTTTTACTATGTCATGGATTTTCTTTAGACTGGTATTGCTTAAATTAAATCCGTTCCCTAAAAGGGAATATGATTTTATTTTTTCTTTTTTAAATACAGCCAGGCCTGGACAACTGGATTTTTATTGATTTTTTTAAAACAAAAGAATATGATTTCCAGAAGTTGTTTTTATATTTTTAGGCACTGCAAATTCAATGTTCTGGATTAGATATGCAAACTTCCTGGAGTAGAGTGGATTTAGATAAAATACATATATTAGTTTCATTATGGTGCATGTRGGTTTTTTGCAGCATCTTTGATTCTATCTTAAGTGTTGGAAATAAAAGGGCAGAAATATTATGTCCACTCCAGCCCACACGTTCCTTTAATAATGTATTTTGCTGAACCAAATAAAGACAAAATGWTATAAGAATTTAGGTGGATCCTCCTAGCATAACCAAATAACCAGTTTACTCTGTCCTGTTTTATATTTTTTTACCACAGGAATGGAAACACCACAAACGGCCATTGATTCAAGATTAAAATCAAAAAAATGGGAGCTTATAGACCTTAGTCCTTACATGAGGTAAAGTGCGCTAACATAATAAATGTCAAAGGAGCTGAATCACTGCATTGCATGTGACATAAACATTTGAAGGAAATGTGCGTTCAGGCAAATATGCTTATTTCAGTATTCATCTTGAAAAGAGCATGTATTTCCAGATCACAAGATATTCTGAGATGGAAAGGACACAMAAGGATCATCAAGTCCTGCACTTAAGTGAATGGGCCGTATAGGGACTGAACCCACAGCCCTGGTGTTACAAGCACCACACTCTAACCAATCTTAGGATCATAGAAAATTTGTCAGGAATTTATACTAGTYTAAAATAACATATTTAACAAATACATGTTATAGTTTCAGTTACTAATAGTTTATAGCTGAAATAATTATATTAATTATATTGATTATATTTCTTATTCAACAAAACTATATTCTTTATTACAAGTGTTGGCATGAATTTATTGAGCTAATTTACACACACCTGCCTAATTGCTGTGTTGCAGCTAGAACCCACTTCATGGTAAAGTCCATTTGTATTCAATGTGGCATTTTTGTATTTTATTGATCTTCAAAAGACTTTAAAAATGCTGAAAAAAATGCTCAAGTTTAATTTTAAATTGAAAGGGAAATTGGTATTATATTGAAGTGAATAGCATTTAAAGAGTAGAAAATATGGCAAAGTACCTTCCACAAGCTTGAATCTCGTAAGCATTTCATTTTTCTTCAATTCCTTGACTTTTGAACAAGTCGTGTATGACAAAACATAAAAGTATTTTATCCACTTACCTGCCATTATGCCAAAGCAAAAAAAAAAAAAAAAAAAAAAAAAANAAAAAAAACCAAACAAAAAAACCTTCAACAACCTTCTGAAAACATATTTCTTTCAAATTAAAAGTGCCACATGTAGGAGTTTTCAATATGCTCAAAGATGAGCATGATTTTACAAATAGATTTAAAATAGATACTCATGTGTAAGATGACCTGGCTTCAGGAATGTATTTTCTTACTGGCATTATATATAAGCAGAGGAAAAGTGACTCCTTAACCATATCTAACCATAGGATCGTGATGTTGCCAAATATAAGCCAAACACATGCATAATAGATGTTAAGCAAAATAAACACCAAAACTTTGYTTCATATGAGACCAAAAACTGTTTTGTATTTCCTTCAGAAAAACAATGTCTGAACCTGTGGTGAAAAATGAGTCTATCATTCAACAGCAACAGATACATAAAGAGGAAAAAATCAACCATTTTAGGCAACTTCGCGAGCTGGCTTTGGAACAAAGACAAAAAGAAGAAAACGACAGAGTTTTATGGAAGCAAAATACACTTGAAATGTATGAGAACCTGCAGGTACGTTTTCAAGATTACCTTCCAGTCAACTACTCTGTGATGTCCACTACTGGTGTGAATATCCTAATTGACAATTATCAAAACTTTTGTATTCAGTGCTAGTAATTAGAAGCAATGAACAAGCTTGAAATTCCACTTGGGCAAAGGTTAAAACTAAAAGTTCTAAAGTAAAAAAATAGTACTGCACAACATCCGTATTCTTAATACCTTCTTGATACACTCTCTGCAAAAACACTATTTTAAAAATATCACCATGAAAGGATGGTTACAAGTCAGAATAAATGGACCATTTGACCTTCACAACCAGATGCATATTCGGTAAAGTAGTTTGGCTAGTTTTTTTTTTGTTATGGAATTGTTTAGGGCTTTTTACAAAGTAATAAAAAAATTATACAGGGTGATAAGTTGCTATTAATGTGTCTCAGGGAAAAATAGAGGACCAGTTTTCTTGAAATATGCATGATGCCAGCAAATGAAGAATATGGATTATTAATCCTCAAAAAAAGGTATCTATAAACAATAAGTTTGGTAGCATTAGGGTAGGATCCATTGTGAGGATTAACTCAGCCAATGCATTGCACATGAAGTAGATACGAATATCTTACCAAATTGGCTTACCTGTCGAGCATCAACAGCAACAAAAGGATTTGTTACAGTGGTGATAYGATAATAACTATCAATCAGCTGGTGACTCTTCAGAGCTCTTAAAACTGTCTAAGAGACAGTAAAAATAATTTTACATCAAATGAACATATATACAGAAATCTTACTTGAAAACATATCCTTAACTACTTCTCAGACAGCCTGATTTATATTACTCAACTACAGGTCACCAAGGAGCCATGATTCTCTAGCAGTGGCTGATCCTAGTAAGAATACAGGTCCAGGTTTTCAGATGTTGCTATGATTTTGGATTTGTAACCAACTGCATGGTAGAAGGGCAAATTTTTCACCAGAGTAGATCCTTGAATCTTTCTAGAAAGTGTTTCCATCAAAAATATTTCTAGTATGAATTTAAAGTGAGAGTTACTTGTGAATATGCACACTGTGCTGATAAGCACTTTTGCAGTCTTTCATCTATATAAAGGTTTCCAGGTATCCCCATCTTCCAGGATGGAAATGTAATGGAAAAAGTATTCACAGGTGTTGAAGTCCCCCTTGCCCTAAGTCTGGTTGAAGGTCATTGTGATTTAGGCTCCTTTAGCTTTTTAATAGKCTAAGACTCCTAAGCCTTTTCAGCATTTCTGTCATCTAATTTTTAATAGACTTGTGTAAGACAGCAAAGTAAATCAGTAACTGAAAAGAGACTAGATCCAGATGGGTAACTACTCTGTTTTCCTATTCTACTTTCACACAATTAACTTCTTATGTCATCAATTTAAAAAGGATTTTCCTTAACTTTCTCTTCTTCTTGGTGAAAAGACTGACATATAGCTATTTCCTTAAAAAAATCAATAAACATCCATGTAAAAAAGAAAAGGACAGTTGCTCTCCCTGTGCTTACAGAATCACAAAGTGAAACAGAACAGGAAGGATGCAGTTGCTTGCGATGAATTCAAGATTGATGTGTTAAGCAGGGCAGTATTGCTGTTTGTTTTTGGCTAGGCATCCTTAGATGAAACACGAGACAGAGTTTACAGCATTCGGGAAGCATACAGAAATCAGCTGCTGGAAGAAGAGCGCAGAAAACAAGAAGAACTGGCAGCTCAGGAAGCAGCACTGCTAGCAGAGCGAAAGAAGAGAAATGCAGAGAAAAGGAGAAAGCGGTAAAGGTTTAGAGAAAAAAGTGTGGTTGCTATCACTGTTGAATTGTATTTAACAGTTTGGGAAAGAAAGTTCACATGCAAAGATGAGAAAAAATGTTTGTTCTTTTCAAGTATTTTTGGCAACTTTATCATATCACATTTTCTCTTTGCCTGTTGCTGGTGAAAAAATTGATTTAGTATTCTTTTTAACAAAGTGTTTGGTATTTTGCTTCTTACAAAGCTACTTGCTACTAATGTAGTTTTTATGTTTTACTGGAATAACTTCTGCAATAAAATTCATATTAAAATTCATTAAATTTATAAAATAAACTAAAGTCATTCTGACTCTTCTCCCAAGATCACAATGTCTTTAATTATTTTTTTTTTCTTTTTTTCCAATCGAAACAGAACCAGTCAGGAATGAATCAGAGTTGAAACAGTGAATGTAACTTGACAGTTTTAAAAGTCATTTGACCTGGTTCCTTAAGTGGATGAAAATTTGTGGAGTTTATCATAATTAAAATAGTGGCAAGCCACAGTTTTCATATGATAGCATTGGGAGGCTTAGCAAAGCCTGATTGAGTAGGGGCTCACAAGCTTTCTGCGTACTGTAATATTTTTCCCTTCCATCCCTCTCTTAAGTGTTTTGGAACCTCACAGTAACTCTGAGTGCCAAACTCATGGAACAATCTCCCWAGGCTTGTTAAATACTGCTTAAAACCCTATTGCTCTATCTGTTTATCTTTTCTAAGATATATTTGCCCATGCTGGCTTTGCTCAAAGTGACTCATTACAATACTCTCAGCTGGAACGAAAAAATTTTCTTAAAAGCAAACCAATGTGTGAATGAAGTGGCAGTCAGAGGCTTTTTACACAAAGAGTGAAATAGTTCCTCTAAGCTCTTGTTTCCATTATCATAAAATTCCTGTATTTGTGGTTTTGCCATCAAACACAAAAAAGTATCATCACAAGCTGTTGCCCTGCCCTTTCTTTCCCCAAAAAAACACTCACAAACTATCACTGTACTCAGAGATCATGACCAAAACTCTTACAATGCTGAAAACTCTGTAGAACAAAGAATTTTCCATGTATGTAGTCACAAGCAGAAGCTTGACAAGTTAGACTAAGTACATATTGCATACATACAAGATGTCCAGGATGTCCAAAAGCATTTCATTATCTAGGCAAGGAAAGAAACCATGACATTCGCGCATTTGATACAAATCACAAGAAAGGTTATCCTTTGCATTCTGGCCACTGGTACTGGCTAGCTATTGCCTTTGAAACTAGCCTTTCCTCTGCATCTTAATGAACACCAGATGTTCAGCTTCTGCTGGTTTTGCTCACCTCTATTTTATCTGTACCTCACTATTTGGCTTGAACTTGACTCACTCCTCTCAGTCCTGTGATGTCTGTGCTTTGTAGATCATCACACCTACACACCTGCTGTGATGCCAGTGCCTCCATTCGGCCTCCTTCCTCCCATACATCATAAACTAAACTAGCTTGAGTTTTTGTGCTTGAAAAGGAAAAAAAATGAAACCAGAGTCCTAAAACTGCACTGGTGATTTTTTTATTTCAAAGATCAGGAGCTAAGTTTTGCTTTGACCCACAGAGGCTGCAAATAAAAAGCCTGTCAGTCTTTTGCTATAATTGCTCTTTGTCCTTTCTATTTTGGAATATGGGATATACTGCTTCATAATATTCCATCTTGTTTCCATGGCAATAGCACGTGTTGGTTGTCTTCTTATGTGAATCTCTAATGAGCTTCTGTAGAGGAGATCAAGTTTAAGTTCTGTTCTTTGTATCAGTACAAGCACTATAATGACATTCTGTAAAAATCAATCCAACTCCAAAAGCCAGCACTATCAACATCTAAATGCAAAAAATTCAGCTAATAATCTGCACGATCACAACCCGTCCCCACAGCTATCAACTGACTAATCAGCTATCAACTGACTTTAACTCAGGCACAGTGTACTCAGATCTACATTATCAACTCTTGCTCTGATATTAAACACAATTCTAAGTGTCATAATTTTCTCCTCTTGAGGAGTAACATGGCATTGCTGAAATCAGCTATTGGCTCTTTTATCATTTCAACATCACTTATATGACAAGAGTGTGAATTACTGTCACACTGTTTAATTGCATGTACTTTGGAATGTGTAATGTTTTAAGAGAAGCACAGATTTGCTAAATCCCTGTGCATATTCCAGAAGGAAAAAAAAAAAACACATTCACTTACCTCATAAAGGAGCTTGGAAGAAAAAATGCCTTGTTTGTGGATTGTGCCAAAGAATTTACATACATTGGACCAGAAACAGATGAGCAATGAAATTTCGTATGCATCAGTTTTACACCAATAAAACAGCTTTTTACATAGTGCACTATATTACAGGGTAAGTTAGTGGGGAAAGATGGACAAAAACTAAAGCCAGCAGAAGAGCCATTTGCAGTAAATTAAAGAGCTTTTATGTTTAGAACTTTACTGTAAGGAAAACAAGAAAAACTCTATGTTGTATTTTAACAGATAGGATTGTTTCCTCCAGTTTGTAGACCAGGTTGCCCAACAGTCAAATTATCTGTTCACATGAATAAAATATGTTTATTCTTTTGCCCTCTRGAAGCTTTTAAGCATCATAATTTTTTTAAATAACTGTAATAAAAGCTCTGGAATTTGGCTAGTATGAGGCCTTAGTTTGGACATAACAGGGCCAGATTCAGTAGGGACATAAAGACAAATCTGAAATTACGTGCTTCAAGAAGTAACTTCAAGAAGCAGCACAGTGACATGTGAAAGACAAGTTTTCCTTCTGTGAACCAGCTGTGCAGTTTGAAACACCTTGTGAGTTCAGGGTTGAGGGCAATACTGGATTTTTTTTCCAATTATACTTAGCAATTGGCTGGAATTTTGAATATTGATTTAGAATTTTATTAGAGCAGGGGGCATCTTTCAGTATATCTTTAACAATGAGTTGCATTTTTTGTGGTGGTAAAATGAAAAAAATTTGTACTATTTCCTGGCATTCATTTATCTTTCAGTTGAAGTGTAGTCAGTTGTACAAAGGAAAAATGCCACTATTCAGTAGAAATTTGTAAAAGTTTGGACAGAAGCTGCAGAAGTCACAGGAGAAAGGAACCGTGTTAGATTGCATTGTGAATAATCCCTAAAGAATTTATCAGTTTGATTTCTTTATGTCTACGTTTTAGGAAAATGGTAGATTCACAGTGTGATGCAGGTTTGAGAAAGAAAATGATTAGTCTTTGAGCTGATAATTCAGTTTAATGGGGATTAAGTTTGTAAAGACTTATTCACTTGTAATTATTCTTTGTAGGTGTGTTCTGCTAAGCTTTAGCAGTTTTCACTGCTTCATGCTCTTCTTTTGACCAGCTATTCTGAATTAGAAAGGATCTTTTTTTTTGTTAAAATATGTATTTACAGTTACTTTTTAATGCAAGTAGCTTCATTAATCTTCATATTACTTGTCCCATCTGTTTTGCTTTAATTTGGCTGGCATTTGCACAATGAGTTACAGACCAAGAGCAGACCAAGCCTGTTCCATGTTGCCTCGCTACTGAGACAAGCAATGTGCTGTGAAACCAGGCTCGGTTCTGAGCTGCCAGTCTGCTCACCCCAGCAATGTGCAATTTACCCGCTCTGTAAGGTCTCATTTTAATTCAAGGAAGAGACAGCATTTATGCACATGCACAGCATTTCCCCTCCAAAAGGCAAGAAAAGTGTCTACATATTTTGTCTGGCAGAAAACATAAGAGAATAGCTTTGCATAATCACATGGCAGTTTGCAGAATGAAGAAATCTCTCACTTTCAGAGCCCTTTTTTCCTCTTATTCATTTCTTGAATCAGTCCTAATAGATTCAGAGTCCAGGTAATATTTCAATGATATAAACATTCTTGTTTGCAGAAAAACAAGGTGAGGATGTCCTCCATCTCAGAGGACAGAGAAGTAGAAAGCCAGGGAAGGAGAGGAAACAATTTGCATCGTGTCAAGTGAGGCAATAGCACAAAAGGAAGGTGCAGTGAAGATGCCACTAGCCACAATAAGAGAAAATATTAGAGGGTGGGGGGAGTTAGGATGCAGGACTTTGATCTCTGGGGCAACAAGTGGTTAGAATCAGTGGTTTGGGTGCTGACAGGCTATTCTGAGAATGAGATGATGTACAGACTCAAATGTAGCCAAGACATGTCACTTGGGTCAGACCCAGTGCATGCTCCTCTCTGAAACCTGAGCTTCCTTGTGTGACAGCTGGCTGGGTCTCTAAGGGCAAGCACAAAACTCTTCCATGGGTACATATGAGATGTTTGTCTTGCACATGGCAGCCCAGTGGGTGCAGCACAATCCATGGAAAGCAATATGCAGGTTTCTCCACTCTCAGCCTGAGAAAGATGGATTCCATGGGTGTGTGCCCACAGACAGGACATCACAGGTGCCTTTCCCAGACACTCACAAGACCAAGTGTAGGGCAAGAGAAATCCTGAGTCTGTGTACAAGCCAGCTCGCTACAAAGCTGGAATATACAAAGAAGAATACAGCTGCACTTTCACAGACTTCTGTAAGGTTTAACTTGATGGTAAATCAGATAAATGAAGTGTCTTGCTAAAAAGAGATTTTTACAGCCTGTAATGTGCTAAATTTGATTTCTATCCCTTGTCTGGACATTCTACATGAAAGAATGGCAAAAAACAGTAGATGTCAGCTATAGACAGGTACAGAGACAGTGCAAGCACTCGGCAGTGGCACGGCTAGGAGCAACTACTTCAGACATACAGAAAGCAGACACACAAAGGGGCAGGGAAAAACAATCCATCCTTCCTCTTCTCTGCCCCAGTACTTCAACTTTAAGGCCACAAGTATTACAGGGTTTTATTATTTTTTGTTTTTACTACAGARAAATCTTGACTTGGATCTAGAAAAAACAGTTGTTGACAGAGGCTTGAATCACAGAGCCAAAAATCCAGGAAAAACTTAAACTACTCCACCCCTCAGTGCACCAACGTAGACAAAGGAATGAAAGCCTCACAGGACTTTACATACCCCATAAAATTTTTACTCTTGGGAACAGGAGAAAGATAAGAGACTAAAAATTAGCCACAAGTGCCTAAAGCAATACTTGTACTCTTCTCTCTTACACCACAAAAATGTGGCACGAAAAAATGTGAGGTTCGGCTAATGAAGGAATGAGAAATTTCCTTTTACCTTGTCCTTATTCTTGATAGAATAAGTTTCACAGCTTTTCATCAAAAGCATTAGGAAAAGCAAG